ACACTGCACAACAGCATTTCTGATGATTGAATTATATTACATGACACTAGCTTAATTTTTAATGAAGACTTCAAATCTGTAATCTAAATTTTTGTATTAGCTCTAGTTTAGAAAATATGACACATGGCCGTTTCATAGTAAAAGACAATTTGTTTAAAGTTAATCATATTTTATTTATTTCTTAAGGTGAAAAAACTTTCTTTTATAAGACTTCCTTGCAGAGGATGAATCCATAAAACTGTTCTGAATGTTCCAACAATAGTCAGCCAGCATGTGTGTGTTCCAGTAGCCTTGATACCGTTCTTCTATCGTACGAAGGTCCTGGTGGAATCGCTCGCCCTGTTCTTCACTAAGATCCCCAAGATTAGCGGGAAAATAACCTAGATGGTTGTGAAGAAAGTGCAACTCGATGCTCATGTTACTTCCAAGGGTTTGAAAGTGACTCATTAGTTGTTCAACGTGTTGAGAATAGTTAGAACTTTTCTTATTTCCCAAACAAACTCATTCCATGCGTTTTTCTCAATTTCTGTCATAGTGTCGGTAAATGTTGTGTCTTTTATTAATGATCTTATCTGTGGCCCATCGAAAATGCCCGCTTTTCTTTTCTACACTTAGTTTCGGGAATTTTTTTTATAGAAATAGAAAACTTCTAGTTTTGTTAAGACCTTTGACAAACTGTTTTATAAGCCCTAATTTTATTTTTGATATGTCGAAATAGGAAGAAGTCATTGGGCGATAAATCAGGGGAATATGGGAAATGAGTCATTAATTGGATGTTGTTACTGGTCAAAAACTCTACAATTCGTCGTGCTGTGTGAGCGCTTGCATTGTCATGATGAAGAATGATTTGCCGGTTTATGTTGTTCATTCTGATTTCAGCGATAACTTCCGGCAAACAAATTGAAGTATACCAGTCATAATTAACTGTCCTTCGATCCTCTAATGCAACAGTTGCAACATGACCCGTTTTTCCGAAGAAACAAGCAATTATTCTTTTCGAAACGCTTCGTGAACGCACCACTTTTGTGGGTTTAGGTTCATTTTGGAACACCCATACAGTCGATTGCTATTTAGTTTCAGGCTCAGGCTCACCTGTTACGATGTTATATACCGAATTTGAATGACCCCCTTCGAATTTGTTTAGCATTTCCTTGCACCACTTGACACGTGCCTGTTTTTGTTCTTCTTTCAAATTGTGTGGGATCCAACCACTGCAAAGCTTCCTGACATGCAAATGATCGTGCAAAATCGTATGTATTTGTTTCGCTGCAATGCCTAAGGATTCCTCTATCTCACGATAGGTCACATGCCGATCTGACAAAATCATTTCACGCACAGCATCAATATTTTTCTCGACAACAGAAGTACATTGACGACCTTCGCGAAGATCGTCATCAAACGTTGGTCTTCCACGCTTGAATTCTGCGAACCATAGTTTTGGATGGTGCTTCATCCCCAAATAATGAACTAAGTTTTTCCACACATTGGTGCGGTGTTAAACCGTATCGAAAATCATAAAAAATCATCACTCGGAAGTCACGATTCGAAATTTCCATATTTTTCACACAAATATTACTCTCGTTAAATTTTGTTGAAACGAAGCCGAGCAGTTTGAAATCGAACTGTCAACTGAATGATAGGTGAAAAACGTCAAATTTTACGAATATGACAATCGCAGAACGCTGGCAATACAAGGAGTACTTGATTCCGCGAACTTTAACAGTGGCCCTCGTACAAAGAGTTGCCAAATCAAATCTCGCATACTTATATTCAATGACAAAGTTAATAAAAAGTACTGCACAATTATAACTAGATTGAAAATTAACCATGGGTGTTTTCCGTCTCATTTATATAAAATAGGACTGACAAATTCTCCTCTATGTTCTCTTGATAACGAGGTCGCAGATCTCGATCACATATTTTTCGGCTGTAAGAGTTTTTGTAATAATGACCTGTGGGATGATCTTATGAAAGCAGGTATTCAGTTTCCTACGTGTGTTAAGGTGTTGCTCGCGACTGGAAATCAATCTGTATACGATTTGTTGGTAGATTATATAAATAAAAATAATATTAATATCTAAAATTTAAACTTAATACCTTTCAATTTGTGTGTGGCTGAAGGACTAACGTCCATTGCCAATAAAGGAAAAAAAAAAAAAAAACAGTTTGTGAAATCAGCAAAATTAGCAAATTTTATTATTGTTAAACATGAAAGGAAATATCTTATAAAAATTGAGAATTGTTTAATATTTTGTTACAAAATTATTATATTACTGGAATTTGAAATAAAGGTAACTGTCCTATTAGGAATTAATTAATTAATTATTAAACATGAACATAGAGATAAATAGAGATATAGAATTTGGAATAATTTATTAATTAGAATTTGTGACTGTATCGAAATTTATTTTTTCTACGAACTCTTACAAAAAGACATCTTTCGCCACAGGATACTTTCAGCGAAAACTTGATTTCCGTCACTAGTGAGAAAAAATCCCATAACGTTTACTTTCGTCTCTAGTGACGAAAGTAAGTTGTTACATATTTTCATATATCAGTCGCCTCGTATAATATTTTGGCAGCTTATAATTATTAATAATGAGATAAAAAGATGCTCATTAAATTCTATATGCGTTTTTACCTAAACTTTAATGAATTAAAGATAAAATAAAAATGTATAAAAATAGTGCAAATTAAACCAATCTACATCTAGTTTCCTGGTTTTCATTTGTTTATTTGAAGTTTTATCACTTTTGAGAACTGTCAGTTTCAGTTCGTCCTAAATTTAACACATTTTCATGATGTCTGAGTCAGAAAGCGATTGTACTCCCCCAGAAATTATTTTTAAAGCTGAAGAAACCTCTTCAGATTTATTACCGGCCAAATCAAAAAGGAGAAATGAAGAAATTTATATCAAATTTTTGGACTGGAGAGAAAAAATAAAGTGAAATCATTTTCGGAAACTGTACTACTAGCATACTTTGGAGAAATATGTTCAAATTTTAAACCGTCGACGTTATGGTCCATTTATTCGATGCTAAGAACTATACTCTCTGTTAAAAATGATGTCGATATTAGTAAATATCCAAAGTTACGTTCGCTTTTGAAAAGAAAATCTGATGGTTTTAAAAGCCAAAAATCCAAAAATTTTTCGCCTGAAGACTTTCCTAAAGAATGCACCTGACTATAAATCTTTAATAACAAAGGTAACGGAATTATTATTTTTATTTTAACAAATACTTAATACATAACTACTAATATTTGTAGGTAGCATTAGTTTTTGGATTATCTGGCGCTTGTTGCCACGAACTAAAAGATTTAACAATAAGCGATGTAAAGGATACTGGAAGTATTCTGTTAGTTAAAATCCGTAATACAAAAACAAAAGTTCCGCGTTCTTTTCATATTTCTGGACCCTTTTATGATATTTCTAAAAAATATATGAGCCTACGTCCCGCAAACATGGATCAACTTAATTCAAGATTCTTTATTAACTATCAGAATAAAAAGTGTAGCAGACAGGTTGTTGGAATTAATAAAATCAGTAAATTTCCTAACGAAATTGCTCAGTTTTTAACGCTTCCGAATCCTCAAGATTACACTGGGCACTATTTCCGCAGAACATCCGCAACGCTATTAGTGGATGCAGGAGGTGACTTGCTTCTGTTAAAAAAGCACGGTGGTTGGAAATCTAGTAGTGTTGCGGAAGGATATGTTGATGAATCCACGAACAGTAAAAACCAAATACAAACCAAAATTTTACAATCTGTACAAAATAAGGAAACTACTAGTTCATCCGATTATGGCCCAACATCATCTGAAATGACATTTAACAGTAGAACAAATATGTCGGCATCTACCTCAATAAATAAAAAGCTTGAGTGTGATACCCCCATAATTTTGAACAATTGTTCAAATATAACAATAAATCGATATTTAAATAATAAATAATATTTCTGAAATATTTAATTGTTGGTTAATTTTTTGTTATTCCTAACACAAAATAAAGCATTTGCTAACGTTTTTTTCATTTTAGTAGGTACCTACATGACATAATAGAGTTCGTAGAAAAAGTATAGTGTTTTACTCGTCGAAAATCATTTTTTCGTCACTCGTGAAACAATATACTATTTTTTAACTACTTATTATAAAAGGTGTTAAAACTGTAAGCATTTAAATGTACAACCTAGCCTGCCCCTGATAAACTAAACAAGTTAATTATGTTTTAATGGCAGTATTTTAAGAGGTTCTTACTACTGTTTATCATATTAAATTTTCATTAAATTATATTACGTAATTTGAAAGTTATTCACGAAAAATTGATTTCCAGTGGCGTCCTTTTGGAGGCCGTATCTCCGTAGGGTGGGCTGCTAGGAAAAAAATTATCTGAATCTGAGAAATTTTACGTCCCCAATATGAGCCATTTTTGGTCAATGTTAAAATTTGGTGAGAATCTTTTTGACTGAATGTACACGCCCAATTACTGTAAATTAAAAGTTTAATTTTTCTTATTTTAAGCTTCTTTGTTTTTTTTTTCTTGAATAAAATACTATAATATATAATGGAAATGCTATTATTTATCGATTCTATACAAGAATAACTTATTTTAATGTATATTTAATTTCAATAACTAATAAATATACTGACAATTAGTTTGACAGAATTGTCACTTATTAAAAATAAAAAAAATAATAGTAGTCGGGTGATTAAAATATAAACTATGATTGGTGGATTTAATTTTTTTGTCGTGTTCTTACTAGGTAGAATGGATATGAAATACATTCGTTCTGTTAGCATATTTTTTCGTTTTTTAGTCTATGCGTAGAATAGTTAATATCAATCTAAAAATCAACCCAATATTTTGCAATGAACTCCTCTTATATTATTAGGACCATACTGAATTTTAACTTATATAGTATCTATTACTTTCCGTTTTATTTTATTGATATGCATTTAATTTCAACATTGTATTTTGATTAATTTTTCATTTTTGGTTCTAGTTGATCATAGGAAATTTCGGACTGAGCTACGAACAGAGCAAAACCCAAATGGCCATTTGGGCCATTTTGGCGGCACCCCTTTTGATGTCGGTAGATTTAAGGACCATAAGGCCAGAGTACAAAGCCATATTACAAAATAGGAAAATTATAGCCGTAGACCAAGATCCGCTTGGTATACAAGGACGGAGAATATATAAAGTAAGACAATATTGTAATGATATCGCACCTGATACCCTTTTCCTTTTATTATACTTTAAACTATAATATTTATTCACCTGGGCTTGTTATTTTTTTTATATTTTTATCTCAGGGGTGCTTCCAATTATAATATTATTACTTTTTCAATTTAATTTCAATTGTATTTTTAATTCTATTTTAATGTTATTATAATTTTATTTTAATCAATAATCAACAAAAAATTTAAAAATATATGACTTAACTTGTTTTATACCCTGTATATCCAACTAAATAAATAAACAAATTTTCAAAACCACAATACAAGATTTATTTTGGACAGTATTAAATTTCCAATTAACAAAATTCCCCGTTATTTGTACTTATGGGGAATATAATATACTATATTAACTAAAAATTACTCTAAATCCATTCACTCTTCATTCATCCTCACTAAACTAAATACTAAAATTAAATTCTACAAAAAAATAACAACTATCACTGTTTAAGGAGGTCCTTTCGCCACACCTCTCGCCTCCAATGTTAAAAAAAAAGTTATTAGATTATGACTAAAATTAATTTTTTTCTAATAGTTGAAGTCCTTATTTATCTAATACTAAACTTTTAACTATACCTTACCTTGCAAATTTTTGAGATTTTTTTTTTAAATGTGAGTATTTGTACAGTGCCTCACGAGAAAGTAAGTCCTTAACAACAATTCTCGAATTATACTATTATTTATTGATTAGATGGAGTAGAAAAAAACTAAAAATAAGGTTTTTGAAATATTTAGATTTTGTTTTATACAATAAAATATATATAGTAAACCGTGGAACTTATTGAGAAATTAATATTAAAAAACCACAAAAAATTTTCAAGTAACCTAGTTGAACATTTTTTGTGATTTTTTAATAATAATTTCTCAATAAATTCCACGGTAACCTATATATTTTATTGTAAAAAACAAAACCTAAATATCTCAAAAACCCTATTTTTAGTTTTTTTCTACTCCATCTAATCAATAAATAATAGTAAAATTAATTATAATTCGAAAATTGTTGTTGAAGTCTTACTTTCTCATAAGATACTGTACAAACACACACATTTTTAAAAAAAATTTTTCTCAAAAATTTGCACGGTAAGGTATAGTTAATAGTTCACTATTAGATAAATAAGGACATCTACTATTAGAAAAAAAAAAAAACAATTTTAGTCATTATCTAATATTTTTTATTTAACATTGGTGGCGAAAGGACCTCCTTAACTTGAAAGTGTCTATTTCCACAAGTTGGTATTCCATTATATACATCTGTCCTCTCTTGATTCTTCCATACATAACTCTCCGGTAACCATTACTAGCGTTCTTCCGTAACTACTTTAATTTATATACATTTACATATATGGTTCTTTAAAATTTGTTTATTTTTCAATAGGTTTTATATATTAGTTTTCCAATTTCTGTTCCATATCATTCAAAAATTAAATTTTTCCTTCCAAAAATCTTTGACATTTTTCTTTTTTTCAGCATACAACTTTTAACTATATTTACATGTTTGGTTAAATAAATTTGTTTATCCAATATAACGTTTTATTATCAGTTTTTCAATTCTTTTTTCATATCTTTTAAAAATAAATTACTTAGCGTTTTCGACTGGTGAAACTGGTGCGCACTTTTTAACACTCGGTGCAAAATTTGTTTTCGACTCGTAAGAGCAGTGCGAACCGGGTCAATTTTTGAATTTTCGGTTGGACTCAGTTGAACTCAAAAAAGTGAACCGGTTCGCACTTTTGTGAACTGAGTGTAGAGACAGGTTTTCAGTTTCAGTTCAGTCGTAACAAATATGGCGATGGCAAATAAAGAGTTGCTTCTAAAATATGTAAATTTTTTAGAATTTATAAAGAAATATTGGAATTTTCTTCATCAGATTTAGATAAAGAAGATTTAATTAAGGCCAAGTTTAATAAAACTAAATTACCAATAATAAAAGATTACATTGAATTGATGTGGTCGCACCTGGATGACTCCCAGGTAGGCATCATAAATATTCTTGTAATTCCTGTATATGCATAGTATACGTTGACATATTAAGAACTTAAACATAAGTAGGTTTATGTTAATCTGTTGATAAAATATTCTATAGACAATATTAAATAAATGTTTGAAATGAAAGCTTGTCTTGGATCTTGTTTGGAATTTGGAAGGTACTACTTCTACTTATCACTCAGATGATAGCTGTCGAATACAATACTTTGACAGTACAATGCACTAGGTGGTCAACTGCGTGTTCGGTTGGAATAAATTAGTAGACGTCACTAAATTGAACCAGTGCTGAGCAACGAAAACTCGCACTTCACGAGTGTGAACTGAGTGTGGCCAGTCGAAAACGCTATACTATTACAAAAAAAATTCTGACATTTTTCATTTTCAATTGACATTCAACAACCCAAACCTAGAAACCATCCTTTTTACCTTCTCAAAGTCTCCTTCACTTATGACTTTTCATATAAATTTTAATATACAGGGTTGTAACATTATTTTTTATTTATTACTATTATTATTATTATTATATTATAATTATTATTATTAGTAGTATTATTTTTAGTTTTATTGGTATATTTTAATATAGGGTGTTATCATCAATCTATTAACCATTATAACGAAATTTTATACACAGGGTGTTTGTAAAAGGTCTTTATACAAAAACACCATATATATATTTTTTAAGAACATTTACAGAAACTCTGTATTTATTTATATCCATTTTCAGCATAAAGGAATAGAAATTTGGTCGAGGCCTATTACTCCGCTATACCAAAGTTACTTTTCGTATGCCATAGCTTTCGTTAATAGAAGAACTGACGGAACACCTTCGGATGTAGCAGTAACTCTTAAAGAGTTGGGTTTAACTTCGCCAACGGGATATAGAGTAGAGGTGAGAAATATAAATTTCATAATATATCTATTGATTTGTTTTTAGTTTAAATTTTCTATAACTAATCAGATTTTGAACCGTACGAACAACACTAAAAAGTAAATAACAATTCAAGAGTAGAAAAATAATTAAATCATTTCGATTTTCAAACTTTCTCGAATATAATTGAATAAACGCCTTCTTTTTCTTTAAACGAAAACTATATGTTTGCTGCGTCAACAAGAAAGCCTAAAATTATAAATAATTACTTAAAGTACTTATGCAAATTACAACGTTCAACAATATAATTATAAGAAAAGTTTACAGGACAGAATAGTTTCTGCTATCATTCATATTTGAGTCATCTTTAGGTTTAAATTAGTTTAGATTTTCTTAGTATTATTGTTGCGCTTATTTTTGCGTAAAATAATATAGTGCGGGAGCGCCCAACCTATGACTTAGTTTACGATATACTGGGTGTTAAGCTGGATTTATAAACTACGTTCAGTTGGCGCTCTCTTCGAGTTGGCAAGACATGACTATAAATTCCACAAAATAAAATTATATTTTGTTATTATTTTTGTTTTAATTATATTTGTAGATGGTGTTGGTTTTAAAATAATTATAAATCCGTTATAATTTCTTATGCAAAACATACCGTGTCATTCTGCTGTTTATGTTGAACTCGAACTGAGCGTGAACTGAACGCGAACTGAACGTAGTTTATAAATCCACCTTTAAAGTTGAAATTGTCCAGTTTTCAGAGAAAATACTGCACAGTACATATTTATTATACAAGGTGTTTTATATAAAGAATTACAACATAAAATTATTTTATTAAGGATTAATTAATTTTTGGGAAAATAGCACTAAAATATGTCTACCTCTAAGCTTTAAAACATACAAGGCGAATTATTTGTTGGGAGGGATATTTTAAAAAAAGTACAAAAACCAGGAACATCGTGTATTCTAAAATTTCACTGATCAAATGTAACCATTTTTATAGTATGTAATAATTTTAATATAGTTTTAAGAATTTTACATCCGATACTCTAACCAGTTTTTGAAATACAGGGCGTTAAAGTGGATAATTGAATAATTTGACTTTTTTTAATACCTATATTACAAGGTCTGGTATCTATAAATCAATTCTAAACTGGCAAGTGTCTGATAACATTTCGATGTCAGACCACTGCTGGTTAACATTCAAAATAAACTTGATGTTGCCGACCTCCACGCTATCTCGGAAGACGGACAGGGCAACCTATGCCCACCTTCTCCAAGAAGCTCTGAGAGAGATGACAACACCGACTAGAGCCATGGAAGTCGTTCTTAGTCTCACTCCCCTTGATATTTACATCAAGGAGGTTGCTCTGACGATAATAACACGCCTCCGCACGTTTGGAATAGAACCTGATGTAGGATCTGGTGAGGCGAGACGTCACTTTTGGCAGGAGGCGCTCGATACGCTCCCACTGCTTCAAGCGAACGTGGACTGCATCTCACCGAAATATATCTTTCATAGGCCATATAAAATTATAATAGAACAAATAGAAGAGCCAGAAGTGGCAGGTACGATTCATATCTACACCGACGGTTCTAAAACAAAACAAGGCTCAGGATGTGAAATATACTCGAGATTCTTAAACCTAAACATAAAATGGGCTGTGAGCAATAGAGTCAGTGTAGTTCAAACAGAGCTAACGGGGATTCTCATAGCAGCAAAAGAAATAACCAGAAACAATATCACTGGAAGGAACATGCTCATCTACACAGATAGCAGACAAGCACTACTCACCCTAAACAGACCACGAATTTATTCAGGGTTAGTACTAGAATGTCACGAAGATGTGGCCGAAGTATCCATTAACAATGTGGTCACTTTAAGATGAATTAAAGGTCACGCCACATCGAAAGGTAACCGTCTTGCTGATTCACTAGCTAAGAAAGCAGCCAACCAAATACTTTTTGGACCTGGCCCTTCTATTGGCCTGACAAAATCAGTAGTGACAGACCTAATCAAAGAACATTCCCTTGTGAAATTCCAGGAAAGATGGGATGAAACAAGAAACTGCAGAGTTGCCAGGGATCTCTTAAATTATCCTGACAACACTGCAGCAAACAAATAGTTGACTATGACTAGACAGAATCTGCGCCTAGTCATAGGCATTCTGACTGGTCATTGCCAAGTACGAAAGCATCTCCATATCATGGGACTGTCAGAATCCGCACTCTGCAGAGGGTGCGAACAAGAAGATGAGACCATCGAGCATATCCTTTACGATTGCTCGACGCTTTCATTTATTAAAAGATTTGGCGAGTATCGGCTAATACCGGCCGATATAAGAGAATCACCTCTTGGCGACGTTGTCAACTACATTAAATCTGTAGGCTGGCTCACGAGCTAGGAGGTGCCTATCATCTCAGGAGGATGCACAATGGGCCTAATGAGGCCTAAGTGCCGTGGGGGTAATCCACCCTCCACGCGTTACAGATACAGATAAGGTCTGAAAATTGAATCGGTGATTTCACAAAGAATGCGAAAATGAGAAGGCGGTGTTTTTTTTTTCTTTTTATATTGTTAAGAGCAAACCGATCTTCAGCGATAAGCACATTTTACCTCTATATACCTTATTCTCTACGTCTGACAGCTATAAACTAAGAATAGTCAAAAAGACAAAATTAAGCAGTGGCAGATCTTACAGAGATTTGAACGAAAAAGGTGGGAAATTTTCTCATTTAAATTTTATTTGAGAAAATTGTATTTTTCAAAATTCGATTAAATAAGGTTTCGAAGGTTTGTAAAAAATCATGGAAACATTAATTATTACTTTTGAATTACTACGCGAATTTTCGTAGAAATGGCTCTAGAAGTATCTGAGGTATATTATTTTTTTGAGTCTGATTCACTCTCAAAAGTGCGGTCCGTTTAAAACGAACAAGCGTTCTATTTCCATTTATGCCCTTTTTTAAATCACGAACTCAAATTGGATCTAAAATGATTATATAGAGGCTGAAATCACAGAATAATTAACAAATGAAACAAATAATGATTTCTTTTCACTTTAAATCATACAATTCTAATAATGTATTCTGTTTCTAGGATTTATATGAAGACGTCGATTACGGAGTGCTGTCGCCGCAAACCAAAATCAAAGTAAAAGTGAATCCATCAGGTATATCATTAATTTTATATGAAAACTTCCATATAAATAAAAATAATATCAATTATTTGGCGTTTCCGATTAATTGTATTTCTTTTTTTTATTTTTATTTAAATTAATTTATGATTTTTAGGCGTGGTGATACTGAGAGCAGACGTCCAGGCAGACTTTAACAGAAGAATCCCGTTTTTTACGACGCAAAGAACCCCCTACAATCCGTTAAATCAAGTGTTCAGAGTACAAGGGGAGAATGGGTTCAAATAAGTGATAAAAAAAAATCTACGAACTTAAGTAAATTATTAACTTAGTTAGGAATTTGTTGTAAGATATATTTTTAATACAATTACAAAAAATACAAAAGTTAAGTTGATTCGCGTGGTTTTTTTTTTTTTAATTTAATCCATAACGTATTGGTATTTGCTTTTTCCAATGGTAATGGTAACTGATAATCCTCGAACATTTTTCGTTAACCTCGTGCAACTGAGTGTTCCCTCGATGATGTCACCTAAAGGTATTAAATAATTTATGAAAATCATCCAGTGAGAGGTTCTTCACAAATGCGTCACTAAGATAATTATCAAATAAGTTGAAACATTTTAGTAAAAGCACTTTCACTTTATAAATTAAAGGTAAAGACAGTTTCGAGATATTTTATTTTGACTCTAGATCAATAAATAAATAATAACAGTCGACGCAATCCAAATGTGAACTTCCTTACAAGTTGTTTAATCTTTAATTATACAGGGTGTTTTCAAAGTTTCAAAGTCATTTATTTTAAAAGCTTGTAGAACTCGTCAAAAGAAGTCGATATACCAAAAATCACCTAAATAAAAGTTGCATATTAAAAGAAAAAGGAATTTCATAATTTTAAAACTAAAACAAATACAAACTATTTATCCGCATATTTTAATATTCTTGACCACTGCCAAGTAAAAACTTATCGTTGTTTGTTTACTACGACAATTTTACTTATCTAAGTAACAGAAATGAAGATTTTACGAAAATAATTTTAGTTACAGACGAATGCACATTTACACGAAATGGGATATTCAATTTTCACAACAATCATGTTTGGGGCAGTAAAAAATCAGCTTGCCGTAAGAAATCTAATTTCCCACATAGATTTTCATTAAATGTTTGGGCTGGTGTAGTAAATGGCATGCTTATTGGACCATACTTTTTTCCACCTCGGCTAACCGGTGACATTTATTTAGATTTTCTTCGACACAATCTGCCAGAATTATTAGAAGATGTTCCACTGAATGTTAGGCAGGATATGTGGTTTTTAGATGACGGAGCTCCACCGCATTTCAGAAGAGGAGTTCGTGAATATTTGAATGAACAGTTTCCGAATAGATGGATAGGGAGGAAAGGACCCATTTTTTGGCCTGCACGCTCCCCAGACCTAACGTCTTGTGATTTTTTCTGTGGGGTTATTTAAAACAGTTGGTGTATCATGATGGAAAAGTAAATACTGTGGAAGAACTTCTTGAAATGCTTGTGATGTTATTCGCGGACATCCGGATTTTATTTTTGAGGCCTGTCAGGAGTCGTGGGTACGCCGAGTAAGACTATGCATTAATCGGACAAATGGTGACAATTTTGAACAATTTTTGTAAAAATGGAATACATTTTACCGATAATGAATGTTTTTAATTAAAAAAAAAAACTATAACTCCCTTATTATGCAACTTTTATTTAGGTGATTTTTGATGAGTTCTACAAGCTGTTAAAATAAATGACTCAACTTTGAAAACACCCTGTATAGAAAAAAATGTCTATAATTTCACAGTTGACGGGCATAGCCATCCATATAGTTTGATTTCACTATATAGGAGTGATTAAAATAAGTTCCACAAAAAATACATTGGATTTCAGAAAAATCGATCATTAATGTTAGATAAAAAAAAAAAATTCTGTAAATCAATAGGGTTTTATAAGTTAAAAGAAATTATCCAAGAAAATCAAAACTGCAAGTCGATCGGAGTTGTTCTAGAGTTATCGCGCCTACTTACATACGCACAGACGACCAGATTATTTTTTTGCATTTCCGGACTTAGAATGATCGGAAACGTGAAAAAAAGTGGAGGTAAGAAAATGTTTTCGTCAACATGAATGTAATACTGAAGCATAGGTATGGATCTCAGTAATTTTTCCTTTGATTCTGATGACAACAGAGAGTTTGTCATAAATCTTTAATATTATTAAAACACATTTGTAAGCTAAAAAATTAAGAATATGCATTTATTCACGACATTCTTACGTAACCATATTGTTTTTAATTTTTTCGATTTGACAGTCACACTAAGAGCGCCTGTGCGTGATTTTAGCGATGTTGCCAATTGCTTTTTGTTATTTGTTCTAAATAAATATATTCATGGTAATACAGTTCTATATTATTTTTTGTTTATGAATAATATGACAACTGATATTTTTATTTCTATAAATGTGTTGTCAAACATAGTAAAAGAACGTACATAACAGGAATGACAGTGGCTGTTTTTTCAATAGCTCCAGGCCAGATGATAAAACCAGAATATTAAGTGTTTATTTGAGACTTTTCATTTCAATTATTCAATTTGAGCTGTATCCAGGCCGTTGGAGTCTATGCCGGTCTGCTTAGACCAGGTATGGGTTGATGTTTTTTGGTGGCAGCGAAGCCGCCACCCTAAGACTTATCGTAGGGTGGCGGCGAAGCCTTCTTCGTTTTCTTGTTGCATATTTATGGACCGGTATGCGCAATCACAATTTTCCATTAACTACTAATTTTATCACAATCCGGCAACGTTGCAATTATATTTTCCAAATTTGACAATAACCATCGAGTTTCGATGTTTACAGTCTTCAAAATACTAATTTTTATAGAAATTAAATAATTTTTTTTGGCTTAAATAATGCATTTACCGCAATTTTTTTTTTAATGTACTATTTAAAATACGCTCTTTCTGATAAAAAATAAATTTCTTTAAAATTCCACTGTCCCTAAAGTCGTCCGGACCCATTGTGAATTCTAAATTAGAAACTGAAATGTTACAAAATTTAAGTAAAATTTTTGTGTACTTCAAAATCAAATTAATTTGTTATAAAACGATAAAAATGTAAAAACATCATTTCAAGTTTCCGGGATTTTTTTTTCAATCTGGCAACGTTGTAAATTCTTTATTATCGATCGCCGATATTGACGTAGAAACAAGAAAAAACTTGTTTGTGTTTAGTCTACAAAAAAACTATTTTATTTTTATGATTGATTTAAAAATAACGTTACCTATTATTATTATTATGTTTAAAGAATATAAAAAAGGGAATTCTTGTAGATATTTATTTATTTATTTATTTACGGGAAAAGTCCAATTCGGTTTAAATAGGTACAACAAGACATAAGACAAAGCCTAATAATAAATAGGTAAATCCTTGCAATTATTTTTTAAAATCTTGATCTTAAGACTCAAGTCCTGAACGGTAAATACATTTACTAATATAAAAATTAATGTATCTTTCAAGGCCCAAAAAAGAGTAAATCAATGTACGAAATTTGCTGGTTAAATACCTAGGTAGACAGACATCTTGGTTGGAATAACAATTTTAAATATCTTAATATTGGCATAACAATCGAAAAAAATTTTAAATTATAAAAATTAATATCACATTTTCAAAGCCCAATATAGGGCAAATCCATTATATAAAATTTGCCAGTTAAATAGGTAGACAGATATTATGTTTGTTAGAATATAATAACCAGAATATTAAATAAAGGTACTTACAAAATTCATCTGCTAATAGTAGATTATTCACTGAACGTAGAAGCGTAGAATTAAAATCACGTAATAGTTTTAATTTTTGTTTTAAACATTTTTATTTAAACACAAACCGGAATTAACGATAACAAAACAAGAATCATACTACCCGCTCCCGACTTCAAGCTGACTGTTTTTCTTTCAACTGGTGACAATTTTTCACGACAATTGCAAGGTTGCCAATGTGTTCTACATTGATGGAATGGGGGATAGTATAATTCAATTTAATCGATTTTTATTTATAAAATTTAAATTAAATAATGAGTTTTAAATATCGTGTTATAGGATTAACATCATTTATCTTATAAAATTATAATTATTATTATTATTATTATTATTTGATAAGAGCAGGGGTCATAAGACCCATATTAACTGAATATAAAACAATATTACTAAAAACTAAATCAATAACAAGTACAACTGATGAATAAACAATAAAACAAATGAAATGTTAATTAAAAAATAGAAAATTATCAAGTTCGTTCTTGAAAACATTGACAGATGGAGCATTTACAACATTCTCCGGTAGAGAATTTCAAGTGTAGAATATTCGATTAAATAAAAAAAAAATTATCAAGTTTTCGTAAAAAAATGTCCTTTTTTCAGCTTCCATTTATGGCCACATAGTCGATTTTCACTGTCCACGATGAACATACATTTTAAATTTCCAAAATTATATTTTAAAATACGAAAACGAATTATCATATCACCCCGCAGTCAGAGCTGTCACCTATCAGTGAGATTTAAATCATTTTTTGATTTAAATACATTTTTTGATTTAAATACTTTGATTTTAAATCTTTTTTAAAAAAATGATTTTTGATTTATGATTTAAATCTTTTTGAAAAGTATCTTTGATTTTTTATTTAAAAATTAGATTTAAATCTTTTTAAAACGATTTAAATCTTTTTAAAACGATTTAAATCTTTCTGAAATGATTTAAATCTGTAAAATGATGCGATCTTTTTAAAATGATTTATATTTTATTAAAGATTTAAATCTTTTTTAAAATAATAATTGCAATGACTAAAGATTATTTTTAAGTATGAAATTTTACAATATCCTGAAACTCTTAACATATGTATTTTAAATTTATGCACACTTTCATTTCAGATTTGACATGAGTTGCATTAAGACGATTATGACTTTTTGACCAGTTCAATAAACACGCTTGGCATAGATAGAGTGAATTAATTAAATTTTTTATTTCTTTGCCTGATTCATACACATTTTTCAAAAAAATTAACCCAAACGCGCTCACTTTGGTTATTTATTTACTAGCAATAACTTCACGTTGAGAGAAGAACTCTTTTAATTCAACCCACTCAATTTCATTATTCATAGCCGGGAGATTTTGAAAATGAAATGCATTTTTCCGCGAGAGTCTCTTAAGTACAAAAAAACATATTTTTAAAGAGTCTGATGTATGTGCATCTATGTGGGGTGTTTATGTATGACATTAAGCACGTTAACTTAAGGAAGAGTTGACGGATTTAAGTGATTTTTCAGAAAAAAAATCACTTTTCTTAAAAACTAGGTCTCCATTGTTTTGTGGCATCATAGGCATACCAAAAGTATCTTTTAAAGGGTTAAAAAATTCCTATTTACCAATTGACATGACATTTTTAAATAACAATTTTCATAACTATAGATATCAATGCTGCATAAATCCTTAAAAATATTATCTTGATTATTTAAAATTAATATTTCCGTAAGAATTGCATTGGGCTAATAACGATAAAAAATAAATACGAGAAAATTTGATCGAGTTTTGCGTTTTATTTATGAGAAAATCACCTTACTTAAGTATTCATTATCTTTGGCCTACCGAAAGCATTTTTTAAAGAGTTACCCAAATCTATAAAAAGATTTAAATCTTTTGAAAATATTTATTTCTTTTAAAAAGATTTAGATATTTCGAAAAGATTTAGATATTTCGAAAAGATTTAGATATTTCGAAAAGATTTAAATCTTTCCTAAAATGATTTAAATCTTTTGAAAAGATTTAAATCTTTCGAAAAGATTTAAATCTTTCCAAAAGATTTAAATCTTTCCTAAAATGATTTAAATCTTTCGAAAAGATTTAAATCTTTCCTAAAATGATTTAAATCGTTTTTAAAATGATCTTAAACAGCTCTGCCCGCAGACGGTGATTTTCAAACGTTTGTAGTTCCGCCATATGTAGTCTTTCTGCGTAATTAGGTCTCATACGTCCGAAAAATAGTCTGGTTGATCGGCGCTGCACATTTTAAGAATATTTTTATCCCGCACTAGTTGCGGACACCACACAGCTCCGCAGTACTCGATGATCGGACGAATGTATAATTTATACAGCCGGATCTAATTTTGAAAATACACTTTTGCGAATGTTTTCTTTAATAAGTACATTTTCTTGTTCGCCTTTTTTGACACTTGAAGAACGTGCTCAGACCAGCTGAGATTTTCAGTAATTATAACACCTAGATCATTGTAAGATTTAACTTTATTTAACGTATGACGGTTTAGAAAATAATTATGACGAGGATTATTTTTACCAATATGGAGAACTACTTTTATTTGTATTTAGAGGTAGCATCCAATCTGAGCACCAGTTATAGATGGAGTCAAGGTCATCTTGAAGCTGTTGGAAATTCAAAGACGGGTCACTAAATATTTTAGTGTCATCTGCGTAAAAAATATTGTTGCACTTGATATGGAATTGAAAATCACTCGCATATATTACAAATAAGAGTGGACCCATAACTGATCCCTGAGGAACCCCACTCAAGACTGGTCTTTCAAGTCAATGCGAATTTCCAACTTTAACACAGTACTTTCTGTCAGTTAAAAATTACTCGATCCATTTAAGTAAATCACCAAGGTGTTCTAACTTATGTAGTAATCTTCGTTTCGACACACGATCAAAAGCTTTCGCAAAATCTAGGTAAATAATGTCTATAGGTGTTTTCCTATCTAATGAAACTGTCCACTCATTTACACACCAACGCAAATTGGTCATGGTTGATCGCCCTTTTACAAATCCATGTTGCTGTTTGGGAATGATTTCTTCCACTAAGAGAAACTGAGAAATGTGTTCTGTTATTATGGATTCCATAACTTTACAGATTATGGGTGTGAGGCTGACTGGGCGGTAGTTATTAGAGTCTAGTTTGTATCCTTTCTTGAAAATGGGTGTTACAGAAGCTGTTTTCCAGATAGAGGGCATGTGTGTGTATTAAAAGACAAAGACATTATAATAGATAAAGGAACTGATATGGTATTAGATCATTTTTTTTAAATTAGAGAAGATATTTGATCTAGGCCCGGAGAGGAGTTGTTTTTTAATTTTAAAAGGTGACGTTTAACAATTTCAGGAGTAAAATTAAGCCGTTCTAAGAAGGGATTCTTTCGGGTGAGATATCTGGTAACTGATACTGAGGAGGTTCATTGGTGAAAAAATTTATAAAGGTATTAGCTAAAAGTTCAGCCGTTTCGAAATTATTTTGGCAGGGACTTCCATTTTCTTTGTTTAGTAAAGGGATACTTTTGATGACAGTGAAGATCTAATATATTTTTATAATTTTTTACAGTTTTGGCTGCATGCTATCGACTCTTCATATTCTTCTCGGGCCTCATTTATAAATTTCTTTAGGTCCTTGGAAAATTTTTTGTGATATTCTAGATCGACAATATTATTTGATCGCTTATATTTACGCCATAATTTACTTTTATGTCTAATCAAGGATATTAGTTCTCCGTTGATCCACGGTTTTAATTTATTTTTGTAAAACACCTTCTTTTTAGAGTATTGGATTTTATGAGTAGCAATAACGGTTGCGAACTTATTCCATAATTCTGCCGGATCTCCCGAGTCACCCAATGTTTCTATCCAGTCGATGGTAGATAAATGACGATTTAAGTTATCGAAATCGATGATTCCATATGATGTAGTATGATCTTTGTGAGATGGGTTCTCTATGTTAAACTGTATACGACTTATGATGACTGCATGATCCGATATTCCTATCGGAGATTGAATGATAGGGTCAGTTAATAATTGTTTATCATTTACAAATAACAAATCTAGCGTGGAAGGAATATTGTTGACTCGGAATCGTGTTGGATCTGTTAGAGCTTAGAACAAAGTTCAAAAATTTATTTTTTGAATTTACATCACTTGGAGTGAGAGTAACTGGCCACGAAATATCTCGGCAATTGAAATGACCAATAATAATAACATTTTCTAGTGAAGACAGATATTCAAGTTTTTCAATAAGGATGTCTTCAGCTAGTTGAGAGTCTCCGGGACGATAAATACAGACTAAATGAAGAGTAATAGAGCTAGAATACATTTTTAAACTTAATAATTCCATATTAGGGACACTAATGTCAAGAAGAGTAACAATTAGAATTTTTTTTGTAATATTTGTGTTAGGATTAACCTACTAAAGGTTTTTTACATTGAAATAGTAGTTTTCACTTAAACTTTTTATGTGTATCTGGGGTTGCTAGATATACGAAAGGGAAAAGCGTGGCAGATGAAAATACGGCTATTTTTAGAAAAAAATACTCTTTTTTTTGTGGATATCTAAAAAAAGATATTCCGTTTATATTTTTATAAAACAGGTTCCTATTTCTAAAAAAAAAACCTCTTACCTCTTCAAAAAATAATTATTTATAAGTTTGGATTTAAAAATTCGTGGCATTTGAGTACAAAGCGTGGCATTTAGATAACAAGCGTTGCATTTTAGTACTTTGGCGTGTCGAGTGGTAGCAAGTAAAAAACGTGGCAATCCCGCCTATGTGTATCACTGAACTCTCCACCAGTGAAACTATACCGACCCAGTGTTGCCAGAATATATTTTTGTTATGTACCAGATTTGTCTAAAAAATGTACCAGATTCCATAAAAAGATACCAGATTCTATAAAATGTACCAGATTTTTCGAATTTTGAAGTGTCGTCCAGAGATCAGAGACGTGTGATTCATTAAAGAGCAAAAAAAAGAACATGAACACAACAAACAACGAAGAAATGGAGCTAGACGAGTTTACTTCCGCCATATTGTGTTCACGAATCCTTCAAACAGCTAATCGTGGTTTCAATCAACGTTTTTTCTATTTTTATGTCGTTTAAAAACTAAATATATTGTACATATTAAAAGTTAAACATTGGTTGCTTGTGCTCAACGTATTTTTAGCAACCTAATGGATATTTATATGAAGAAATTATCTGAAATAACATTCCACAACTAAATATACAACATAGTAAACAATGTGCAGGGCCTTATCTTGAACTTGCTTACTCTAATATAAATTTCAATGATTTGATTAAGGCGTTTGATTGTATTGTTGCAAAAACTTAGAGTTTACGGAATCGAAGATGAAGTGCTGATAAAATCTTATCTTTCAAAACGTAAGTAAATGGTAAGAACTACTGAGAATTCTCAATTCAGTATTAATCAACATGTGACGACCATTCCATCCGAGCCGACTGATTTATTGTTTTTTTAAAGTTTTAATGGTTTCAATGATTTTTTTCTCATCAGTATCCATCAAGTTTCTTAGGAAAGGGTTTATTTTTTGAATGAATTTTGTTAACTAAATTTTTTCTTAAGTCCGAAAAAAAAATTGCAAAATTCATCAGAGATTTTTTTACATTATCAATTACATTATCAACGCCTCCTTTATTTCTGATATATTATCAGATTTGATGCTATTGCATTAACAGCTTTCCATAAATGTTTGTTATTTTGATTGTCATTAATAATCTTTTGATAGTAATTTTGTTTTGTTTGCTGAATCAATTCTTTAAATCTAGTACGGTTCTGTTTATAATTATTTATATTTTCAAAAGTTGGATCTTCTATGGATTTTTGTAAAGGATTCTTTTTGTATTCTAGATATAACTAAAGCATGAATAATCCAAGGAGTCCTTTTTTTATTTTAAACTTTTTTAATAGATTTAGCATTCATAATCGGAATATTGACCTTTGACACACTAGGGCAGGAACATGGTCCATTGCAAGCTAAACACAAAAGAGTGTGCTCTTAGTGCTAAGACGACCACATCTCGAAATAGACTTTACTACAAAACTAAATTTAAAAACCACGATGACAAACAATAGGGATGTCACAGAAGTTACTTTCATAAACAAATGATAGTAAATCACATTTTCAGGTACACTGATATTGAGATTAGAGCCAAAACAAAAATGTTAATGACGCACATGTAAAGAACCATTGCAAAAATATTAATAATTAACATCAATATTAAAAAAAAAAAAAATTAAAATACCTCGTTTCATGTGCACAACATCAGCCAAAAAGAAAACCGTTTGCTGCCAATGGGTCTTATCAACGTGCGGTCCAGTCGAAAACTGAACGTTATTATCCAAATCGAAGAAAGTATCAAAATAACCAGCAATGGCTGTTAAAGTTCCGTCTTTTTCAGCCGTCAAAGTAAATTTCGAACTGAATATGCAAGCGTTCAAGTTGCACGTCTTGAGATCGATCTCCGTTATCGCTTGGGCGTTCGTCAGGAGCTTGTCTTCCGGTACTGTTTCCACGAAGGCTTCTTTGAACACTTCGGCCTTCATGCATTTCATAGAGAAACCGTAAACGTCGTCCCAGAAATTTATTACTCTGTCGTATCTGTCTGAAAATAAATACTAAATCTAATATATCAAATCTCAAACCTATTGTGTATTTCAATAATAAAGAACAATATTTTAATGTAAGCTAAAATTGTATCTACTTCTTTATTTAATACTTAATGGCCTTAATGTTAACCATAGAACGATTTCTAAGGGCTAAAAAAGTTGCAATAAATAATAAAAAATGTATATAATCAGGACCCTCAATATGATGTGTTTATAACCTCTCACACAATATTGTTCAGATTTGAACATTTTTCTTTAAATACATACATCAAATTAACATTCTCTGCATAAAATAAATTATTTATTTAATTAAAATGTTTATTTCATATGCAGTTACTATAAACTTGCTCCAATTTCACCTCAATTTGATATTTATATTGTAATATAAAATGCTGACTCTTAAATCGTTTTCAAAACATTGGAGATCAAAATTGGAATAATATTTTTCTAATGCTAATTGTTATTTTATATTGTTTACTCTGTGATTTATAAATTTATATTATTGTATTCAATCTTTTTATTTAAAAATATGTATAAATTACCAAATATTATATTTACACTATTTTAATTTTTTTAATCCCTACTGTATATATGTCTTTTTATTATGAATGTATTAGTAAAAGATATATTAAATTGTTACCTGTATCACTTACTCCCACAATACTTATATTACACCTATTAGGCAATACAATTCCGTTTGGTTTCAAAAAAGTGTCTCTAGCATAAACAAAACTATCTAACATTCCTTCGAACAGAAGAAAATAACCCATCCATTCTGATACAATGATATCAACTTTTTCAACAGGTAAATTAATTTTTTCTAATTGTCCCTTAATTAAATGAATCCGGTCCTGCAAATTGTTTTCCCTAAAAAAAAATAATCGAAAGTTCATCTAAAAATACTGTATTTTTTTAAATTAAGTTATTTTACCTAATAATATCCATTGCTTTGTAAATTACTTCAGATTGGTCTATTCCATACACTTTTTCTGCTCCAGCTTTAGCAGAAAACATGGACAATATACCAGTGCCGCAACCAACATCTAATACAGTTTTATCTTTGAATGAATTTGCATTTTTCAAAATTGCATCCCGGTAACTGTCAGTCCTTACTTTATCCTATCGAGTTATATATATTTTTTGTATGAATTAAACAACATAAATTTAAAATATTAATTTTCAATGTTCAGTATAAAAACAAACACCAACACTATGAAGACTAGAGATAAGGAGGAGAATCGGCCTTGGTAAAATTTCAAATTTCCGTCCCTATTTTTATGGAGTTCCAAAAAACTACTGTAGTTGGCGGGTGGCAAAATAACGACGTCTGTTTTCTATGCAAGTCAATGGGAATTAAAGTGATTTTTGTAAAATTTAGTGAAAAAATAAAAATAAGCTGAAATAAAGAACCTAACTACAAGTAACAATGAGTAACAAAAAACGACAAAGCAGGATTTGCTTCGTTCCGGGTTGCAAAACGGGATATAAATCCGATATAAAATTAAAGAAATCACAAGGAGATAAAAATCCAAGTCTTTTTAAAGCTCCTAGCGTAAGTAAAATAATGTATTTATTTCTAAATAATATACATTTATTGTAAAATAGTCACAACCCGTATCTTACGAAGTGTAGTTTATTTAATTACAAAATTCTATAATAAAAAATAAAATCATAAATCCTGACTTACAAACAACAATAATTACACATTAAATTTAACTTACTAGAAAAGAAAATTTGCTTTTTTATGTTTTTTGATGTTAGATGAAGAGTTACTACTGTTATTTTTCTTTATTGAACTGCAATTTAGTCATTGCAAATATTTTTTATTGGATCCTAAATGTTTAGAACAATGGCAGCATGTGATTCCTAGGGCTGATAAAGTACTGTCTAGTTATGACTCTGTTTGCGAGCTACACTTTTTAGAAGATGATATTTTAAAATTTGATGAGACTATTTTAACTAATGGTACTGTTAACAAAATAAAAAGGGAAAGGCCGAGATTAAAGAACGAAGCAATACTCATGTATATTCCCGAATCTCCCTTCATACTTATCCAGTATTAGAAAAAGACAAAAACCACCTAATTTAAAAGATCATGACTACAATATTACAAAAACATCTCCAGTTATTTTATCTTACGTTTCTGGATACATTGCAAGAAAAGCTACCAGATTTACAAAATGTGAAACTTGCATTTGACAATTAAAAAGTATTGAGCCTCAGTCTAAAGATCAATTAATTACGTTAATAAGTGAAGGGTTTTTAATATTCCCTTCTCATTCTCTAATTTAATATCAATTCTGGAATCGACTATCTTAGAGGTTTTATCAAGAAACCCAGTTCATCAAGAAACTCTTTTTGAAATCTTGAATAAAATTGAAGAAATATGCATTTTATTTGTAGGGTGTGATGAACACAAAGAAAATATTACATCTGCAATAATTTGCTTTTACCTAATCAGTAGAATGCATTTTATTTGTAAACAAATTAATAAAATTGAAGCTAAAAAAGAAAAAAGTAGGTGTCTATGAAAGCAATCAAAATTGTAAATATGTATTTGTAATTTAGATTTAGAAATTATGAAAATGAAAAAACCCTAACTCCCCTACGAAATTATTACAAACTCATATTCCCAAAGTGAAACCAGACTAAACATTGAAAAAGCTGAGAAAAAAAAAAGAAAGAAATGCCTGCATGACCGGATCTTTTCAATTTTTCTTTAATTTCTTTTCACTTTGGGGATATGAGAAAGTAATTTTCATAATTTTGTAAGGGGAATTAGAAATTTTTTATTAATTATGTTATTTAAGCGTTTTGCCACTTTTAAGAACAAATTAAATGCCACCATTGTTAGTTGTCGAATACAAAATTACCACAAAACTGTACTTACCAAATTTCACCATTTAACAAACCTTTTCAAATTTGGTCATACTTAATTTTCATTTTATTTAGATAAAATTAAATAATGAATAGTAAATAATGTTTAACATAAAGATTAATTTATAATTAATATTAACAATATTTTCTGTACTTTAGTTAACAATTAAAACAAAGACTCATTTACAATAATTAAAATCAACAGTATTTCCTGTGCTTTAGTTAGCAATAAACAATTTGATTTTTATTATTTTCATAAAATTTTGTAAAATTCCTAACTAAATATTTTCATTTAGTATGCTCTCAGCCCTATTTAGCTTTAATTAAAAAATAATTAGCCCTACCCATCAAATTTCATCACTTATCATCAATAATTAGCATTTTACTTAAATAGGAACAAATAGTAAAATAATGTATCAATTAAAATATGTAAGACTTATTTAGAAATATATACAACAGTATGTTCTGTGCTTTATTTAGCTATAAACAAGTTTATTTTTATTATTTTGAGAAAATTATGTATAATTCCCATAAGAAGCCATCTATTTTGAACTATGTAAACAGTACCAGCACCCATGCGGTTAATTATAAAAGCTTAATTGACATGTGATTTTTGGGACTGTATTTTGAGCATGCTGATTCACCTCCTTATCTCTAGTCTTCATAACCAACACTTAAGTCAGCCAAATGACAAGAATTTTTTTATCAAAAATATCATTAAAAATCATTAAGGATTAATGAAAAAATTTGAAATTCTGTTAAGAAGCAAAAAGGAAAATTTAAACTATTAATTTTTTAATATTTGACAAACATTTTCAATAGATTATCAACTGCAAGAAATAATTCCCAATTGATAGGTGGGAGGTAATTATTCAATCCAAAATGGTCAGAATTCTTAAAATAACAAAAATATTAAATACTTTTAAGAGGATTTATATATATTATTTGTTAAAAAGAAAATGAATAAATATACCAAATAGGAGTACTTACATTGAGCATATCATGGTGAATTCCAAAATGAGAATAAGAATTAAAATAATCATTGCTTTCACAGCCGGAAGACACTACATTGTGAGCCATTTTCCTGTTTGTAGACTCTCCAGATTCAACTATCGTCCTAGTTACTTCTCTCATCTTCTCCATATCTTTTAAATACGTTTCTAACAGTAAATCCCTATGTCTAACCTAAAAAAAATGCAAATTAAGATTTATATTAGTAACTAAAAACAAACTGCACGATCTTACTTGCATAGTTAAGTCCTGTATCTGTTTCTGAAGGTCAGAAAAGTTGATATTGCTTATTGGAGTTTTGCCATCAATGGCATAATGAGGAGTGGATGGAGCACTGCCTAGATCATCAAAATCTGTAAAAAAAATATATTTTATGCTAGTCTGGTGCCACAAACATTTACCTACCATACATGAGCCACGTCTCCATGTCACCAGGTTTTAAATAAACATCATCATCCCATAAAGCCACTGAAGATTCAGTTAATATCCGAGGATCGGGCTTCTGAAGCCTGATATAGTTCACCATCTTTAAGTAGGAATAACAATCCATATTGTACTTATTTTTTAAATCTAGTAAATCAAATTTATGTTCGGATCGGCAATGGTCTAACGCAACTGCTATAGTGTGAAATTGTAAGGGACAGAACAAGCATGTTGTCTGTTCAATGTTGATTTCCATTTCGTCCCAACCATCAGAGTCGTCTTCTTCGTATGCTGCGCCACCCGAACAGACGTCCGAAAGCGGTGGGCAGTCTGCATCTGAGGAAACACATTTGTTAAATTTGCAAAAATGTACATACCTGTTTTGTAAGTTTTCTTTATTCATATCACATAAACTTTTAGCAATTCATATTTTTTCTTTGGGTATAAACATAGTAATAAATTGTAAAAGAAACACAAACGGTATCGCATTTATTATAAAAACGATCAAATTATTAAATTTCTCACCTTCTAAAGACATGTTCTTTACAATTTTTGTAATTTGTAAAGTAAAAAATCCAGACGTCAAAAGTAAAGGTAAAGAAGATGAGAAGAAGCATAGAAAAACTAAAGAGAAGAAGACTGGAGTTGGAAGCAGTGTTGCCGCACAAATTAAATTAAAATGTTATGATATGGCAAAATTGTTGACGTGATTTGATAGTGTCAATGATATAGATTGTCATATAGATTCATCATCCATGTTTTACAAAATAAACATAAGCTTATGCCTTGAAGTAAAAATGTAGGTAATGTGACGGCCCACCCCTACTTTATTATGTTTTTATTCGTTATTTTACTCTCTGAAATGTTATTATTTACCTCACAAGTTTTACTTTACTTTAAATTCCTTACTTACTGTATTTGGCCTTTTTCCTCTAGTAGTAAAAGTGATAATGTTAATTAAGGTAAACCAGAATTCGATACAAAGTTTGGTGCAAATTGATAAATAAAACACACACATTCATATTTAAACTCTTTTTATTTTTCATACTTTAAATGTGATGCAATAATTAGCAAAGTATATTACAATTGTTACTATTTACTGAGATCTCACTTGAGTCCCGTTCAAACGCGACCATATTCATTTGCTATCAATATATATTTTATTTAGGTTGATGACCAACAGAGTTAACAAACATCGTCAATTCGCCAGTTGATTAACTATAGTGTTGTTGTTTATATTCTAATTTAGGTTGATGACCAACGGAGTTAACAAACAGCGCCAATTCGCCAGTTGGTTAACTATTGAGTTGATGTTGATTTGATTCTATTCCAGATATATACAGGTTGCACCCTCTTAGGTAAATATTACGATGAGTATAGAGGTGATGACCAATGGAAATAACGAACAGCGCCAATTCGCCAGTTAATTACCTTACTATGTTGATTTCACATATACTTTATTTCAAACATAGTAGAACGGGTTGCTTAGCGTATATGTGTCCCCCCTTGAGCTAACGAACAGCGTATTCGCCAGTTGGTTAATTTACTATTAAATTTTACCATCTAAAATATTGATTTTTATAATTTCTATTGAAAAGACTTAATAAAACCCTGTATATGTTTTAATATTGATTATTATAATTTCTATTGTAATAACTTAATACAACCCTGTATATTTCTTAATATTGATTTTTATAATTTCTATTAAAATATTCAAAATTTCACCCATCGAAAACAGATGTCTATCCTGTCTTTCGGGGTGTATGACCTGAAGGCCATTTGGTTTATTAATAATATTTTACAGCAAATGTCAAGCCTGCCCTTAAACGAAACACGGATGGTATCTCAAAGAAAGGTACATATAAATCTTTTGACTCACCACTAAAAATACAGACATTAGATTATGTACTAATTTCATCTAGCGTTGTGACGGTGTCGATTCAGGTACGTCGCAGAGTTGAGCGTCGAGACGCCTAGCGTCGGCATCGTGGTGGAAATGAAGGTATTTAATACGGTACTGTATTTGGACAGATATACGGTAGAATTATGTAGGAGGTGCGGGACGTGATATTTTGAAGGAAATACTTAGGGACGGCAAGCGTCGGAAATAAGGCGTGGGACGTTGAGCATCGAAATGAGTGTACGGTAGGAAATACTTAGATGGTGAGAAATGTGACAGCGTTCGAGACGTAGGGAATAGGGCGGCAGGACGTTGGGCGTCGAGACGTTGACACCTTCGGGGATAGGATGTATTGTAGGATAGACGTCGTTTAGGAAGAGCGTTTTAGGAAAGGTACTGACTACTGAACTTGAAATATAACTGGATTCAAATAATAAATGAATGCATGCACATCAAATAATTAAAATGAATGACATGCATGCACCTCAAATAATTAAAAATGAATGAATGCATGCACCTCAAATAATTAAAAATGAATGAATCCGAGCTCATTTGTGTCTGGCTTTTTATACTAAAATTTTAATGGCTTTGTGACGTCTCTATGTCTTTAGTTCTCATAGAAATACTGTGGGTGCAAGGGGTGGCTTATTTATTACTTTCTTTGAAAGCTTTGTCTATCAAAATATTGTCGAAATCGGTCTTAACATCGAAACTAGAAATATAAGCGAGTTAAGTGTTTTAATGATAATTACTTTGTAAACAGGTGTTTCCTTTCTCTAGGTTTTCAGCCACGTACACGAAATTTGGAAGTTTTACGGACGTGGTTATAGATATTATTTATTAGGTGTCGTTAAATAAGATTTAATTATCTGGGAGATTTTTCGTTAAATGAATGATTTTGAATTTAATACGAATGCAATATTATATTTAATAAATGGAATTAATAAATTATTAAGGTACCTGGGTGCGGTAGGTTACGGTAATTATTTTTTTTACTATATTCAAAGGCTGAAAATTGGTTTTAAAACACATTTTTGCTAAACTGATTCATTAATGAGCACTTGCGAGGCAATATGGCCTCTCGCAAAACGACTTGTTTTGAGCAATCTATACAACTATATATGTACAAGCAGGGTTGCCATATCCGAACTGTCATTTCCCACTTGTCAGCATTTTGACAGGTCGATGGAATGCCTACGTCAAACTTCAATCGGTATAATCAACATAACATAAAAAGTCAACAAATATCATTTAAAATGTTTTAAAATCAAAAGTAACTTTTGTTGATAGAAAGATGGATTTAATCACACAAACAAGCCTGGAAGCCTTGCTGCGTAAGTTTCTCATTCATTAATTCAAAGTATACCCGCTAAATATATCATTTTAGTTAAGGCAACCAATTCGAAAAATTTAAACTTCGACACGGCAGCCGTAGAAGCATTTTGCACTTTGGTTAACAAGGAAAAGGACGGTATTCACATTGGAGTGAAAGTAATCGCAGCCCGACTGCCTATAGGAGAGGAAAAAGAAATGTTACAAACCTTAAACATATTGGATCATTGCATGTCCAAATGCGGCACCAATTTTCAAAACGAAGTCGGCAAATTCAGATTTCTCAACGAACTAATCAAATTAGTCTCGCCGAAATATTTAGGAGCTCAAACTCCGCTGACAGTCAAACAGAAAATTCTGCAATTGCTGTATGTTTGGACATTGGATTATCCTAAGGAAACGAAAATCATCGAAGCTTTCGATATGTTACGAAAACAGGGAGTCGTTAGAGAGATACCGAATCCAAATGTGCCGTGTTATGAACCTGTGAACGTTACAAAAAGAAAAGTTGCCAATTCTGTATTCCAAGATGAAGAGAAATCGAAGATATTGCAGAAGTTGCTGCAAAGCAAAGACCCTGAGGATATTCAAGCTGCCAATTGGCTGATTAAAAGCATGGTTAAAGAGGTAAGTCTTGTTTATATAAATTGATTTTGTTGTTCTATAGGGGTTTGAATTTGAATACATAAAACAATTATTGATTATTGTGTTGTATGGTAGGATTATATTTTTAAAATGCTGTCTATTTAGGACTACATGACCCTATATTGTATTGGGTATGTGATATTAATGCACTGAAGATCTGTTGTCCTTTTCTGTTGCTAATGCACCAAGGAAATAATCTCGATGCCTATAACAACCCTTTTCAATCTGACAATCAAAATATACTTTATTGACAAAGAAAACCAAGCATTGAAATATATCTACAAATAAATTTAAGAGTAAAAAGTTAAGAAATAAAATTAATATTAAAAACATGCAATTTTGGGTACATTATAATAGAAACAATTAAAAAAATACACTATAAAAGAATAAGTGGTACAGTACAATAACATTTTACCATTCTCTATTTTTAAACTAGGAGGAGTGATTTGAATTTTCTGGTCAAGTTTACATAGAGCAAAATTGTCTAATAATGACATTTCTTTGTCAATGATTTGACATATTGGGGTCAATAAGTTTAAAAATTTAAAATATTACTGTGATTTATTCTTCCTGAAGCCACCCTTGGAGGGTGTAGAGTTGAACAAGGGATTTGTTTACAGCTTTTTGAATCTTATTTAACTGACAGATGTCAAACAGTCATCGAAAATTGCAAAAGTTCATTGATGCATATCAGGAGAGGTGTCCCTCAGGGCTCAATTTTAGGTCCATTACTCTTTTTGATATACATTAATGATCTTCCTGACCATATGCATTTTGAAAACCTTATCACATGTATATTTGCTGATGATACTTCTTTTTGTTTTAATACTAAAAGAGGAACAGATCATGATCAAGTTTACTCTGATGTCATGATTCAGGCAAAGAGGTGGTTTTCTGTAAACGACCTGTTTTTAAATGATACAAAAACTATCTCCCAATTATTTACAGTAAATAGTGAACAAGTTAATAACAATTCTGTTAAAACACTTGGCATTCAAATTGATCCACATCTCAGATGGACAGATCATATTGAAGCACTTTGTTCCAAATTATCAGGAACAGTTTTTGCTATCAGGAAAATATGCCAAATATGTGGTCAAGATGCAGCAATTACTGCTTACTATGCTCTTATTTCATAGTCATTTGACATACGGGACAATATGTTGGGGCAATGCTGCTGACACACATATCTCAAGAGTCTTTATTTTGCAAAAATCAGCCATAAGAGCCATAACACATGCTTCTTGGCAAGCCAGTTGTAGACCAGTATTCCCAGAATTTAAAATTATGACACTATGCAGTAATAATCTATCAAAACCTTCTATTCGTAAGAAATAATATTAACACATTTTTTTCCCACTCAGATATCCATAACTATAATACAAGGCACAAAGATAAATTAGTCCCTATCCAGTATAGACTTGAAAGGACAAATAAATATATTGAGCTATACAATATACTACCACTTAATTTTAGAAATCAGCCTATAGATAAATTTAAACATACATTAAAACAAATGTTATCCAATAATTGCCTATATAGCTTAGAGGAATTTAAATCAATACAGATGGAGAATGGAGGCTGTCACTGTGGCCTCTGAGTGATTCAGTGAACTATGTTGTAAATTTCAATTTTATATTTAGGTAAATTTTATTATATATTTGGTTTTAATTGTAATTTGATGAGCCATAAAATGTAATATTTTCTCAGGTAAATAAAGATATTGTACATTGTATTGTAACAGCCAAAAATGGTATTTAGTAGTTTAGGTATATTGTTTTTTTTTATGCAATAATATCATTATTTTAAGAATATAAATATACTTAAATAATTTGTCGCGGCAAATGCATCGAATCTATTTTAATCAATATTATAGCTAATTCGAGCATTTATGATAGGATGACAAACGAGCTGAAATGAAAAGCAGAAGAATCTCTGAGCTAGAATCTGTCCAAAATAATGTGAGACTGTTGAATGAAATGCTGGACTCTTATAAACCGGAAATTTCGTCTGACGGCGATTTGGATCTCATGAAAGAACTGTACCAAAACTGCGAACGTTTAAGGCCATCAATCAATAAGTTAATATTAGAAACCAATCATGAAGAAGGTATGTTAGGTGAGTTGATCATTTTCATTTCTGGCTTCTTATCCTCTGGCTTTGCCGCTACATCTGGTGTCCCTCAAGGGTCACATTTGGGACCTCTACTTTTTAATATATATAACAATGACATCCAAAATTGTTTTAAGAATTCTCAGTTCCTTTGCTTTGCTGATAATTTAAAATTATTCATGCGTGTAAATTCCTTACATTATTGTATTTGCCTTCAAAAAGACTTGGTCCAATGGTGTAGTACTAATGGAATGGAATTAAATACAAGTAAATGTCATACAATCAATTTGAACAGAAAACATAATCCTATTGAATATATCTATAAAATCAATAACATAACGCTGGATACTATTACAGAGGTAAAAGATTTGGGTGTGACATTAGATTCCACCCTTTCTTTTCAAACTCATATATCGGCCTCAGTTAATAAAGCATTAAGAATGTTGGGTTTCCTTAGAAGAACTACTTCTGATTTTCATAATGTGATGTGTTTAAAGATTCTTTATTGTGCCTTAGTTAGACCTTATATTGAATATGCTTCTTCTGTATGGAATCCTTTTTATGTATATCTAATCCATAATATAGAACAGGTCCAAAGAAAAGTTTTACGCATTGTTGCATTTAAATCGGCTATCGTCGAGGTCAACTTCAGATACGAATTACACACACTGTCATCTCGAGACCCTTCTGAGCAGAAGAAACCAAAGGGATCCTAAAATATTGTTTAACAGTATTAACTCATCTGCCGATTGTCCCTACTTGTTATTCCAAATTGGATTTTCTGTACTCTCTAGAGTAACTAGGAATATTAATACATTCTCCCAACCTTTCCATAGAACAAATTATTTTATTCCTAGAATGACAACTAAACAGACTAAATGTAAAATGGATTACTTCTCCATCAGATTTTTCTAATCATTTATATGTGAGGAGTAGATTTTTAATTGTTTTTAATATTTATGTATTTAAATTAATTTATTATTATTTAGGATTTTATTACTATTTAATGTATGTAATATGTATTCTCTATAATTGTATTGTTTTAATGGGCTCTGTCCCATAAATAAATAAATATTTAGGTATGTACTTATAATTGTTTCATTGCAGACGATATTTTAAAGACAAACGATGAGTTATCAGCCATCTTTGAAAAATACAATATTCTCATTTTACGTGGAAAGCAAACAGCTGCGAAGAAACCAGTAGAAAGTAATGAATCGCTTCTTCAATTCGAAACAGTCGAATCAAAGGCAAGACTGGCTCAAGGTGATAACAAGGAATTGACAGTTGATGTTTTGTGTGATATTTTTACTAACACTGTACCCGATTCTGGCGATGTACTGCAACCTGTTACTGTAGCTAAATGTGGTAAGTCATTGCTACATACAATAGTTTAAATGAATAAAGATCTAATTGGAAATATTATTTATTATTTCCTTTATTTAGCTTAAAAATTTAGTAAAATATATATACATACACAAATCAAAACATACTATACTGCTACTATAAAAATATATAAGGGCCATCGTCAGTAAACAGGTTAATGTCACATTGACCCTTGACAAACAAAGTCATTGTTATAAACTAAAAATAACAGAAGAACTAATATGCTTCCCTGTGGAACTCCTTTGGTATAGTTAATTTCTACTGATATGATTTTATTTACTTTTAACCTTTGTTTTCTGTTTCCCATTACCATTACCTCTTCTATCTGTTATGTATAACTCTTCCCAAAAAGTTATTTTCGATTTCCAAACATAATTTTTTTTTTTTTTAGATAATTCAATAGGAGAAAATAGTAAAGAAAAATCAAAACTTACAGGATTTGAGGAATTAGATTTATTAGGACATCATTTGATGAAGGAAAACCTGCAGAATTCCAAACAAGTCAATTTTAGCAGGTACATACAGGGGAATTGCATCAATTTACCATAAACATTATTTTACTCAACCAATTTCGCATAGTTATATTTGATATTTCCAGGTCTAGTAACGACAAAGTTCCCATGAATCTTTTGAGTAAAATATCGGAAATGAAACAAAAGCAGGAGCAACAACAATTGCCAGCCAAACCAGTAACCGTTTCAGAATCGTACAATTTCGACTTGAGCTACCTCTTAAATACCCAAAACGGTACAAAATCGCCCAATAAAGAAACCCATGATACATCCGACGATTATCTAGTCGACATCACAGATGAAAAAATGCTGGAAGTCGATAAACACGACGATGAAACAACCATACACACCGTGTCGACCGTAGCGTCGCAGGATAACGGCGACAAAGGACAGAACTGCACGATTGAGCGATCGCCGAAATCTGAAATTAAGTTGAACAATGTGTTCGTGAAATTAGAGAGCATCAAACCGAGCGGTTTGCCGCCGATGACTGTCTTGGAGGAGAAGAACGGGGTCAGCGTTACATTGCATTTGGCCAAAGATGAACCGAAAGAGGGCGTTAGCGTTTACGTCGTTACTACTGTTAGTAAAAACGAGGTGCCTATGAGCAATTATCTGTTTCAAGCCGTCGTTCCGAAGGTAATTTGATTTTTTTTTTATTTTGACCTAATTAATGGTGTAAATAGTATGTTGACTAAATTTATTATAGTTACAATTATTGAATTAAATTTGTTGCTTTTTTAAAGATTCCCAAAATAGATCTTAGAAAATATTAACAACACCTATTTGGTTCTTGTAAATTGATAGTAAAAACAAATATTAAATGACATTGCTGAGCATTCAAAGTGTCATTTTTGGGATTGATTAATATTTTCCATTGGTTTGCAGAAGTTGGCCATATTTTTTGCTAATATTGCTGAACCTTCATGTTAATGTGCCACAAATCTGTTATTTTATAAAATTCTGTGTTATTTGTAAACATTCAGAAGTCAGCTTTGTTTGTTGCAAGCACTGGTTAAATATAGTTGTTTTATTGCACCAACTTTGGGCATTCAGATGTAATTTTCTTTACTAATATTATTTCAGGGATGCAAATTGAAGTTGCAACCACCTTCATCCACCGATCTTCCAGCCTACAATCCGTTCCTGCCCCCGTCTGCTATTACGCAAATAATGTTGATAGCCAATCCGGAATCTCAACATATTGCTTTAAAATTTATCATTAGCTACACCATGGACGACGAGACCATCACGGAAATGGGCGAAGTCGATAGGCTGCCTAAGTTATGAATTAAACATTGAGATATTGAAAAAAAAAATGATAAGTAAAACGTTATCATAGTTAAATCATTCTTATTTATTGATTTTTATCCTAACATTATGGGTTCTACAATGAAAATGAAAACATTTTTTAGATTATATTTCCTATTTTTTGGGTAAAATCTTTTAAGATAAATTTTGGTTGTTTCAAAATATATTTTTAATAGTAAAATCTACATAAAAATACCTTTAGTAAAATTTGCAGAGTATCAGATTCTTAGCACATTTTGTAATAACCATTTTTTTCGTAGAATCAATAATTAACAAGTTAAAGCGATTTAAAGGCTTAAAAACGTTAACATTCAAGAATATATTCTTAAAAAAACACTAACCTTTTTGTGGACGTTGAAATTGCCCACAATTTTTGTAATGTTATTATATTTGTTATACAAGTATGTCGAAAATGTGTACCTTTATAAAATTATGTATATTTTTTTATTTGTATCTATGTTGACATTTGGTTTTGTCTTCTAGTCATTCTTTTGTGATTTATTTTATGATCTCTTTACATCCGAAACAAGTTAATCAAAAATTTATGTAGTAGAAAGTTTTTATTTTTCTTTATGTATATTGTTAGTCATTTGTATTATGTTGGAAATAATTGATGGCATGTTTTGACGAGTTTTATATAGTTATGTAAATGATAAGTATTTAACAAAGTAAAAATATTTGTGCCATTTTCTGTGATTTATTTACAATTTTCTTTTGAAAAGCTAAAAATACCTTTTTAACTTTTATTATCATACTTTATTTAACAAATAACTATGTACAAAATCGTATCAATACAATATCCTTAGCTGGTTATGTTTTATTATTCCATTTATCCTCTAAATATAAATAAAATATTAAGATGCATCCCTGAAAGCCAAGGATGTAACAGCTTTTTGATGTCCTGCATACTCTCGTTCCATAACTCCAGTTTTCACGTTCCATAATCTCGCATTTCCATCCGATGATGCTACAAATTTTAAAATAGCATCAACATCTATCTACACAGTCAATTGCACTAGAAAGTTCTAGCTACAACCGCAGAAACTCATGACGTCATCTGTCAACAGTGTTGCCAGATGAAGTATGTCCAGTTCAAAAAATGGCATAGGTCAAACTTTAGTCGTGTACCTGTAAATATGTATTGTCCATCAGCGCTGAAAGCTGTGTCCCACACCCATCTCTGGCTTTCGGTTTGCTTCAGCTCCTGTAATAAAGTAAAATGGTCTGCACTCCATATTCTTGCTGTAGTATCAGCCGATGTAGTAGCTAGTAAACTAAAATATAAGTATTTTATCAAAATAGGAAGGAAAACAATTTTACTTGTTATTCATTGACCTGAAAACAATATTTGACATAATCTCAAGAAAAAATGGGGGTTACTGTGAGACAAAAGGATTACAACCAAAAGTATAATTATTTTGCATACTTACTTCGAATCTGGACTAAATTTACATTTCAGCGTATGCCTCGTATGTGCTTCGAATTTCTGCTTGGGTATCATTTTAGTGGGCGTGTCTATTACACCTGAAATCAAACTCCAGATGTAACATCTACCCTTGTTGTTAACGGAAGCCATCAGCTGGCTGTCAGGAGATATTTCTACGTCTAAAATCATTGCGTCATTTTCAGGTATCTAAAAGTTATTATTCATATAATTTAAACTATTTACAAAAAATATATAAATACAGGGTGTCCTTTAAAATGTGTCCCAAAATTCTCAGGCAGATTCCTTAACCAAAAAATGGAAAAAAAGTTCCTATAGACCTATGTCCTAAAGTGCCCCCTAAGCGAGCAACAGCCTCTCGAAATCATTTTTTTTATTTTGATTTTTTGAATTTTCTTAAAAATGGAAACAAATAAAAGAACCAAATTTTGGCTGTTAAATATGATCAATAATAGTGACCTTTTGACACCTTCAAAAAGAAATTATTTCGTCAGGGGTGTACTTGGGAATTTTTTGAAAATTTTGATTATTCATAACTTTTTTGTGTTTTTGGTAATGACTTATCCATATTTTTTTTTACATTCTACATTGAAAACTACGTCAAAAAGGAATACTTGTTTGATCTCGATTGGAGCAGCCGTTTCCGAGAAAACATCATCCAAAGATATTCGTGCAGTTTAGGTTAATTTTCAATTTTGGCTGTTGTAGCCAAAAAGTTGGAAATCGAGGAACACGGCTTACATGTCCCTATCCTTACTTTTGAAGGTCTATTCAGTGGCAAAAAATATTAGTTGATACAGGGTGATCAAAAATCGGATGTGATTTTGGATTTTTGATCACCCTGTATCAAATAATATGTATTTTATGTCACTGAATAGACCTTAAAAAGTTAGGATAGGGACTGTAAGCCGTTTTCCTCGATTTCCAACTGTTTGGCTACAACAGCCACCTGAATTTGAAAAAATGTGATTTTTGAGTAGCTGTAGATCCTTTACTATTCATATTAGATAACAAGTGTGATATATCATTGAAATCAGATTATCGAGCAGATTCTAAAAATATAAAAATATACAGGGTGTTCCATTTAAAAAACATAACTTTGATTTGGCACGGCCTTATGAAACACCCTGTCACATCGTAACTAATTTTAAAATGTGAAGCTTAAAGCTGCCTACTTTTATTATAACAGATCTACAGAGCTTCCTCACACTAATCAATCACCCTGTATACTATTTTTAGCTCTCTAAATAAAATTTAAAAATTTAGTTCCCATTTATTTATTATGAAGACCATAAGGTTTGTATTTAGCTGTTTAGAATAAAAAAGTAAAAATATGTATTTTTTTGGCGTTTTTGTGTTTCATGGATAATTTTTTTCGCTCACTGATAAAAATGTTTCTTCAGTTAAACATTATTTCTAAAAGTGTTCTGGTGCTATTCGTTGTATTGTTATTATTTTGTTTAAAATGGCTCACAATAACTACAATAATGATTACACATTCGGCGAAATGACGGACATGCACTTATGTTTTGGACTCGCTTCTGGAAATGCCAATGAAGCTCGCAGACTTTATCAGGAACGCTTTCCAAATAGGCATCTTCCATGCGCTAAGACGTTTTCTAGAATTGACGATAGACTTCGGGAAACTGGTACATTTAAGAAGAACTCTAGTAACAGTGGAAGACAAAATTATGTGAGAACTCCTGCTTTGGAAGAAGCAATTTTGGATAGGGTAGCTGAAACCCCATCGACAAGTACCAGAAAAATAGCAAATGGTAAGTAATTACTTATTTATTATTTTAGCTACCCCGTACCTTATCGTATAAAACTAGTTTTTTTACTTGTTATTGCTTCTCTTACATTTCACGACTTTTCGTATCGAAAAGAGTTGCGTTATGCAGAAAAAATCTGATTTCCCAAATCAATGGATTCTCTTTCTTAACTATTCACTACACAGATTCTCTCATTTAATTTCAGAAGTGGGAGTCGGACGTAACACGGTATGGAAAGTCTTGCGTGAACAACAATTGTACCCTTACCACATTCAAAAAGTTCAGGCACTTAAAGCTACTGATTATGAGCCGCGAGTTATCTTTTCTGAATGGTTTCTTGGAAGATGTAATCAAGATGCAATGTTTCTTAATAAAGTGCTATTTACCGATGAAGCTGGTTTCAATGATATATCACACTTGTTATCTAATATGAATAGTAAAGGATCTACAGCTACTCAAAAATCACATTTTTTCAAATTCAGGTGGCTGTTGTAGCCAAACAGTTGGAAATCGAGGAAAACGGCTTACAGTCCCTATCCTAACTTTTTAAGGTCTATTCAGTGACATAAAATACATATTATTTGATACAGGGTGATCAAAAATCCAAAATCACATCCGATTTTTGATCACCCTGTATCAACTAATATTTTTTGCCACTGAATAGACCTTCAAAAGTAAGGATAGGGACATGTAAGCCGTGTTCCTCGATTTCCAACTTTTTGGCTACAACAGCCAAAATTGAAAATTAACCTAAACTGCACGAATATCTTTGGATGATGTTTTCTCGGAAACGGCTGCTCCAATCGAGATCAAACAAGTATTCCTTTTTGACGTAGTTTTCAATGTAGAATGTAAAAAAAAATATGGATAAGTCATTACCAAAAACACAAAAAAGTTATGAATAATCAAAATTTTCAAAAAATTCCCAAGTACACCCCTGACGAAATAATTTCTTTTTGAAGGTGTCAAAAGGTCACTATTATTGATCATATTTAACAGCCAAAATTTGGTTCTTTTATTTGTTTCCATTTTTAAGAAAATTCAAAAAATCAAAATAAAAAAAATGATTTCGAGAGGCTGTTGCTCGCTTAGGGGGCACTTTAGGACATAGGTCTATAGGAACTTTTTTTCCATTTTTTGGTTAAGGAATCTGCCTGAGAATTATGGGACACATTTTAAAGGACACCCTGTATATTATGTAAATCTAACACATATTTTTTTACTTCACAGCTCTTTTCACTTGCTACAGAGAAGAGTTGAAAATATCAATGTTTTGCTTTGCCGCATATTTATTTATTAGCTTTAAATTACAAATTATTTTTAAGCTATTGCATAGCTTTTATCGCAGGCTTTGAGCGCGGCGACCGAATCAAGAAATTCCGTAACGACCGTAATAATAATAAAAAAAAAAAAAAAAAAAACACCCCCCACTCCGACCGGCACAGCGGTGCGGCGTTAAACAATATTAACTTCTCATTTATTCAATAAAAGAAAATCGAAAAATCAAAAAAGAAATTCCGTAATGAAAATAAACCTAACACCCCCCGTTCCGACTGGCACAGCGGTGCGGCGTTGAAAGCCGTGCATCGTCTAACGTCGTTTCAGTTCGGCAGACTTCGGCACGGTGTTTGTGTGCATGCGACTAGACGTATGCGTGGAGACTAGCTAACTGAACTGCTCATAACTGATTCTATCTCTTAGACACAATTTCGGAAAAATTGAATTTGAAAATGAATAATGATCCACAAGAATCCACAACAAAATATGGGACCACCATTGACGCGGTATTTTCCAGATATTTAGAGGATATCAAGTCTCAAACTTATGTTTCTTATTTCAGTTACCATAAACCTATAGTTTCAATGATAAAAAATCCTGAATAACCTACATGTATTGTAAGATAATAAAAATATTTTAAACAATATTAACTTCTCATTTATTCAATAAAAGAAAAAACTTGAATTAATATCAAAGAAAAAAAAATACTGCATAAATAAAATAAATAAATAAATAATTGCATAAGTTGATAAAAAATGCTATGCAATAGCTTTACCGCGACAGTTCCCGAGTGCCACGGGTATTTTTTTATTATTATTATTATAAACTCTTGTTAGATAATTCTTTTAAACCATAATAGTTATAAGTTACAATGAGTTACAATAAAGTACAATAATGGAAACCAATTATATAATATCAAACACCTAGGTGAGAAGACTTGTATGTATATTTAATGAATTATAAAAGAAATAAAACTTGAACAATATCCATGTATTAAGTCCGTTATTCTTGGAATATTCTTTGCAATATCTTGGAAAATGTATATTTTGCTTGAATATCAATCTGAGTTAAGCTCTTAATGTAGAACAGTCCCTTGAGGCACTCCGATTTGTATATTTTCAGGGTTACTCACATTGTCTCTGACCTTTACCTTCTGTTGTCTGTGTGTCAAATAATTTTCAAAAACCTTCCAACACGATTCCCCTCACTCCATTCTGTTCAAGAACATTTAAGAGCTTCTGATGTGGCACTGTGTCAAATACTTTTGACAGATCTAGAAATATAGCTATACACTTGTTACCAATATTCATTTTATCAGTAACATATGAAATCAATTCATGCATAGCATCTCCTGAGTTAAGACCCTCAGTAAAGCCATATTGGTGCTTGGGAAATAAGTCATTAGTTTTTAAAAAATTTGTCAGTCTATCTTTCACACATTTCTCAAATATTTTGGCCACATTACTAATTAAACTAATAGGTCTATAGTTAGTTATTAATTTTGGATTACCAGCTTTATAAATAGGTGTTATAATTGAAGTTTTAAATTGTTTAGGTAGGATTCCTGTATTAAAAATACAATTAATTATATGCATAAAAGGTTCCAGTAAATAGGGATGTAGTAGTTTCAGATGTTTTACTGTTATACAATCAAACCAGGGCACTATTGTTTTTTAAACTATTTATGTGTTTTATAATATCATTTTCGCATATTGGTTTCAGAAACATTGATTTTTCAGTGACATTTACAGGAAAATCCACATTACATTCAGGGATATTTGTGAACATATTAGTAGAAAAGTAGTTATTGCAGTAATTCACCATTTCATTATCATTTTCAAATTCCTCATTATGTTGGTTAACAATCTGTAAATTAGTATTGTTTTTTTAATGATTTCCATTAGTTGCTTCAGAGATTAATTGAGTTAATTAAGTTTTTTTTAGATCATTTTTGTTTTGGTTTATTTTATTGTTATAATAGTCATTTTTAGTTTTTGATATTAGTTTGTTTAAATTATTTCTAAATGTTTTATAGTTAATAGTATAGTTTTTTTGTAGATCTTTTTTAAGTTTATCCCCAGTTTTAATAGAATTAATTAAACCATTTGTTATCCATGGATTTATTTTTTTATGGATTTTAATTATAATATTTTGAGTGGTTTGACATATTTCAATTCTGGATTATTTTCATTGCAAACACTTTCCCAGTATCTATTTTAGTTATAGTTTGATATGTATTGTAGGAACTTGTGTAGTTTTTGGCAGATTGTGAGATATTTATTATAATAGGATCATGATCAGTCATATCATAGCTGATTACATTAGAGAGAATTATTTTATTTAATAATTTTTTTAGGATTTCCTTATATTTTTACAAGAAGAAGTCATACGATAACTAAGATTAGCGCTACCTTTATGATTAAGATTTATAATTTTTGGGTGATTTAATAACACAATCCACATACTAGCACATCTTGTCCCACACGGTATTACATAAATATACACAATAACTTAAATATAAACAAGGTATTCTAATTACCTAACAATGCATCTTAAGTTCACTAGTACCCTAACATTCAAAGTAATGAAGAACTTAAATAAATTAGAAGACAAAACTTTTAATGGTCTAATTTTGAATATTCATTTTTTCTCATTGCTAGGAATTAATTAAACCTTGGTTGCATTATTGAAGGGAAAGGAAAATAAATAGCTATTCAGCCCACAATGGCAAGTTAATATGCTGTGTGTGGGCTTAATGACACTTATATACATTCTTAGAAAGAGGTTAATTAGATATAAATCACATTTACTTAAAATTACCCACAAATGATCTAATATTAATAGTTAGAAAAGCAAATATTGAAAATTAATAAATTTTAGGATTAGAGGACTGTGGTAAGCAATTATATAACTTAGGACCTACACAATAGATATGGTTCTGACATGCAGTATGGTTAGGATTTTGAAGCCATAAATCTTTTTTAGCAGCCAGTCTAGTATTAATGCTATGAGACAATCCCTGTTTAAAATGGTTTGTTTTTAATATAAATCTGATTATTGATTTCAAATAAAGTTGATAAGGAGTTAGTAAATTACTATCTTTATAAACCAGTTCAGTTGAATATCTTCTATTTTTAAAAATCATTTCTCAGAAGTCTTATCATATCAATTCCTGGCTGAGAGGAGTTTATCAATCATTACCCAGCTCTTGTTTTACATCAGGTAAAGAAATTGCCACAGTCAAATTGCATGTATGTTTCACCACATCTTTAGGATAATTTCTCCATTTAAGGGATATATGTTTTCATACAGGTCATAGGTTCCCCAGTGGGCGCTGAAACCTTCTATCATAACCAAAATATTAATTAATACATACCAATTGTTCATTATTATCAGTCCTAAGATCCCATCTATATATAATGCCATTTTGATCTCCTACAAACAATTCAACTTGATTTGGATGCAAAGCGACGCAATTTATGGGTGACTGCACTTCAAATATCTTAGGACACTGATTATTCCTCGACCTCAGATCCCATATTCTGGCTCTGCTGTCCTCACCGCCCGAATACATCCATTTGCCATCTTCTTGAAAACCTACGCATGTAACGTTTTTGGAAGTGCCTTCATAATTGACTATGGCGTTCGGATTGTTGGACGTTAAATCATACATGTAAATGTGTTGGTAACTTGCTGCGGCTAGATGCTGGCGGTCGGGTGTGATTTCTAATGCATTAACTTGCTACAATTCAATTATTTAACAGATATCATTCTTATGTATTTGTATTAGGGTTGATTCCGTAAATAATTAAAATACTTACCGATTCGGCATGTTGCAAGGTTCTTGTACAAATTCCAGTGTGAGTTTGCCATAACTTTATTGTGTGGTCATATCCACCCGTTGCTAATATTATGTTGTCATTATCCAAACTATCGATAGTCATAATTATAGTCTTTATTTATTTCTCGAATTTACTAATACATTTCTATAATTATAGAAATACAATTTTTCCAAATTTGTTCAACAATTTTCCAATGTTTATGTCAGTCAAAATGTCAATATTTTAGGTTAGGAAAAATGTTTCAACAAAGACCATCATCTATAACTAGATCATCAATATTGATGAATATCTGATGTCAACATTTTGTATCAACTTCACACTTATTGGGTCTGGAGTGTGTTGAAATATTAACACGTTCGGTGCCAATGTGTCACGAACTAACGTCGAGAGGCATTGTTATGTAATTTGTACTGAAATAAACAATGCTTAGCCTTTTTTTATTATCTTTTTGGTGCCCTGTATATAATGAAAGATGGTGTATTTTTTCTAAAAGACCAAAAAAATTAAATATAATAAAAAAAAGCTATAACACAAAAAATAGTTTATTTCAGTACAAAATACATACAAAATCGGGCCAAAATGGTTTATACCTACCGCAAGATATGTGTTTAAGCAACCACAAATTATCAACGAGTACAAAATGTCCTTTTTTTTTCATTTTGAAATAAAAACCACAACACAAATAATTAAAAGTATTTATAAATAATATATATTCATATTCCATTTCAATTGTACAAAATATATTTAATTAGCTAAACTTAACACCAGTGCCGTGCCTCTTTTAATCCAGAAATCTGAGCTTTCATTTCCCGATTTCAAGTCAACAGCCACAACAAATGACGGCCTGAATTGGGATCCCGTTCTTACTGGATAGTAATAACAAGGGCAGGAATACAAGCCTAAAAAGGAAATTAATATTTAAAAGATTACAATTTCTACACTTCAAAAAAACAAAATACCTTTGGTTTTCTTTTTGAGCTGTTCGACAGGCTTAAAGTGTATCAAAGGCATTGGCGACACCAGCTGCATAGGCTGCGGTTCTATTAACATGCCATGTTTCCTATCCCAACCCGCACCTTCCAGATACGTATCTTTAATGTAAACACCATTCTCGGGAGGCTCTTGTATATCCTTCTCTTCTCCCGCCATTACAGTGAACTCCCATCCTAGCGTATCTATTGGAATTTCTTGAGCTCGAGCAGTAGTCTAACAAAATTCCAAACGAATCAATATTATTTTTCATAACGGCTCGTAAAAAAAACGGGATATATACCTGTAGAACGGCTGTTAGAAAACCAGTCGGGAAGGTGTAGGCAGCCAACCAGAAGAACAAAGGTTGTATATGCGTGGCAGCCCAATCGGAAAAGTGTTGAATTCTGGCAATGAGATCTCTCGTCCAACTTCCCAGTAATTTAAGAGAAGAATACGCTGAAATTAAAAACACTCGATGAGCAGAAACTTAAAATCAATCAATAATAGTGATGAGTTGCTTGGAATAGTCCATAGACAAGTCCAACGAACTTTTAAAAAGTGAAAAAGTATATATTGTGCCTACACGAAATTAATTTAAATACTTTGGCTGAATTTCTTACAAATAAAGGCTAAATATAGTTTAAAAAAGAGGAAACGACAAATTACTACTGAAATTTTACTCACGTATCGAGGACAACACTAATCATTTGTAATTGCTCTGTGGTGGGAGGTGTTTGTGTGAATGCGTCTTGTTTGTTTTCATTTACGCCGTAACTAGCAGTAGTATTTTATAAACCTTAGAAGCAAATTTCACATACATAAACAAATAATAATGCCGTGACAACAAGAAGATGAAGCAATGACTTCTCGTTGGGTGGCGGCTTCGCCGCCACCAGAAAATTTCAATCCATACCTGGCTACGCCGATCGGCATAAACACCAACGGCCTGGACACAGCTCACCTACTCTGTCAAAAGGAGACGGATGTACAAATAAAACGCATACGACATGCGCACTACATATAATTAGTGTTGTCCCCGATACGCGAGTGAAGTGAAAAATTACCAAAAAACCAACTGTTTTTGTAAATGGATTGTGTATGGATTTCTGCAACTTTTACAGTCATATCCAAAAATTAAAGTCTAATCACAAATCAATAAACATACAACCGATTAAAAACGAAAAATAAATGTGCTCATTACTTGTTACCTTTTAACCACGTCGGAGGAACCCTTCCGTCATTAAGACAGTCAAATATTTCTTCCAGTTCCGCAGACATGACGGCCACACCGAGAATTCCTTTTTGAAGTTCCACTAATCCAGTCTCTATGTCACTTAGAAGGACATTGTACCTGAAACCAAACAGAATTATGTAATGATTCAATTTTTCTTTCAGTTACGTAAATATGGGATATTTTTAATCTTTAAAGTACTAATCATTTTCTAGAAGAAAAAAAAAACTTATATGTATAAAATAGAAAAAGAAAAAATATTTTCCAACTAAAATATCGCAAACGGGTTTAAAGAGTTAAAGAAGAAAAGCCTACCTTTGCATTTCTTGTAAGAGGATCACATCCAAAGGACATTTGTAGAAACCCATCATCTTTTCTGTACCTTCATAATCCATTACTCTTGGTACTTTTTCTAGAATATCTTTAGCTAAATCAGCTACTCGTTGTTCTTTTGTTTGATCGCCAGTTGCTGTACTTTGGACCTCTAAAATTTCAGCATCATTAGTACAGAATTACAAAGCAATATATTAATTAAAAGAACTGGCACATTATTGCGATTATTAACCTGTCTCCGCCCTGACTTTTCCCTATTTCTTTCAGCCTCTGGAAAATTATTTATTTGGCACAAACGACGAATTAGAAATCAACGTGACATCTATAACTTTTCATCTTTATCTGCAGTTGCCCGAGTACTTCTGACGCCATTTCAAAAGTTGAGTAAACCACAAATAATCTGGCGCCCGAGTAACCGTCCGAGAACAGAGCCATTCGTAATAGTATTTTTTCAAAGGGTGGATAAACACCTTTACACATTATTGGATATCATTATAGCATTTTAGATGTACTTACCTAGAGACATGAGAGTTTGAAAAAGCATTCGAGATTCATTAATTAAAGAAGTAATATCGGCATTCGGATGCTGTCCGAACGCCTCCGGCCTGTCCGTATTGGGCAAAAGCGTAATGTAATCAAGATACGATTGAATTGAACCATCTCTCGGTATGTAATAAGTCGCCAACGATGATAACCTTAAATTAAATTGAATATTGTATATTATTTGCGTTGATGATGCATATATATGGACACTAAACTGACCTGAAATGATGCGTGTATACTGCTTCTTCGCAAAAATACTGATTTATATAAGTAAGAAGTAGACGCCTGTCCCAATCATCGGTAACATGCCCTCCGTAATTAACTCCGGCTATGAGATATTTTAGAGCGTCCCATGGGGTCACTTGATATTCATTTAGATAAATGGTGAGCAAGTTTTCAGAAACCTAAAACGTTTTAAAAATAGGTTTATACACATACAGTATGTTAACCCATAGATCCTTCGAAATAAAAATGAGATGTTTAATTATATTTGCACATGAGAGAAATAAGGAAAGACTCTTGTGAATCGGCTTCCTGCCTGTCGTGATACACTCCTATCACTAGTGGGCTGACGCTTAATCTATACCGTTCTTTTGGCGTCATTGTAAGAAAATTAACATATTGTTACGAATTAATATAACACCCTGTGAATAGGTATTTATGATTTATAAAGTTTTGTCCAAGGGCAGGCGCGGTAAACATATATTCAATAAAATAATAAAAGTACAGGGTCAAGAAAGATCAACAAGAGCATTCTTGAAACATTACAAGTAAATTTTCGAGAGTTCCTTTTGGTCTTTGTTGACGAGCGGTCGAAATTATTCGAATTTTGTGGATTCCTTTTTTATGTCCGAAAGTAGAGTCACGGATCGCGGTTATTATTTTATTGAATATATGTTTAGCGCGCCTGCCCTTGGACAAAACATAACATACCTATTCATAGGGTGTCATATTAATTCGTAACATTCGTATACATACACACACTAGAAAAAATTTGATTACCTGAAAATCCGAGTCATTAAAACTGTACACCACATTCCAACCAAGCTGTTGAAACTTCTTTCTCTCCAACAATATGGCATGAAAGAAACACAGAGCAAACAACAGCTTTTTGTATTTTTCTGGAAACTGGCATGTCGTGAATTGATCTTCAGTAATCAATTGGTATAATCTCTTCAGATTTGCTTTCAAACCCTATATACATTAAAATACATGTTATAATTTATTTGTCAAAATTGTCAATTTATATAATCGTATAATAGCTAATCGAAATCCAAAAGATCAGAAAAGTATTCGAAATAAATGGCTGAATAATTTGAAAATTCGGAAACGAATCTCAAAAATCACCCTACGAATTATTACTAAGACCATCCCCGAATCCCAAAGGTGAAAAATACTTGAAAAAACCCTTTCGCAGCTGGGAATCGAACCCGTACATCCTTTTATGCCATACAAGTGCCCTTTCCTCTAAACCATCACGATATTGACTGTTGAGATTCTTAGACGCAGTTCAAGCTCGTTTTCAAAACTTCAAATACCGGATGTATATGAGAAATGCATTTATGCATACTAAGCCCATATCTTCGTCTGCGTTTTTGATGATCGTTGATTGTGTTTACGTGTTTTAATTTACATTGAAAACTTAACTCATGCGGACGAAAATAGTTTTTTTTAAATGTATTATAGAATTCATTAAAATAAACATACTTTGGGTGGCTCGGTAGTCATCTTTATTCCAGTTTGAAGAATCGATATAGGAAACTCCGGATTCGGACTAGAACTCAACCACACTCTAAACAGCGGGTGTATGTGTCCACCTTGCAATAATTCGATAATTTTGTCCAATTTCGGCATCCAACTCAAAGACAAGTGGCAGTTCGCCAAAAATATCCAATGACCTTCCTTAGAACCAATTTGAATCAACCTAAAATAAAATGAAATTTTTTTGCTAATTCCAATATGGGAACTAGTACAAAGAATTATCTCCTTCAATATTGACATGACATTTAAGGAAGATCATTCTGCATAATGAATGAAAAAATATCCATATCAATGTTTTCGGAAAAACAATGGAAAATATTAGTTTAATACTCACTTGGTAGCGACAGGCGCTTGACCCTGTCCCAAACTGATAGATTGGAATCTAGACATCATTTTTGTACTTTCCGCAAGGTTCAGTAACGAAGCCGTCGGATCCACGCCGGGAGACAATACGAATATTAACGGCGTCTCGGGTAAGGATTCCTCCAATACAGCTCTTATGTCCAGCACAGGCGGTTCCACAAATTGCGGTCCGAGCTGATTCACGATAAAACTAGATATGGCGAATTGGACTCTGTCCTGGCGAAGCGATCGTATGAAGAGCATTTTTTGAAATTCGTTACATACAGCGTCCCAATCGCCTATTAGAAAACGTTGGTATATAAAAGTTTTAATAAATAGATGTGGGAGGACCGGTTCGAGATATTTCGTTGCCAGTTACCAATAAAATTATTATTTCAATGAAAAAACACTCGATAGTATAGGAGGAGAGCATTGCAAAATGTTGGATTAATAATAATAATAATATTAAAAATAAAAGGCCTTTATTTGTACAAAATTAAAGTGTAGGGAAGATAAATTTATAAATATTTAAATTTACTATTGTTTTATCGTTTTAAAGTTTTTATTTATGATATTTTTTAATTCACAAGGAGGAATTTACAACTTTTATTGATCATCTTTTCAATGCAGTCACTAAATTAAAAACGAAATATCTCCAAACAATCTTTACCAATAACAAATTACCTATCAACGGTAGCGTTTCCGGTTCGGTATGAATGTACCAGTTGTACCAATCTCTTTGGTACTGCTCGAATGTGTCCGAAACACCTTTGAAACCAGGAAGTTTTTCTAATTCCGTAATGTTGTCCCATGCTAATTCCGACATCCAATCTGAAAAATGCAATTTAGCACTTCCAACCTATTTCAGAAGGGAAAATAGAAGAAACGACTAAAGAAGATGTAGAAGAGGACTAACTATAACAAGAGAAGATGAAAAGATTAGTAAAAATGGTGATGATCTCAGATAAACTTTAATGGGAATGTAAAATCACAGGTAATTTACAATTTACAACAAAAATGACGATTTCGAATTGCATATTATTGACAATTTAAAATTTCCAAATCACATTAAGAAACAACCTCAATCGTTACGATAGAGTTATAACCATTACCTATCTATTTTATTTGTTTATCTAAGACGATCATGAATATTCTTAACTTACTAGGACAAGGGTTTTCCCTTTGAAACGTTCTGTCTAATACAACGCCCCCTTTCAACAAAAAATTGTATTCGGCTGGAAGAATCTTTCCTTGTCCTTTCAAAATCTTCATGCACATATGGAAAGAGAATAACAGCTTGTGCTGTTCGAACAAAGCTCTGCACGTGTTCCTGCAAATATGCAATTACAAAAAACGAATACTAAATAGATTAATCTAAACTGTATTACTTGTAGACAGCGTATGTATGGTAATCGTTCAACATGGATATCCTCTCCAACAGATCTATGGATTTTGGACTTTTAATAATCGATTGAATAAATAGCAAGATGTAAGAGTCCAGGGCGAATTGGTACATCGGATCGATTTGGCCCATATCGTTTAATACGAAAAACAGAATGGAAGCTCTCGTAGCAGACGATCGATACCCCTAAAACAAATTAAATAATATGATTACGCTTTAAAAAAAGTACTGAACGATATTTTTCGTTACAGCTCTTTGAAAAATATGCTCGTATAATCAAAAAGTTGTATTGCAAATAGGAACGATTTTCTTAAACCATTTTATTTTAAAACAAAATACATATTTTTAAGCCTCTGTGCAGGTACGCGCTTGCAAAGAGATGTGATCAACGAAAATTGATTTACATACTGACACTGCTAAATTGCGCGATATTCCAGATGAATTTTTCTACAAATACGTTGAAACAGAAAACTTTTAATATGTGCAACGTATTAGTTGCCTCAACAACACAAAATTAAACAAAAAAACTTTTGTTGAAATCGTTAACACAATATGGGTTAAATTTTATTAGTGGCAACATTTGATTATAGGTTTACCATGTAAATTTGTTGGAATTGGGGGGTTTCAATTGATTTAAAGTATTAGTGGTAAATTTGTGGTTAAATGACATTTAATTCCATTTAGATCCATGTACCTACCTCTCTTGCATAGTCGATTTGTATTTCGGTTTTCTCCGCTATTTCCAAGCTGATTTTGACGGTTTCCGAAGTAGCTTTTGAGTCTTGTAATGTGTCGTACAGTTCTACGCTGTCTAATAGAGAACCTTCGCTTTCATTTAACAATCTCAGTAATTCGTTTTCTAATTCAATCAATGTTCTTTTACCTAAAAAACAAATACACTCTATGAAGACTAAAAAGAATGAGTTTAATGTATCGGTAAAATTATATATACAGCATGTCCCAAAAAAGTAGGCTAACACCCTTTAACTATAGATCCCTTAGGTCAGTGAATACAGAGAGAATAGTAAAAATAGAATCCATTAAAATAAATGACAGTCAAATCTTTCTAAATTTAAAACATGAATAGACCTTTCCCGTTATTGACGATCTCAATTACTCATGCGCAAATCCTACTTCTGTTAAGAACCTAACGGCGAGAGGCAGAACTGTAAAGATGCCACCTTTTGGGTAGAAATAGTACTTCCTTGTCTTGCAGGAATAGAAACATTAGTATTGAACCTCTCGGCCAGGAGACGTCCCTTTTTTGTCTTGCCAACACAATGATTAATATTGATTCACTAAGCTGATTGTTAAGTTTTTGTAAATCTCTACTGTGTGTTTTTAACCTAAAAATTTTTTGTAAAGAACATTTGCAATTTAACAACTTCCTATTAAAATCATTAAAATTTGTTATGTTTCTTGCCCTGAGATTCAATAACACATCCGCAAATGTAACTTTTAAATAGAAATTAAATCTGAAAATCCTATTATCTTGCCTTATTAGCTGTTTTGATTTCTTCTCTTCAGAGAGAAGGATTCGGCAACAATTTACATATTATAAAGTTACGATTTATGATCAATCAGCAGGTTTAATACATCTCAAATTTTATATTTTAAGTGAATAGCGTCGAGCTTGCGACGGGAGAAAGCAAAGACGTTGATGTGTCGGGAGGTCTCGTCGTAACTGACTGAGAGAGCATCGGATGATGATTGTTGGGATCTTCTCGATGGTTACTCCATCAAAGTTTCGTTAGGGGAGTTTTTATTTTACAATAAATTACTTTCCAGTTGTTGAATATTTTCACAATTAACACTAATTTGTTGAGGCACTGATTAAAGGATTGTGTAAAACTAAATTAGCCGACATTAATTTGAGTGTGTCTCAAAAACGTCCACTCTATTCGAACAATTACAACACACTACAATCTTTAATTTGGTCCATTTTTACCCAGCTAACAAAAAAGGAAGTTCCCCTCATAATTCATGGAGCGCAATATTTAAATTATTAGGCCTAATTGGCTATTACACCTGAACCATTGTAGGGGTGGTTATACCTTTCCAAATCTAAAATTATGCAACCATTATGCAACCAATTTTTTACTATACTTATGTTAGCGAGAGTGAAACAGATTTATAAGTGTGAATGAAGGAGTAACGCTAATGATTAAATTACTGGAAATGTTCCACGAGAGAGTGCACTATACTTTGGCGCTCAAAATGCTTGTAAATACACATTGTTAGGTACCTCTAGAAATGGTAGCAACCAAATCGTCCTTCTGCTCCTCCAATTGGGGCTTCTCCTTTCTCACCACGATGCCCAATAGTTGTCCTTCGAGACCGGATTCTTTTACCGCGAAATTCACCAGAGTCGCTTTGGTACAAATTTCCGGAGGATAATGCGGGTTGTTCAGTTTCGTCGTGATGAAAAATTTGAATCGTTCGTCGTACGAAATTAGTTTCTCTTCGAGTTTGATCAGCGTTTGCCCTCCCGATTTCATGATCGCCTTCGACAGGACCGGATCGAGAGAGGGTTCAATCGATTCGGCGATGTTTTGAAGGAGGACCGGCCAGCCCGATTGGATGGCCCTCTCGACTATCAACATGTAAGCCGGAGTTCTCAAATCGATCACCTACGAAAAAATTAATATTTTCACGGTAGGATTCAGAAAAATATACTATTGTAATAGTATTATAATTTTTACAGATTTTGACTTACAGATCTTTTAGATTGTCTCAATAAAACTTTCAAAGTATAATATAAGTGAAGGAAATGAAAAAATATAGCGAATACTTTTGGCCATATAATTGCATCTCCTTCCCGTTTCAACCTCCGTGGTTTTGTGCATAGATGGATTGAAACATGTGGATCTGTTCCCGTTTAAGATTTAATTATATACTTTTCTATGACAGCGAGTATTTCCAAACTGATTAGTCAGAACTTTTAAGCCTATAAATTACTTCGTCGCAACATCTGAGTGATTCAATAAGGAGACAAAAGATAGTATTATCTTATCTTGTTTATCTCTTGTGTAAATCACATATAGTTAGTTGTTTTTAATTCATATTTTACGTTGATCTAGCAATTTGTATTTTAAAAGGTGACGAAATTTAAAGTATTGTCAATTAAACAGATATAAATGAGGTTATACGTTTGTCGTTTACCTGAAGATTGTTCTTAGCTTCTTTAGCTTTGATCCATTTCATCGCTTGGCATTGGGGATCAATGACCAAAGGCCATCTAGTACCGACGGCTACAATTATGCCATTTTCGGTGCTAAAATTATCACCTGGCAAACCTTGCGTGTTCCATTCCCGTACAGTATTTGGATCCACCAAGAATGTAACGACGTTAAAATCGTTGGAAAATACAATGTTGGCTTCGAGGCACTGAAAAAAAAAATAAATAATTTAGGTATTTTAAACAAACTGTTTCACTAGAAAGCTAACAGTAATGCTTTAAAATTTGCAATCACAAATCAAACGTTCAAATACATTTTCTACAATCTGCAATTTAATTTGTATACGTCGAGTTGTTATTCTCACAATGCTTTTATTAATCGTTTAAGTAGATTAGCAGAAGTACCCGCTGTTTAGAAATTTCTATGAATTTCTGTGAATTTCTGTGAATTTCTGTGAATTTCTATGAATTTCTATGAATTTCTATGAATTTCTATGAATTTCTATGAATTTCTATGAATTTCTATGAATTTCTATGAATTTCTATGAATTTCTATGAATTTCTATGAATTTCTATGAATTTCTATGAATTTCTATGAATTTCTATGAATTTCTATGAATTTCTATGAATTTCTATGAATTTCTATGAATTTCTATGAATTTCTATGAATTTCTATGAATTTCTATGAATTTCTATGAATTTCTATGAATTTCTATGAATTTCTATGAATTTCTATGAATTTCTATGAATTTCTATGAATTTCTATGAATTTCTATGAATTTCTATGAATTTCTATGAATTTCTATGAATTTCTATGAATTTCTATGAATTTCTATGAATTTCTATGAATTTCAATGAATTTCTATAAATTTCTATAAATTTCTATAAATTTCTATAAATTTCTATAAATTTCTATAAATTTCTATAAATTTCTATAAATTTCTATAAATTTTTACGAATTTCTACGAATTTCTACAAATTTCTACAAATTTCTACGAAATTCTACGAATTTCTACGAATTTCTACGAATTTCTACGAATTTCTACGAATTTCTACGAATTTCTACGAATTTCTATGAATTTATAGACAGATGACGCTATCTCGTGGAGAATTTTAGAACGTTGCTGATCTACTCGTTTAGGTAACATCTATTTGTAGATTAATACCTCTTCTTTCCAAAGTTCGGATAATTCTTCTCTGTAATTAGACAAAAACGGCCCCACATAAGAAATGAAAGCCGTTGCTAGCAAGCAATCTCCCGGCAGGTACTCGTAATTCGAATCAAGAACTTTTACAGTTTCGCCCCATCTTTCCCTTTCGCCAGACAGACATTCAACCAGGGTCGCAGCTCTTTCCAATTTTAATTCTAACATTCTGGCCTAAAACAAACGATTTTACTCGATTAAAAAAAATGTAAATTTGATAAAGCGTGACACTTTCTTCAAAGTACCTTTTGATTGAGATCTTCCTTTTGTTGCAACTTGTCTTCATACTCTTGTTGCAGCTTCTGAACGTACGCGTTCAAATCAGCCACTTGTTGCTGGGCACTCAACAGTTGATTTTGCTTGTCTTGCAACTCGTTAAGCGTTTCCTCCAGTTTGGCTTTCTTTGGACCTACCACTCTATAAACAATTTTGTCTGATAAAATAATAATAAAGTTACTGTTGTTATAAACCTATTTTAGTTCATAAGTAACATCATTATCACATAAGTATTATCTTTATTGAGTTTAAGTCTAGTTATTGTTGATCTAAGATGAAAGATAAAAGAGATACTAAAGATACTAAAGATACTAAAGATACTAAAGATACTAAAGATACTAAAGATACTAAAGATACTAAAGATACTAAAGATACTAAAGATACTAAAGATACTAAAGATACTAAAGATACTAAAGATACTAAAGATACTAAAGATACTAAAGATACTAAAGATACTAAAGATACTAAAGATACTAAAGATACTAAAGATACTAAAGATACTAAAGATACTAAAGATACTAAAGATACTAAAGATACTAAAGATACTAAAGATACTAAAGATACTAAAGATACTAAAGATACTAAAGATACTAAAGATACTAAAGATACTAAAGATACTAAAGATACTAAAGATACTAAAGATACTAAAGATACTAAAGATACTAAAGATACTAAAGATACTAAAGATACTAAATATACTAAAGAAAGATACTAAAGGTAAAAAAATACTAAAGATAAAGATACTATATACAGGTAAAAAAGATACTAAAAGTAAAAAAGATATTAAAGAAAGATAATAAAGAAAAAAATTTATAAAATATAGATATTAAAGAAATATATTATTAAAGATATTATTAGAGATATTCTTAAAGATAGAGATATAAGATATTAAAGATAAGATACTATTAAAGATACTATAAAATATATTAATAAAGATGATATTATTAAAGATATTAAAAGATAAATAAAATAAATACTAACTTCCAAACTCTGGCGTATTTCTCAATGGCTATCACCCACAAACACAAAGATTTCGCCGCCGCTGAAACTTGTCCAACCTTTTCGGCGACGAATTCCTCGTTCGAAGTGTACACGGCGATTTTTTTCAAAGTTTTTTCTTCAATGTTATTTTTATCGAAATCCTTTAGGTCTTGCAGGAAACTCATGCCGCCCAAATTTTTTTTAGCTGTATCCCAACTAGGATCCATCTACAATTTGGACCAAGAAGTAAAAAAGAAGAAATAACAATGGAAGAAAATAGTAAAAAATAGTAAAAAGTAGTAAAAAATAGTAAAAAATAGTAAAAAATAGTAAAAAATAGTAAAAAATAGTAAAAAATAGTAAAAAATAGTAAAAAATAGTAAAAAATAGTAAAAAATAGTAAAAAATAGTAAAAAATAGTAAAAAATAGTAAAAAATAGTAAAAAATAGTAAAAAATAGTAAAAAATAGTAAAAAATAGTAAAAAATAGTAAAAAATAGTAAAAAATAGTAAAAAATAGTAAAAAATAGTAAAAAATAGTAAAAAATAGTAAAAAATAGTAAAAAATGGTAAAAAATAGTAAAAAATAGTAAAAAATAGTAAAAAATAGTAAAAAATAGTAAAAAATAGTAAAAAATAGTAAAAAATAGTAAAAAATAGTAAAAAATAGTAAAAAATATTAAAAAATAGTAAAAAATAGTAAAAATAGTAAAAAATAGTAAAAAATAGTAAAGAAGTCAAGAATGCAGTTTCTAAGTAGTACTCACGCCTAGCAAAATATTGACAGCCTCCATAACCATCTTAACTTTTTGTGGAGGAGTTACATAAGATTTCATTTCGGTAACGTCCTTTTTACTTAGCGAATCTAGCGCGTTGACAGCCTCCTGTAAGGCGGGCATAGCCGCTTCAAGATCGGCTTGAGCTAATTCGGCCATTTTGTTACATTCTATCGCTTCTTCTCCAATTCTAATGCTGGCCTTCGCTACTTCTTTCTGTAAGACGTAAAAGGTCACTTATAGTCGAATCTGTCAATTATTGACAGTGAAAAATGATACTGATGACGCCAGCAAAGATGTGAGGATGTGTCAAATGTCAAAAATCGGTTTTTCTTTACGTTTTACAATATTTTTTACTCAATGAAACCAAACTGACAACACTTCGTTAGAGATAAATAAAAAAAAAAAATGATATTTTGACATTTCACGTTTAACCGCCAGGTAATTTGACTTTTATAAACCTGTTGTTCGTCAGCTTCTTTCCTTTGCACCATAATGACAACCAAATATTCGTCACATTGTTGTTGGAAAGCCTCGACTTGCACTTGAGCATCTTCCAGTTCGATTGACATAAGTTTTACTTTTTCCTTGCAATCGTCTATCTTAAACAAACCGTTCCTCAACTTATTCGCCTGCGAGCCCACCTCGTTTCTCTTATTGGCCAACATCCTACCAAAACAATTTATTATTTAATATAAAAAATAACATAATGAATGTCCAAAGAAGAAGAATTTGAATACCGTTACTAATAAATGACAAAGAAGAGAAATTACAGCAATAATTATCAATTGGCGCCAGATCGTACAGGTTAGGTAAATTGGTTTCGGATTTATTCGAGGATAAAACCAAACATAGGACATTTTTAAGGTCAATTTAGTAAAAAAGATCTGTGTGTGGAAGAATATTGGAAGAATGTTGGTTCCTTACTATTACCAGTACATAGAAAGATTCAAAAGAATAAAAAATTAGAGATTTAACCTAAGATGAGTTAAGGGTACTTTTACACAAATTAGATATACTTTGACAGATAAGGTATACAGTTACCTATTAAAGGAAAAGGAGACTTGTAAATATAATTAAAAAAAAAAACACTTACTGTTTGTAACCAGCAACCAATTCCAAATAATTCGTAGGAGTCACGTAATTATGACGTTTCAATTCGTTCAACATTTTTTTTGAATACTGCACCACCGAATCGTGTATTATAGAAAACACCATCGCCGTATTTTTTTGGATTTGTTCTCGCGACAATCCCGGCAAAGAATCCCTTTGTGGCCTCTAACCAAACAAAAACGGAGAAAGGTGTTAAAAATACAAGACATTTTTCATATTAATATCACAAACTATAGGAATCTGTTTCGTTTTAATACACACATTCAGTAACGTATGCATTTGGAACAAGATAAATACATAACATTTTCTACTTAAAGTACATCTACGGCTCGAAACGAATCAAAAGACGTAGTTATACATACATCAATGACCTCAGTAGTATAATAATATTATTTTCATATTCATTATATCAGAGAATATATTACAATTCATTTTTGAACGAGTAATTTCAAGCCACAAGCAACATCAACGAATATACAATTACCTCTTCTCCAGTTATAGTTTCGACGAAATTAACCGTCGAAATGTATTTATTGGCGACCTCCAGCAACGCTTGCTTGGGCCATTCTCTGAACCAGTCGATGGTCGTAAAGTTAATCAAAGCCGGATACTGTCTGAGACGGTTTCTGAAAGCCTCGCCGATCGGGCTCATGCACAGCACAATGTGTAGAGAAGCTCGAACTCTGGATATCAAAAATTCGTAAACGGCGTCGTTCGTGGTGATTATACCCGCCTTCTTTAGAGGAACCTCCAATTTTGATTTAATCTGTAAATTTATAAAGGTAAAACTTCTGGTTTGCCTAATCAATTTAAATTTATTGTATATACAGATTCTGGTAAAATTTTTCTTGGATTATAGTTCAAATCTATATGGAGCAACAGAAAGAAGACTATTCATATGAAGCAAGAATAAGAGAGAAAGCAGAAAGAAGGGGTTGGTAATCCCATGTCGATTTATAATATAAAGTTATCGTAGTTCCTCTTGTTAATCGGCAATATCCAAGAAAAATTAAAACCGAATGTATACAAATACTCACGTCTTCAAATTCATCAGACTTGTACAAATTTGCGATTTCTCCGCTGCTAAGCATATTGTTGATGATTTCCAAAAAGCTTTCGTCCATAATTTGATTATCGACGAAAATAAAGGATTGCGGTTTCAAACTGACACCGGCTAGCGTGTACAACACTTTCAAATCTTCTTTAAACTCGGTCACTTTGTAATTTTTGCTAACCGTAATTTGGAAATTACCATATTCACAAATGTAGGAACCCAATCTACTCAGCGATTGTCTACCGCTACCGCCTAGAAGAAAGCCACAAACTTTGTAACTAAAATCTTTTTAATATTAGAATTTTTTAATATTTAGAAATAAGGCCACAAGTTTTGGACTAAGAAAAGGTATGGTTGACAAAGATGTCTTAAATACAATGTTAAACAGTAAATACAGTATCTGTTCTTAAGCGTCAAATATTTAAAAGTAGAACAGCTAGCCTGGTACCTAGAGTCAAGGACAATCCCACCAAAAACTAGGTACATTATTTACTTACTGTAGAAAGAAGGCAACTAGAGATAAACACAACTTACCTATTCCAATAAGTAACACGTTTCCTCTAGGCTGAGAAATTACTCTCACGATCCTACAAATGTGATCGATGGCGTCCTTGAATAAAACCAGATCCATCGTTACGTTACCGGGAGTATTGTTGTATTCATCCAAAGCCGTTTCTAAAAACGCTTTAAGTCCAGCTAGAACAGAGTGCTCTTCGTACACCCCCCAAGGATTCACAAAGTCCGCAAAAATTAAGACCTCTCTGTTGGCGTACAAACTGTTGAGCGGCGAATCGAAGTGCGTCACCAGTTGCGCGTTTATTTGATGAGTAAACCAATCTCTGTCTCTATAAAACAAGAAAATTATGTTGCTACAACAAGTCTTATCTCCGATTTAACCAATTTAATATCGATAATATCGTTAATATCGTTATAACCGTTAATATCGTTATCATCGTTAAATCGTTAATATCTTTATCATCGTTAATATCGTTATCATCGTTAAATCGTTATCATCGTTAATATCATTAATATCGTTAATAGTATCATTAGTAATGTCATAAATATAATTTAATATAATAATATTAATATCATTAATAATGTCATTAATATCATTTATCTCCGATTTAACTAATATTAATAGTTTATATCATTAATATCGTTAATATCGTTAAAATGGTTAATATCGTTAATATCATTAATAGTATCATTAATAATGTGATTAATATAATTTAATAATATTAATATCATTAATAGTATCATTAATAATGTCATTAATATAATCATTAATAGTAATATCTTAATTTTTAATTATCTCTGGTACTTACAAGTCATCGATTAATCTGTCAGAAAAAACTCTGAACGACTCGTGAACCCACAGCCTCAGCATCGAAGCCTTATCGTTCTGATAGTCCTTGTGGCTCCTCAACATTCCCTGAAACACTCTAGAAATGTCCCTCAAGTTAAATAGGTAGTGTATTTTGGCGGGCGTAGGTAACATCTTGGCGCTGACGGCCTTGTACAAGTCGATTGTAGCTTCGGTGACCTCGCGGCTGACTAGCTTCGCGACTTCGTCGAAATCTTGCACGTGCTGGCTGAGCATGGTACCGAATATTCTGGATAAGGTCTCGTCTTCTGGGAAAGTCATGTTGATGAGATTGAAGCAGCTCTGCAGACGTTCGGTTATGACGTTACGGCCACCTCCTGGTGGACCCATAGCGCCCATTATCAGCATATTCTGGAATGAGATGATCGCATAAGATTTAAAAACAATGTATATTGTGTAAATACCTCGATGTATTTCTTTGTTTGCTTCAATCGATCATACCAAAACGTATAATCCATCCACTGTCTTAATAGTTCCAAAGGCGGTTGAGAACCATACGTTTCTTTGGCAGGCATGTTCATGTCGTCTAAAAAGGCTACGAGCTTCTTACCTCTCGGCGGAGCAAAGTGCCCTTTGGTCCGTTTCTCCACTCTACTTTCTATGGAATCCTGCAATGCAACATTCAAAACGAATTCTAACAAAAAAATTAAACAATTAGGCAGAAAAAAAACCTGTAAATTATTCGAAGAAGTTTGAGCCGACATGTTGATGTGCAGAAGCGCGTATTTAGCCTGGTCCAGAGAAAATAGAGCCGATTGAGCTACAGAAGTTTTGCCAGTACCAACTGGGCCTGTCATCAGTACAGCTGCGCCACTCTTCAGCAATCCTCTCACCAGAAAATCGTATCGCACCGTATCCACTGTCGGTACCGTTATCTTGTAAAACGGAGATCTGAAATTATTAATGAACGTGTTAAATATGAACGGCCCCAGAATCGATTCTTGAGGGATATTCAATTACCCAGTTTCGTATTTCCATCCGTACGGTAACTTTTCAGCCCAAGACATAAAATTGTAAGTTTGCGGATCCACAAAATATTCGTAAATCGTGTCTTTTACCGGGAACACCGTTTCCTTTTCTCTAATGAAGCTGTCCAGTTTTTTTCTGCCATCTTCGTCTGTCGTACAACAAACTGACCACATTAGACTAAAACAAGACAATAAGAGGAACCATTAGTTAAACCTGGAGGCCACTGGACAGTCTTCCAGGGTAAAATAACAGCAATAAGATCTAGAGAGCCTTTTTAAAGGGTAGAGTTACAAATCAAATTAATATTGGACTACCAACAGTCTCTCCAGGTTTTGACAGAACATCAAAACGAAAGGACACGACGGAGTATTGGGAAACGAAAAAGCAGATCTCCTAGCTAGGAAGGGAGATAATTGGACCAGAGTTCGCACATGTTAAAGGGGTGCTAATGGAATAGGTGACTAGAGAAGACTGCCAAGTACAGAATATTTATAGAGGATCCAACTAAGAGTAAACCAAATCAACTGATAAACAGTGTAACCATAATAAGACTATTTAAAGGACACCGCAGCATTAGGATACAGGTACAGTCCCAGATAGCACACGACGTCTCATGAACGTCCTGATTTCGTCCCTTGTTGGTCCCGGACCTAAATAAAACGTCCACTGGACTTCCGATTACCGTGAACACTAGGACGTCCTATTTTAGTCCCGTTTTGACAAAGCGTTTAGTTTTCGGTCCGAGTTCAGGACGTTAATGGGACGTCTATGGGACTTTCTATGTACTAGCATCGTTGGTCTTTCAATCGATAACTTGAAATTCAACGTTTTGTCCCTGAAGGACGTCTTTTAGACGTACATAAGACGTCCGTGTGCTATGTGGAGTATCGGCTATTGAAAACCTTCCAATACGATTTGCTAGTGTCGAGGCGAAAACTAAAGAGACTTCACATTAGTTCGAGATGGAAACGAATAATATATCAACGTATCTAACGGTCCGGCCACGTGGGAATTGTTGGGATATCTATCGTTGTGTGGTGGCATCATAATGCTTACTTACCAAAACAGAAACCAATTTTTAGAAGCATCGTCGAATTTCTCTTCATTCAATGGATTAACACCATATTTTTTGGTCATATAAATGTTCAACAATTTGCAGCAAGACATGACCAAATTCAATTCAGAGCATTCTACTTTTTCTTCGCAATTCAAATGTTTAAATTCTAGAAGTGGCGGCAAATATAGTTGAAACAAGTCGTTCATCTTAAATACAATTAAATACGCTTTCAATTATATAATTTAAAAACGTATGGTATAGGAGCAGGTTTAAAAACAATGTAATTTGATATGATTCAAGCTGACTTATAGTTCAAGAACTAGCCGTAGATCAGTACTTTTTGAACTACATGAAGAAAGTGGTCTTACCCTTTGAGTATAACGTTCGCCAAATTCCTGTTTACTATTTATCCACGAAGTGACATACGGCCCCCAGCCCATATCTTTGTAATCATTATACACCATACCACATCTGCTGACAGTAGCTGGTGAGGCGACAGCTAAATCGCCAACTTCGAAAAGCAAAGAAACCTGTTCAGGCATCGTTATTCTATCGCTGTTAATCAACGTTAGAACTTTATTGTCGTCCATAACGCTATTCATGTTTTCTATCCAGACAGCGTCCACGGGACCATCGAATAATATCCATTTTTCATCGGGAGCCTCATCTATAATAACGTTTTATCACCTTTACTAGACATTCAAACTCGGATGTAGCATAGGCAACTAGTATCACGTCTGGGTATACAGTATTGCATATGGCTTAGTTTATAATTAGTTACACACAGACAATGCGCAGGTTAGAGCCACGACAATAGTATAGCTTTGTTCGGCTTACTTTTGAGGACGGTTTAAAATCGTTATAATCATGCGCATTTAAATTAACGTGTTCGGGTTTCTCCAAATCTAGTCCTAGGACACTCTAGGATTTACTGTTTCGTGTGTAATTTAGTGCGCAACTAATTTCACGCAGTTCTGAATTGTTCTGAAACGTTATAAAATTGGTAAGCCGAACAAAGCTACTATTGTAGTTTGTAGTAGTTCAAATGTAGATTTGACGCTCGTTAGTTCTTTAAACAATGTCTGTGTCTTTGTATTAATAAATAGTGAATCTACGTAAATTAATTTTCAACGGGAACAGAACAAACAAAATGGTTGACTTACCGGCACAAGTTTTTCTCATGACAGCACTAATGACCCCGTCCAACCATTCGTTGGTCGTCAAGTTGTATTCTCCATACAATTCAGCCAAATTTAGAGCTTTCGGATTCAACGGAAAAATGTGCACGTTTTGATAGCCCGGTTTATTTAGAGCGTTCAACTTTTTCATCGCGCCTTTCAAAGTTTTCCACGTCACCGTTTTGGCTGTGCACGTGTTGCCGAGGATCATCACCGAATGGCGGGAATTTTTCGTCTCGTATAGCTGAATTATTTTCGTCATTCCTTTTGCAAATGGCTGTAATATAAAAATATTAAATTGGCCCCACGTTGGTAGGCGCATATTTTTTTAGATAATTTTTTATTTAACAAACTAGTGCCATTTATTACTATTTACATATATTTTATTAAAATCATATCGTTTTTAATTGTCAATCTCTTTTTTTCACAAAAACTAACCTGATAATTATTTTCTTCCATAAACTCGGTAATAGCCAAATTCATGTCGATGTAATCGACGACAGGCAAACAAACTCCGGGGAAAATATCAGACATGATGCCGTTAAACAATGGCAAATCGTCAAAAGTGAGTCTGGCGACGTTCATGTCTCTCATAGCCAAATAAACCATTTGTTCTTCGGGTAAATTAGGCATCATCCGCCTTTTTCTACCGGCGTATCGCAGAAGAGCCACCATCGATCTGAGACCAAAATCGTAGTGATCCTGTTTACTGAGCTGTTGGACGGCCAATCGGTACAGCGTGAAAACCTGTTAGAAAAATTTAACTTTTATATCCCCTGAAAAATCGAGCTTGAAAAAATTAGTAGATGAGCAATGGGGAAGCATATGGAGAAGGTCATTGACCTTGATGAAAGATTTTAATTGTAATCAGCACAAAAACAAAAAAAATGTTTCTCTTCCTGGAAAACTATTTGTGTTCCGATTACTGACTACCTACTAAGGGGTTTTTTCATTAAAGTAATCATTTTATTAGTAAGTGACAACTTTAAAATAATCTTTACCTTTTTAGCCAAAACCTTGGTATTAGTAAACCCATCACTGAACAATATATTCTCAGCTATGATCCCGCTGTCAGGCACCATCATCGAAATTGGTCTGAACATGGATTTCAAATTATCTGGCAATTCAGTTCGTCCAGCATAACCCGGATTCATTGTAATAAATACACCGACCGTGAGTCTCAATTTAATTTCTATACCTAAAAGATCGAATATTTTAAAATTAGTAAAAAAAAATTCACGGGTATTTTTGTGTAAATACCTTCGAATACAAAAAACTTTGCTTTTTGCGAAACGGCAGATAGTACGCACAAAATTTGTTGAGCAACTACCGATAATACTTCGATATTGATTCTGTTAAACTCATCAAAACAACCCCAAGCCCCGGTTTGAGCTAGTCCGGAGAAACATTTTCCCATACTTTTGAAGTCCAAACCTAAAACAAATCAATGTAAGATTCAGAAAATTAAAAAAGTAATTATAAGAAAGAGGACGACCGGTATAGTTTTAAGTTACATTGATAAACACAAAGTATTTCGAAATACATAGTAATTTAGTTAGAACACAAGAAAATCAAAATTATACAAAGTTTCTTATTCGCTGATATCCCTTAAATAATCCTTTGAGTAGGTCCAATCATATTTTATTGCAAAAGTGAATTTTACCGAGACTGGTAAAAACAGGAAGACAATCATGAGAATTTGACTGAAGCTGAAGCTTTAAAGCTGACCCTAGTGATTACGACCATATGGCTGGTTACAAATTATAAACAATGGAATACCTTATTTTTGTTTTAAAAATCAATTTGTACATACCTTCAGAGCAGTTGTTCACTATAACCCACATTCCCATAGCTTTACCCAGATCTTTAACAGTCTCAGTTTTTCCAGTACCGGCCGGACCTTTAGGGCTCCCACCACGGTACAAATGTAATGCAGTCGTCAATGTAATATAGCATCTGAAATTCAATTGTTTTGTTGACTTAACAGTTATTTAGATGAAGTACTGTTACCTATCGGTTAAAGGTGTAATGACTAATCTTCCGGAATTGCCATTGTATTCGTAACCGTAATTGAAATACGTGTTGGTTTGTCTAATAACGCAATCTTCAATGTCTCTGTCCCAATAGAATCTCAATTGCGAAAACCATTCAAAGGCATTTGTGTCTCTGCAGTCTAGAAATATTAATTATTAAAAAATCTATTAACTGTATAGCAATAATGGCACTATGAACATATTTATGTATAAGAAACAATTATATGAATATGACAAGAAAAAAATTATTTGATTAGTACTTTTATTTTCAAATATAGGTTTTTTTTTCAAAAAACCTACTGGTTTCTCTTTGAACAGTGTGAACTGTAGTCATATTGTGAAAAGAACGATATCAAAGGTTGAAGAACGACACAATGTGTTATTTACTTATTAGAAGACAAAAACGAGAACACTAGACTATTTAAAATTGAACAATTTACTTGCTAAGGACGACTCCGAATCATGTTGACTGGTAGAAGTTCGAAAATAGAATGTCGGCTGTTACTAGAACGGATTGTGCCACGGAAGACTATGCAAGCACCTTTTTGGTTCTTGTGTATGAAAGGGGCATATCCAAGAGACGAAAATTACATTAGCACTTCAAATTTTGTTAGAAAACTATTTTTTAATTCTACTGAATAGGAGAGAGATGCAAGGAATAGAGTTTATACTGGAAGACTTTGAATTTATGGCGAACGTGACCTCTGTAATTTTTGCAAAAAATACATTTTGTTTGTAGCGAAATAACATTGTTATATGATATGAATTTCATGAATGCGTGGTTTTGATTTAATAATTCCAAAATGTTACTTACTAGCTCTATATAATCTATCAATTACGTCTCTAGAATGGATCTCTATTGTAATAAGTGCATTGGTTTTGAGCCTACACAGTTTATTCAGTTCCTTTCTACTCAGTTCAGAAAGTTTTCCCAAAACACCATTTTGTTTCCTTCTTAATTTCTTCAAAGGCTTCTTACTCTCTAATATTTTTGAATGCACCAGCGCTCTAGTGCAATCTGATGTCCATTGCATCTAAAACAAATCAAAACGATATGCAGACTGCACCTGACCTACCCAAATCTAACATAACCTAACGCCGGGAGCCAAGGTGGGGCCCAGGGGCATTTAAAAGGTCCATACCTTATATTTTACAAACGTCCTCAGCTAAAGCTGCCGAGCTTCCTTATGCCCGGGCCCCGGAAATTTGTCCCCCCTCTCGTCGAGCCTGAATCTAACATTCTTCCTGAATTTGCAACTCACCAAACTACAAGCGTTACAAAGCTGACCGCAATGCGCCATCAACCATTTATCTCGTTTGTTCAGCATTTTCTTCAATTCGGCCCGGCACGGTTTAAAGGAGGTCTTCAATATTAATTTCATGGCGTTTTCGATTTTACACAGCCATTGCTCGGATGGTCCTTCGATCAGAATCAATCTTACAAATTCCATGTATTCACCATCGTCTGAGTACATACCCAGAGCTTCAGATTTCTTAATGCCCTAGTTGAAGATACTTTGTTAAATTTCCCTCTATTGACTATCGACAGTAAAAAGTAAAAGAAATACTCGTATAATATCAATATAATAAACAATTAAATAATATCTTACGACATTCCTTTCCAGCTTCACTTTAACAACATTATCAAACAGCTTCTTCAGATGTTGCTGCACCAATTCGGGTTTCTTGGAATTACCGAGAATCTCCAATATATCATCGTTGGATACGAAATAAAATCTGGGGAAAATGTGCCTCTTGGTTTCCAAATATTTCTCCAAAGCTCTTTGCAGCAAATCCAGTTGGTCGAACATTTTGTTCAGTTTATTCAACAGGTATGGAGGCGGCTTGAAATGCGTGGCAGACAGAGCTGATTTTGCCACGTACAGCCTGGTTGAAATTTCTCTCCAACTGTCTGTAATCTGATCGAAATCTTCCGTTTCTTTGGGTAGTTGTTTTCGGATGTCTTCTCCGTACATTATGTTCTAAAAAGAATGAAGTTGTTAAGATATTCTTCTTTATTGATAATTTTAAATACCTCCAAGTATAGCCATTCTCTTTGTACCGCCATGCCAGCTTCTAGAGTCTCCATGATGTAGGACAAAGCCAACTCCCATTGATCAACTTCTTTAGCAAAGGGTTCTACAAATCTGGTACTTCTCATAATCGACAACGCCATTATGTTCTCTTCCAAAGCTTGGAAACACTCTTCCGTACTTTTTATTCTTAAAAAAATTGTTTAGGGTAGAAACAGTGATGATCATGAAAGTGGCAAAACAAGTTGATTAGCATTAGATTAGCAAAGAAAAATAATCATTCACCTATATAATTGACGTTCCCTGTATGGTGTCATTTCAAACTTCATCGTCTCCCATACGGCACCGATGGCAGCTAAACCTTTCTCAATTTGCAGCTCCATGGTAGCAGCATACGATATTTCATTTACTTCTTCAGCAAACCTGTTTATAAATATTATATCGTGAGGTTTATTTGGGAAGTAGTTTGTAGTTAACAGTGACATTGTTATCAATTGACGCTATTGGGCATTCCAAACCAAATGTCTCCGAAGGGAAAACATCGACCCCGAAACATGTCACCTGTTATAGGTTTAACGGTGGAGTATGTGTAACGAGAGAAGTATGCCAAGGTATCTTTACCAGCCGAAGGTTAAATATGGAGTGACTGTGTAACGAAATGTATGCCGATGAGGTTCTTTACTGATCGAATTTAAAACTAGAGTGTGCAAAAAAAGAATTTCATCGATGCATGACGAGAAGGGAACCTGTCAATTCTTTTGTGTAGAAGTGTAGATGTGTCCAACTGGCAATCTTACATTATCGAGAGTGGAATTTTACTTAAATGTTTTGGCTTTGTTTAGTGCGGAAAGACAGAAATGTTACGATGTAGGAGATAGAATATATAAACAGAATGCAATTTGATTTTGTATCGTACTTGTGTACGTGATGTTTCTCACATTCTGAAGACAATAATATTTATCTTGTTTTGTATTTAGAGTAAGACGAGATTGTAATTTTTAGTATATATATTTATTATATATGTACTTTTTGAATGCATCGGTTTACACAAAAATGATTTGAACAGGAGCGATTTGCAAAATGTTTAAATTTAATGGGCAATGAATTTGTAAATGAATGTGAAAAATAATTAAAATAAGTTTATTATCTTAGATTGTGACTTAATGTAATTAAAGACAGTTTTATCTGCATTCTTTCTATATCTATGACTAGATCACTAGCGCGCAGTGAATGGAAGGAGCTCAGTTCGAGGTGACCACTTTGTCAATTTCAATGATAAACTAATATCAACGTATTATAACTCAGAATGTACACTTACTTGTGCAGTTGCAAGGCATACACCACTTCCAAATTAAAATCTTCAGAATTTTCGTCGAAATCGATTTCTACAATTTGCCTGACCCTATCCCAATGTCTGGGTCGCATCGCGGGATTTTTCAAATCGGCAATCAGCGGTAGAGTCCTTCTGAACGAGTCCACAATGGCACGGGTATCGTCGATTACTGTCCAGCTGAAAAACAAATATTAATTTCGCCGATCTTAAAAAAAATTAGTACATTACTTCTTCTCTTTTAATTCCCTAGACAGTTTGGTCAATCTCCGAAACAAAACTTGAGCGATATCTTCCATTTGGGGTGTTTCTATTGTCCAGAATCCGCCAGTCTTCCAGCTGTTCCACGACTCGTCCCAATCGTTCACCAGATTCCATACGATCTCAAGGGCGGTCAATTCCTATAGACAAGATGGGATCAAAATACGAAGCATAAGTTTTTATAGGTAACGAAAATATGTCTCTAACATTAAGGTAGTTCTAAAAAATCAACTAGAGGTCATGTCGTTTGATCATAAAGGCCAGTACTTTCAGTCCTAGGTAATAATTGTTCTCTGTGACTTTGAATATCGTCTCAATCGTAGTCACAGAAAGAAGGTTTCCTTCCCATCAGTTGGGACAATCGACTATAGTATAATATATCTAGTAGAATAGCATGTGTGTAAATAAACTGCCAGATTCTTGTTAGATTATGATGAAATTAAATATATTCAACTTACGACATCTATTCTATATAGATAATAGCCATATTTTCTAACATTCTAAAAGGCCATTTAAAAAATTTATTTTAATTGTATGACATCCTGTATAAAATAGTATTCGATTAATTTAAAATTTAATTATCGGCTTAGAGAGGGAAATTTCTCTAGGTGGGAATCTGGCTATCTCTCGATGATTCGAACCGTTTCATTAAAATTCATTTCCCATCTGATATCTCTAAGAACCAGTTCATTGTTGAGACTGTAAACACCGGTGAGTTATAAAATGTCATAAAAAAATATCTCAGCAGAAATTATATTTCTACTTTTTGTTACTGTTAGGTTTATTTATTTTGAAAGTCAATTTAAATTTATTAAATATGCTTTATTCATTTTGTGAGCTGGAATTACACATTATTTATATTAATTAGTTTTTTGTTGTTATATTGATTTAATTTTAAAAAGTAATTGTTTGAAAGTTAATTTATATATCATACAAGAGCCTCGTGAATAATAGAATATATTTTTTTGTTTAGGAAACGAATGTAAGCAGTCTTTTAGTTTTCCTTCCTGACTATCTAAGTTCAATGCTATCTCTACTCAATTCTTACATAACGGAGCTATTTCAAATTAAATATAATAGGCGTGTTTGGAGCTCGAGGAGCTACTAAGGCTACTGATGATGGCGACGTTTCAATATTAGATGGAGATGCTCTCTTCAGATACATTTTTTTTTCTCCTGGGCTCGTCTGACTATGTCTCCGAATAACACTGAAGCCTATTGGCTTATTGTGTTTTATCCCATGTTAATTCGTAGCACCCACTCTGTCACCTTTGTAGCTTGTACAAGTTTGTACAAATCCTTGGGTGAGTGGGTTCTATACGTTGTTGGATCAACCTGGGGTTGTCCAAAAAGAGCCTGTCTTTTGCGATCTAGAGTTTCGCATTTGCACAGTATGTGTTTGACCGTTTCTGGTTTCTTAACATTTCAGATCGTTTGCACTTGTAGAGTAAGCGATATCATGTGTATTACAGGCCTTATCTAATTCGTTTATACCAGGGTCGTTACGAGCTAACCGTTTTTTTAAACGCGTCCCTGGGCTACAATATTGGTATCCGGGTATGTGCAACTCAAATGGTAATTTATATATCATGGAATTAACAAACCCTCTCCCATACTTTGTTTCGATTTTACATCGCACTCGTTTGATGCCGGGCATTTAAATGAATGATACGTCGGATTATCGCTTATATACCTTAAGACAGCCGAACGATGTGCATAGTCAAAGTAGAGAATAGTATTTGTGTGGAAAATTTAGATGAAAAAGTTGGCGATGGCCTTAGTGAAAATAAGGCGCTTAGACATGGCCCATTGTTGCCCTATACAATACGCTGCCTTCTAGTAGGGCCATCAAATTGCGGTAAAACAAATGTTATGTTATCGCTACTTCTTCAACCAAATGGGTTGCGGTTTGAAAACATTTATATCTACTCAAAATCGCTATTTCAAAAAAAGTATTTCAAAATGTTTTGACGCCGATAAAGGGACTAGGTTATTTTACATTCAATAATAATGAAGATATAATTCAACCAGTAGATGCCAAGCCCAATTCTATATTTATATTTGACGATGTGATTTGTAAAAAATAGGATGTTATAAGGTCTTATTTTAGCATGGGGCGACATAGAAATATATATTGCTTTTATTTGGGCCAAACATATTCAAAACTTCCGAAACAATTAATTAGAGACAACGCTAATCTAATTATTATGTTTAAACAAAACGACTTAAATCTCCACCACATATATTCAGACCATGTAGCTCCAGATGTTTCTTTTAAGACATTTCAGGAAATGTGTGCGGAATGTTGGGGTGAAAAACATGGTTTTCTGGTAATCGATAAAGATATAAGTGGTCTTAAATTTCTATGAGCTAGTCAACATTTCTTGTGTTTTTTTTTAAGTAACATTTTATTGCAAATTAATGCCGTGCTATTAGAACTTACAGCATCCAACCTAGACAAATCCATGTTATCACCAAAACTCAAACCGAATATGGCCAAATCGTCTCTGAGATCTTCGTCTTGTTCTCGCATCACGTTCAATTTGTTTCTCATTTCGTTCAAAAAGGCCCAGGCTTCTTTGGCCGTCACCTCAGAGGAAAACGGCCCGTTTCTCATGAACGTATCGAAAACCTCAGCGGCGTTTTTCCTGGATAATTCGGCCTTTTCCAACAAACCGCTCTTAAATTGCTCCTAAAAATATAATATTTTTAAATAAATGTTTTTATATAGAACAATTTCAATAAATACCTTTTGAAGAAACGACAGAAGAATTGCGAAGAACAAGTTGAAAGGATAGGAAAGATGATAGAAATGATAGATAATTGAACCAAAATTAGAAGTAAAAAAAGGATTTGATGATGGATAAAAAGGAAAATAATCACTTCTTAGCACCCCGAAGGAATACCTTTGAGAACTCTATCATTTTCTCGGCGGATTCCAATACTTCCAAATAAGCACCCCATTCGGTCGGTATATTTTTCTCCAATATTCTCAAATGTTCGGAAACTGGAACGTTATATTTGTCTAAAGTCAAAATTTGTTCCCTAATCGCCGGAAAGATTTCCTCCCGATACGCAATCTCCTCTTTCAAGAGCTCAAAGAGGTTTATAGCGTTCTGCATTTCTTCCAGACTAGTAGGTTCTTTCATTATTCTAAAAAAAAAGATTAAAATATTTAAACAATAATTGTAAGGCTATGTCGCAAGCCATACATGTAAGAGGCCATTTGATGTAATAATATGTAAACGGCTAAAGACCATCTAATGACTGGAAAATAGGAAGAGTAGTCAAGTCAGATTTTGGACTTCACTTGTGGTCGTACCGTAGATAAAATAATATGTACATATTATGTTATCTATGGATCGTACTGACTGGAAGAAAGGTGATTTATGTTTTATGTTGTGTGTTTAGTAAAACAAAGTTTCAAAGGCATCCATTAAATTTAATATGTATTTTCAGCCATTCCTTACATGCGCCAAGTCATCAAGCCATCGATGACAAAGGGCTGACGAATTTACAAAAATAAATACCAGATATATCGTATATAAACATTGGAGTAGGAAAAAGTATATTATGAAGGTTACATAAAACACAACAATTTTTGAGAGAATGTCCGAAAACAAGCACATAGGAAAAGTACTCTGTATGAAAAAATTAACGGTACTCTTGACTGGGAATGCCTCAGTAAAAGATTCAAAGAAAAACGAGTATCCGAATAAGTAAAAGATCTGTACAAGTAACAAAGGGGTTTAAAAATTAATTATACTTACTCTTCCGCACTGGTCTTCGTATACGAATAAAAATCCTTAATCTTCATCTCGGTCATTCTCTGCAACAAGGCGCACATCTTCTCCTGCCATTCCAAACAATTGGCGATAATCGATTGCTTCAAATCGGCGCAATTTATTTGAGTAAAGTGAACGGCCGATACGGTTTCTTGAATGTTAACGTTATTGGCCATTTCGGTGTAACGAGCGATGTTCGAATCGAACAACATCGCGCTGGGATCCTCCTTTTCGTATCTGACGATGAACTTGTCTTTGTCCACTTCCCAAAGATCGCGAAACGGTTCCCAGTTTTTCATGTACTCTTTTATCTTGTCGACGTTGACTTTCACTTCTGTAAAAAAAAATGTTAATAGCGTCCGCGTTAGATGCGGACAAATATTTAAGCACTCCTCGTGGAATATTGAATCCACTGTAAGTCAAACAGTGCTCGTCCAAAGAAGGCCTAAGTGCAGCTAAAATATTATTTAATGATATATCCAAAGACCTTTATGCATAATTGAAAGAATCCAGATCCCACTGACTCAAGTTGAACAGTGCTCGTTTAAAAATATACAAACACAACTGACAGATCGTTCAATGAGATATCCAGATCCTCACTGATTTAAGACAGAAAATGCCCATCCAAAAAGTAGCAAAAATAATGTTCAAAACTCTACATGCACATATGAAATAATGTTCAATACGATATCCAGATCCCCACTGATTTTAGTCAAACAATGCTCGTTCAAAAATATACATACAAAGCTTAAAACGTGTTCAATGAGATATCCAGATCCCACTAATTCAAGGCAGAAAGTTCTAGTACAAAATGTACATATGAAAGAATGTTTAATACGATATCCAGATCCCCACTGACTTTAGTCAAACAATGCTCGTTCAAAAATATATAAAGCTAAAAAAATGTTCAATGAGATATCCAGATCCTCACTGACTTAAAACATGTAATGCTCGTCTAAAGACTTTACATATACCCAGATCCCCACTGTCTCAAGGACTACAATGCTTGTCTAAGGACCTTCATGCAAGTTGAAAGATTGTTCAATGGTATATCCAGATCCCCACTAACTCAAGACAAAGAATGTGTTTGTGCAAAGACCTACATAAAGATTGGTCAATGTGAGATATCTAGATATTACTACCTCTAGAACATACTAAAAATTGAAACTAGTAGTATTCCCAAAATCAACTGAGATTTAAGGATAAAAAATTATTTAAATCTATTTCAAATAAAATTTAATTAAGTTAAAATAGATCATCATTCATTAGATAACACATTTTATCGATCTATTAGGCACTTCTTACCTTGATTTAGCAAAACCTGCAGTTCCTGACACTTGAGATCCTCAGACATTATTTCGCTGTAAGATTTGTAAGTTTCGGAACCTTCTATACGAAATTTATCATTCAACCTTGGTAAAACTTTCAACGCGTTCACTAGCCCCTTGTGTACGTTTGAAACTAACGCCGCAACTTCTGCTAAAGATGGTTTAAATTTTATCTAAAAAAAGTTATTGATTTATTATAATATAAATCATGGTTTTAATTTAGATTTTTAGTTAAGTCTTCGTATCCATAGGATCAATTATGAAAGAAACAGCAGCTAATCTTTAAAAATTAATCAATAAATCACAAATCTGGTCTAAATAGGGGCGCACAATAATCAATGAAGGAAAATTTACTCACATAAACTTAATCAAATACAAAATAGATTATGTACCAATTCAACTTACCCTGTTTTCTGTTAAATTGGCGCTCAATTTTATAATAGGATTGGGTTCTGTAGTGCCGTCCCCGTGAAGGGCCTCGTACATTATGCTCAACGTGTTTCTACAAGTTACTCTTAGAGCTTCTTCAATTAACGTATCAAAATTGTTTACGTATCTCATCCATTCTGTCGCCATCTACAAATTAAATAAATTTGATTTAACGATTAATAAATAGATGTTAATTATATAAAAGTTTGAGCCATTATTCTGCTAAAAAATATTTATTTATAGCTTCAAGATTTTAATTTAAGTTTGCTGCAGTGTTGTCTCAACTTTCTTACTGTAACTAACTGCGCATTGAATACAATATACATTCATTCCTAGAGACGTTTCTGTAATCTGTACTTTCTTGGTCGATAAGAAAGTTCTCTGACAAATAATACGTCACAAGTGTCATTCACTCCTCATTGGTCAACGCTAAGCGCCAGCCTTAAGCTCGCTGGTCTGGTTCGTTCGCGTCACTACTATAATAGTCATCGAAATCACATGCGTTTGCCGCGATAATAACGGACGCTGTGCCCGCCATTATGAAACAAATTATTTCTCAAGTAACATGGCTTAAAGTAACAAATTTCCTAAAGCAATGCTGTAAATAATGTAAAACGTATTTGTTCATAATGTATACTGATCTATTCGTATTTTAAAATAAAAGTGTTTAACCAGACGTAATATTTTAATCCAAGTATCTACATCTCCCAGACCTGTGAATCACACATGTATTTCAAATTTTCTTATTTCTACAGTTTATAAATGAATGAATAAAGGAAAGAAATTTACATTTCCAATGTTGGCTTCGAATCCTTCGAAAACGAGTATCATAAATTCGGCAATCTCTTGGTACCACTCGATGAATTGATTGACCGAATTACCCATGCTGTCAGTCAATTCCTCCACCAATTCCTGACTGTCGTAGGCGTAATTTGCTTTCAGCACTATCATCGGAGTGTCGCAAATTTTTTCGCTTATGGCCAATATTTTCATGTTGCACGCCTTGTAGTCGTCCAAAAATGTCTGCAACTGTAAAATAAAATAACAGAAATAAAAAAAGTTATCCCATTCGGGGAATGGGTGGGTCTAACGACATGATTCTTTCATATTCTCGTAGTAGTAGTAGTAGTAGTAGTATTTTAAGTAGACTCCATTAAATAGAGTCGAGATTGCCTATTCCCTGCTGATGAGTCCTTATATTCAAGAGTAGCCAAAGTAGTAGTTATTTTCAGGAGAGAAATGGTCGCTGGACATTTCTATCTCATGGTTAGAAATACTCTCACTTATGACGTTCGAAGTGGGTATGCTCGGGCGCCAGTGTGTTTTACAGTAGTTTGCTTCACTTTACCTATTGGAACTAGTTCCAAGAAGGGCTGCAGGTAGCTGCAGTAAAGAAAGAAAATTCCAGAGGGTCCATTGTATAATAGATTGCGACGTGCTCTTCCAGCACGTCGCCGTTAACAACCAATTGTATTTAGGCAATATTGTTAACGACGTGCTCGAAGAGTACGTCCCAATTTATTATACAATGTGTTCCACAGTAATGAGAAAATGGCACATTTGCAATTATTTTAAGAGTTTCTGGTAAAAGAAAAGTAATAAACATATTTTGTCGATATTATTTAGCTAATAGCAACTTTAAGTGATTTACCTCTGCTGTGTTATTAAAGCAATCCGTGGTGTACTCGTCTCCGATATCAGCGGACCAAGTCAATCTAGACAAACCTGGTGCTATCTTCTTCTCTACGACCAAAATCAACGGCTTGAATAAAACCCGTTCTTCGTCAGATAAAGACGTTATGATCTTGTTGTAGTTCAAAACGACATTTAGCACACATTCGTACATCAATTTAATGGTTTCCTGTTTCGAATATATATTTTTTAGGTACATCGGTACCTCGTACTTCAAAAACGACCAATAATTCGCCTCGTGAAATATATCCAGAACGGATTTGTCTATATTGCATTCCAACAAACCCGGATGCGTTTTACTTCTGCACATCAGCGGTCTATTCAATCTGGAGTTAACGTCCTCGCCAATGGTGTCGACCCATTTTCTGTATAAGTTCAAAATGCTGTCGTCGATAGATTTGAATAGTTTCTCGAACTGCGCGAAAATGTCTTTGCCTATGCTGCACGGCATCATCCAACCTGCTTCTTGAAATAACTGAAAATAAAAAGTATTGGCAAGTTGATAATATTCTTTTGGAATACGGAAATGGTCGCGAAAGAAATTTCCTAATCGCCAAACAGTTGCAAAAGCTTGAATTATGGAGTATGGATCGAGGGGGAATGCGTACGATTGAGGAGCAAATATTAAATGTGGTCAAACACAGCAGTTCCCTAAAGTATTTATTTTAAGCAATTTCCGAACACCCAGTATATTTTTTTCAGTTTAAATTCAAAATATATCAATTTCACTTACTGCTCTGAGCATCCTCAATCTGTTCTTCTTCATCCTAATCATATGCGCTCTTCCTGCATAATACGGTGTCAAATTCGGATGAATCTCTGCTTCAGTTTGTAAATCTTGTTTCGCTTCTAGTATTTCTTCTCTGAACATACGATAAACCTTAATAAAAGAACAATTTTATGTCAATTTAACGTTTTTTCAAAGTACATAAATCGGATCTACCACCATTTGCCGAGCTATCGTCAACAATCATTATCTATTTAATATAAACTAATTTGATCACAGAAAAAAATTTAATAGGCAAAAAATATAAGACTTTTCATTATTAATAGACAAACAGCTACTTCATTACTTACACTGGTTGTTTTTCCTTCAAATAAAGTCAACAGCGTTTTTCTTTTGGTGTAATTGTGGAGTGCAGCCAAAGCTTCAATACCCTCTTCAACATTAGCAACAGATTCGAAAACAGCATTTGTCAAATTTTCAATTACCACTTCGATATCCTTCAATCTTGTTCTGAATTTTAATATGTCATCGTACCATTGAGACGCGGTCACTTCTAAAATTCTATAACTCACCTGCAATGTATCATCTTATTGAAATCAATTTACTTAATGTCTCAACAATGTAATAGTTTTCTTCATTGATTCAACTTTTATTAATGTTGGAAATACATCCAACATATTTCATCTCTCCCTCTAAAAAACACGTGACCAAGCCGCTAGATAATTCAAAGATCTGTTAGAAAGGATAAAACATAATGGGGCTCTTGTCAGCTCATTCAGTTCAGCGAAATTGTTTTTCTGGGCAAATTAATAATTACAAATTGTTAAAAGTAATCTTAAAAATATATATTGTGATATTACATTGTTAGCTTTAAAATGTTTAATAAATTGTGTTAAAGTATGATGTAAACTATGAATTGAAGCTTCAAACCACCTGTTATACTATCAGCGACACAAGACACGCAGAGAAACTGGAATTAATGGTATTCAGTCTTTATAAGTTGTGGTATAATTGGTATAACTCTAAATCCCTTTCTACTACAATAAACATTATTAAATACTTACCACTTCGATGTCAGCCAAGGCCTCGTGAAACATAGCTTCGATTCGTTCGGCCCATTTATCGAAATCTTCGCCTTTCGAACCGCCAAACATTGGTTTAGGAATTTGTTCGGTTTCGTCGTAACGACCGAAACAAATCATCACTTCGCACACTTCAATCATATCGTTGCATCTCTTGATGAAGGAATCGACATGATTAAATATGGGACCGCGATCCAAATTCCACGGGACGTCGCTGCAGGTTTCGTGGCTCTTCGAAATCTATTTTAAGTCAGGGAATTAGAGAACAAATATACAGAAATTTTCCAGAGGCTCAGGCCACAGGTACTTAGAAATTGCTCGGAGCTTAGAACAAGATTGTTCAAGATGGGATTGGACAGTAATTCGACTTACCAATATGTAAACCCTGATGTACTCCATCAAAGCATCTATACAGTTTTGGAACATTGCTATAGCTCTCCTGGTCTCCTTGTTTTTGAACACGATGTTCAAATCGATAAACTTCTTGCACTGCAATATCACTTGATTGCTCAACGCTCTAAATAACTGCGTGATTTTTTCTTTGGTATTGTAATAGGGACTTTCCAGCCAAAGGTAGCGAATCAGCTGAATGATTTTCGGAATTTTATCGGGCATGCTTCTGGGATCGGTTATTTCGAACAACGTTTGACAGGGCTCGACCAAGATGTTTAGATATTCGATATTCGATTTAGATTCTTCGATATTTTTTACGATTTCCCCGGCAAATGTTTTGAATTGACGCACGTAGGTCGATTGGACAGATTGGAGGATGTCGCAAATGTGCAGGATGCCTTCGTTGGACAGTTGGTAGTCCAGTCCTAGCAAATTTTCATCTGGAAGAGAGTATATGTTGTCAACACTGTACTTTAAGTCTCATTAGAGACAATATGAAAAACGATGTATACTCTTTCCAAAACCAATCCAACATAGCGTTTGTACCGGAGGCGCGTAATAATTTACGTTATAAGCGCTGAGAATGCTATATCCTCACATTGCAAATAAGCGCGAAAAATATTGTATACTCCCATTTTATAACACAGGAGCCACTAGACAACGTGGACTTGATTGACGTGTGTCACAAGCCCATCATCTTCTTTGTCTACCAATGAAAACAAGCAAACTGGAACTTGGAGGCGTGTTCGAAATAAGTTTTTATAATTTATGGGACGCGGTAAAGATCTGTCTTTGACTGACGTTTGGAAAAACAGCGTTAATCACGTCATTAAAAAGGAAAAAGAATATTATGTTTTACCTCCTATAGCTCCAGTAGTTATAAATCCAAACCTCGATTCCTCGACAGATGGTTCTGATTTAGATTCAGATTAACTTTCTTATTTTTCATTATTGGTAATCCCAGAGTCATCACATTAATACATTTATAGTTTTGTTTTATTTGTAAAGAATTTATTTTCCTTTATGGTTTTTGCTAAATAACGGCATTTAATGCCTTCCAATTATTGATAATGGAAGAATCATACCTAATTAATAATTAATTTTAATAATAAAAAACGATACGCCCATGTGCCCTTTGAAGTCGGCGCTAGTCGGTTATAATGCCGTGTTGGATTGTGTCTAGAAAGACTATACCTTGTGATCTAATAGGAATCGTTCATAAGAAATTTTGACAAAGAAAGAGGAATTACAATTAAAACTTTGGAGATAAAAGAGAAGATAGGAGATAATAGAAGAAGATATTTAAGTTTGAATAATGGATAGTTACTTACATCGATATTTCCAAAACTCAAATTCGTCTTTGGGACACAATAAATCTTCGGGCGTAAATTGGTCTTGATCCTGAAGACCCACTCGAATTTGTTTGGTCCAATACACAACAATGCCTTCCAATCTCTTTATGAGTTCTTTATCGCCGCTCGCTTCGTTTAGAGGTATCAAAATGACTTCTTGAGGCACGTACAATACGGTCAAACCGTACAGTTTGTAATGCAGATCGGTAACTCGGGCGAGAAACATTTGGAGATTTTGGCAAAATTCGTTCTTTACGCCTGCGATTTGGTTAAGGAATTTTATTGGTAAACAAATTTACATTTTAATCGATCAAATGAATACTTGGTTCATGCAAAAAAAATAAAGGTATAGCACTTGTTTTCATCTATAACTCAATCGTTTACAGCAGACCTGGTCAAGTCAACCCAAGTTGGTGTTTAGGTTGAAATAAATGTCGAAGAGAGTGTCATCTTTCGATGAAAATTTCTCGTGTTTATCTCGAGTTCTCTCGAGCAATTTACTTTTTGCTTATTTGAAATTTTCAATTGCTCATCGTAACTTAAAATTTTAAATAAATTTCAGATTTCCTGATAGTCAAAAATATAACTATATCACACATATTCTATATAATTAAATAGTAACAAATAATACATGTGTAATGAGGATTTTATGAATAGTGATTTATAAGAAAAATTATTTTGTTTATACGTAAATATCTATCAATTTCTAAAAAAAAAATGGGAATTTCCCATTGTATTATTAAAAGGATACTGTCTGGCCACTTTTCGTTGCACAAAAGCATCGGACCGTAAATATCTCGAACAATCATCAACATCGTACCGTCAATATCGTCACTGACATTCCCGAAAAGCACTTTATCGTGAAAATCGGTTACCGTAAATGCTTCGCTTTGTTCTCTCATGAAATACATCAAGTCAATTTGGTAGGGCCCGTCAGGCAAACCGATCGTGCATTGCAAATTAATGTCCACGAAATATATGCTCAAAACGGGTAGGGTCACATCGCGAAACCAATGTTTGATCACGGCTTCATTTGTCTTTGTCCAATCGGATTTTTGTAAACCGTACAAACAGGTTATGTCTTTCACGTACGACACTAAAGTGTTTAAGTCTTTTTCACTGTAGTCTATTAGTCTATCCTCTGATCTTTCTTCAGCAACTTCAAATAAAGTCAAATCTAGAAGTAAAAGTAGCGTATTATTAATGTGACCATATTTTGGTTCATTTGCCGCGTTTGAGAATCCACATCGGATGCATTTTTTATATCTCGAGCGTTTTTTTATTCACATCGGACACATCTGTCCCATTACATTTTACGTATACTGAATCACGTGATCAAAGATTTACTACATCTCAGATGCATCCGATGTGGATTCTCAAACGCGGCAATTGTTGAAGACCAGAAAAAAAAGGAGTAGATGGAGGAAATTTTGGAGCTGGAAATGTCTTCATAGTCCTTTCTATTGAATTTTACAGTACGCGCTGCAGCTAGAGTATCAACATACAGAAATTAACAGATATGCTGAGAGTATATAAACAAGTACTGAATCTAGTATGGGCTTAGAGCATACATATAACTCGAAGTGTGCCAGTAAAAATCACATGAACGGAACAATGTAATGTTTGACAGTTTATTGCATATTAATAGATCCTGGTCCTTTCATTGTCCTTGCACCAAAAACGCATCCTGCTTTTGTTTCAAGTTAACAACTAAACCATAGCAACAAATAAACAACAGTTTTGTATTTTATTTTTTGAGATTGTTGAACCTTTTTTAACTCCTATATTTTATTTTATTTGTAAATAACCCTAGTAGTAATATCGGATATTAAGGATTTTTAAGATTTTATTTATAATTTATTGGTTTTTAATAGTCAGTATTTGGCATTTTTTAAAGATTTATACATATGGTAAGTTTTGTTTTTTTTATTATCAATAGTTTACTATCGCCGATATTTTTAAAAATAGAATACAACACACAGTCAAATATTCTGCTGCAAAAATTAAAAAAGGTGTTCATTAAAAAAATAAGGCATCAATCATGATGATCCTGTCCTTTTAAACAAGGATATTACCATCTAACAATACCAGTAGCACAACTATTATGTGTCATTAATGTTAATAATAATTAAGATTTCACTTTATACAATTTCATTCCAAAAACGTATATACAAATTACTATTTAAGAATATTTATGCTTCTAACGTTCTTAAAAATCTTCAAAAATTTTTTTATATACTAAAAGTCCAGCAGTAAATTTGACATTACGAAAGATACATTATGATTTACGAAAAAAATTATTTTCAGGTAATTTAAGAAGAATCTATGGTGTTTTGACTTACCGTCTGCCTCTTCTGAAGAAAAAAGAGAATCTTTCTCTTCCCCATAGAGAGGTCCTGGGGAAGGGGAAGACATTTTGACTTTTTATAAAAAACAATTTTTTGAAATAAAATACAAAACTAGATGTTGTTTATTTCTATGGAAACTAGACTAGATTGTCGTTATAGTTACTTGAATAAAAATTGATTGATCAATACCTTGGAAATAAGACGTAGAGAGTGGAATAAATGATTCATTTGTATTTTTTTTAATGGCGTCCCTCCTCAGATAGAAAGTAGATTAATAACTGTTAAGCTTTGTTTGGCTGTATCATGTTCCCCTTCTATTTACGAGTTTTTTTACAATTTGTTCCAGCATCCCATTGGCAATTTTCAATTTAAACGCCCCTTAAATTCGTTCTGACCAATTGTGTTACAGAGCCATTAGAGAAAGATAGACAACCAATAACAAGACGAAGGCCACATGGCCAAACCAAGCCAAACAGTGTCGTTTCTCAGAGGGGTTGCCAGATTTACGACCACTTAGGAAAGTGACACATATCACACTATATAGTCCTATGGAAAGTGCCCTATATCACACGCGTATGAATAAGAATTTACTTTCCACCCGTGTACGAATATGCTACTTTCCGCAGTAGCTGTCACAAAACGTCAAACACATAATTTCTATTTTGATCTATGTAATGTCCATATTAATCCTAAAATAGATATGATTGTTAAATTATTGAAATTGTTGTAAATTAGATCCTAGATATTTATCTTTAACAATTATTATTAAAATAATTTTAAAATAACTAAGATATGTTTGCTATTTATTTTGGTTAAATACATTACCGATCTAGCAAGCCAACCAAAACTGTCACAATGTTTTTTAATAACAAGGAGGTAACATGCTACAACATAACCTAAACTCAACTAGGAAAAGATAACGCTTATGACATCGACCATGACCTATCCCGATGGGTCAATTTGGGCTGAATCTTCCAGGATGGGAATCTTAGAAGCAAACCCAAATAAATTATGTTTTACCTAAGCTGAAATGACATGTAAATACTGTATATATAAATATAAAGATTTTAAACTTATCAACTTTGCCATTTGAGACCTGGCGAGGACCGCGTTCAAATCCTGGCGGGGCCAGAATTTTTTTTTGTTTTTTTTTATTTTTTTTTGTTTAGAAAATATGAAAATTTAATAAATACGAATATTGTTGATTATTTTTTTAAATACATTTTACTTATTATAGTAATAATAACCTGGTTTTACATTTTTTGATGACATTATTTTGTGGTCGTAGGAAAAATATTGTACATCACTTGTGTGAAAAGTGATTTTCCACACTTGTGTGATAGTCGCACTCGGCTTGTGGATCGTGCGACAATATTTGCCACTCGTGTGAAAAATGTCACTTTCCACACTCGTAAATGTAATATACTATACTTTCCTATCTGTATACAAATAAGGAAAGTATAGGAATCTTGATTTTTTTCGACCTCGAGTTTTCGACTGATTTTTACGTTTTAAAGTCCCCTGAATCCGTTTTGACTATTTTCGCGATGATATCAATTCGAGAAATTTGACAAAATGTAAAAAAAAATATTTTTTATAAAAATTGTTCAGATAAAAGTTGTTTGTAATATAATTCTCTATAATTTTTATCCTATACATAATTTATCTAAAATGGACCGTATTCGAGATATTTGAGAAAATGTGTAAATTTCGAATTTTGAAAAAAACTCAGAAACGGATAAAGAAAAAAACATTAAATTTTAAACTTAAGTTTTATTTCAGCCTGACGTGAAAAGATTAGATTTTGGACAAAGTCTGGGAGGCCGTTTTTATATTTTATGGAATATATCTGTTATTTATGTTTGGAGAAGAAAATTGTTTAAATAAAAGTTACTTCTAATATTATTATCTATAATTTTTGCTTTATGTCAAAATTTCCTGAAATGGTCCGTATTCGAGAAATTTAACAAAATGTGCAAAATTCTGATTTTTGTTGAACTAAAAGTTGTTTGCGATATCGATCTCTATAATTTTTGTCTATACATGATTTTTCTAAAATAGACCGTAATGGAAAAATTATAGGAAAAGTGCTAAATTTAAATTTTTCAGTATTTTTGTTTTCAATGAATATGGAAAATGTATATATTTAGTTTATCCTCTAAACATTTATAGATGTGCTGCAATAGGATGTACAAAATAACCGGAAAAAGCCTATAATAAGTAGATAGGAAAGTCATGTGTTGGACACATCAGATTTTTTATAGAGTTAGATAAAGAGTTGCTACTGTTATTTTTTTTTTTTTGATCCCAATTGTGTCATTATAAATGTTTTTTATAGAATACTAAACGTTTAGAACAGTGGCAGCATATATATCGTTCCTAATGCCGATAAAGTACTTTCAAGAGATGATGCTGTTCTATACTTTTTAGAAGATATTATCAAATATTATGAGACTATTTTTACTGATGGTACTGTTAGCAAAATAAAAAGGAGAAAGCTAAAATTAAAGGATGAGGTAATACCATGTACATTCTTAAATCTCCCTTTATATTTGTATTACAACAAAAAAAAATCTGTTAACTGTGTTTTATTTTACTCTTAAAAATATATATCGGTTCCATTCAAAAAAAAATTTACCACAAGATTGTACTTATCAAATTTCAGCATTTAAGAAACCTTTTCGAATTTAGTCATACATACCTAATTTGTATTTTATATAGATAAAATTAAATAATTTATCAATTAAAACATGCAAGACTTATTTAGAAATAAATACAACAATATGTTCTGTGCTTTATTTAGCTATAAACAAGTTTATTTTTATTATTTTCACAAAATTATGTATAATTCCCATAAAAAGCCATGTATTTTGAACGCCGTTTACAGTACCAGCGCCCATGTGGTTAATTATAGAAGCTCAATTAGCATGCGTTTTTTGAGACCATATTTTGAGTATGCCGATTCGTCTCCTTATCTCTAGTCTACATAGTTCAAATACCAAGCATTTAAAAAAAAAAGCGTGGAAAATACGCCAAAAGCGTGCCGTCGGGCAATCCTATATCTCAGGATATATATTATTGTTACATATTTATATTTTTGGGTAATCTGTTGTAAAACATTCAGAAAATTGATTGTTAATTGTATCGCTTGTAGTAGAAAATATCTTAACCCTAGAGTGCTTACAGGGGTCACCAGTAACCCCAGCGAAATTTTAATTGGTAGTTATTAAAAAACCGTAACACTGGCAACCGTGTGTGTTCTGCTATGTATCTATGTCCCGGTGTATTATTTAATTTATTTATAAAGCGTGTGGCAGTGCTGTTTGTTTTGTATCGCTGTGAGTTCTGTCGCGGCCGGGGTGACGAGTAACCCCAGTAAGCGTTAAGTGTTATTTAAAATAAATATAAAAAAGAACTTTCGATGGCTGTTCGACCAGGTGACCCAAAATTCGAGGACACTGTGCTAAGGTGGAATGAGGAACTAGAAAGTCAATATGATTCTGACAATCGGGGTACAGATTTTGAAGATAATGTGTCAGTACAATCAGATTCAGATAGCATTGTATCGATCGAAGAAGAGGAACATGACAAAGGAGATATTATAGATAACAATACAGAGAATGAAGCTGAAGAAATAGATAGTGAAGGTGAAAGAGAAATAGATAGTGAAAGTGAAAGAGATCCGCCTCAACCAAAAAAGTTCAGAGGAAAGAATGGCTATAGCTGGTCTGCTGAACCACCAAGTCGCACTCGTACTCCGCTGCGAAATATTGTCTTTCGACTACCAGGCCCAAAAAAAAAGACAATCATCAGAACTCAAAAGAAATGTGGTCAAAGTTTGGGCCAGAAATTTATCGTTGTATAATGAGCGAAACCAGGTTTAGGTTTTTGATATCTTGTATAAGATTTGACGATAAACGAATCAGAGATCGTCAAGATAAATTTGCCCCCATACGTACTATATGGGAACGATTTATTTCAAACTGTACTAAAAATTATACACCCCATAGTTATTGTACCATTGATGAGCAGCTGTTAGGCTTTAGGGGAAACTGTCCATTTAGAGTATATATTGCTTCAAAACCTGATAAGTATGGGCTCAAAATAATGACAATGTGTGACGCACGCACCTTCTATATGGTAAGTGCTATTCCTTATATTGGAAAAATAAAAAGACCGGATAATGAACCTGTGCCAGATTATTATATGAGAACACTGACCGAGAGCATTCATGGAACAGGGAGGAATATTACAATGGATAATTGGTTTACGTCAATCCCATTGACCGACAAAATGTTAACTGAATTCAATTTGACTATTGTAGGTACACTTAGAAAGAACAAACGAGAAATTCCTTCATCTTTCCTCCCAAATAAGGAGAAAAAAGAAGGTACTTCTCAGTTCGCATTTAGCAATAAAAAAACATTGGTTTCTTACACACCCAAAAAAAACCTGAAATCATAAACTTCTATAACTCAACAAAAGGAGGGGTGGATTCATTGGACCAGATGATGCACTCCTCATCTGTCTCCAGAAAAACGCGTAGATGGCCACTACGGTTTTTTTATGGAATGCTGGATCAAGCAGGAATAAACTGCGACGTGATATACCAAATTGTGAAAGGTAACAGAAAAAAGAGTACTCGCCGAATCATTTTTATTTGAGCTTGGGTTTGCTCTGGCTAAACCTCACATGGAAAGACGTTTAACCAAAAATCTGCCTGGTGATTTAGCATCATCCATTAGAAACATACTTGATGTGAAAGATGAGACTGCACCTGAAGGACAACCTCCAAGAAAACTTTTATAACAGAAGCGGTGTTTTTTGTGTGCAAGAACAAATGACCGAAAAACCAAAAATGCCTGTGGAAAATGTTCAAAACCAATTTGTAACGACCATAGAGTAGAAATATGTTTAGAATGTATGAAATAAAAGTTTTTTGTTCAAATACTGCAAATTTTTTTATTTATAATGTCAATTACGATTTTTTTTTGGGAGGGGGTTACCGGTAATCCCATGTAAGCATATAAAGGTGCATATTTTATGTAAGCACTCTAGGGTTAAAGTAACTTTTCACGGGTAGGTAAAGTAATATTAATACTTTATTAGATTTTTATAGAATCAGTTTATACTTGATATTAATGCGATTTGTACTATGTAACGTTTTTAATTTCTTATTATGTAATTTCCTGAAAATCTAAAATTTAAATAAAGTTGAGTACAGGTCCTAGGAATATGCCTAGAGATTGAGTTTACGGAATTTGTTTTTATTTTTCTCCTGACACATATAAATAAAATTAGTATAAATATGCATTACCCACAATTTTATTTAGTTATGTATACTTATTAATACCTTCTATATTTACAGAATCCCTTATTTAATTAGAAATATCCTAGATAAAAAAAACAACTTAGACACAGAGTATAGATATGTAAAAAATACGAAATAAGGCCAAATTTTGCCAAACTAAATTAGATAAATTCAATTTGGACCAAAATGGATGAGACATTTTTATCAATAGACTATCTATTTGAATTGATACGTACATAAAAATTATAATTTTACATCTATTATAATATTTTGTGATATAACCGAGTGTTTCTAAATAAAAGAATTGTATTCTTTTTATCGAGAGCAAACAATCAACGATCTTTGTTAAGATGGGTTTTTTATGTTATATTGTTTCGATTTTGATAATATGGTTCGTATATCTTTTGTTTTCTATTAGACTTAAACACGGTTTGTACAATTTAAAAGGTAAGTCGATTTAGATATATTTTTACTTTCCTATCTGTATACAAATAAGATACAAGAATGTAGAAAATTTTTATAATAATAATACTCTCCCCTAATTCACCCCCTTACGAGTAAATTTCAACCCCTGAAGCCGACTGAGCGACTTTTGTAGGAGAAGGGACGGCTATTATTATTTGCCGTGGCGCTATATTGCCAAAAATGTAGGCCCTCAGTTGGCGTTTTCTTAGATTTATCAAAAGCGTTTGATACAGTCGATCATAGAATTCTGCTAAACACATTAATTGAATCCATTTTTAGCACTCTTTTACTAAATATGTATTATATTTTATTTTTTATTGTATACTTATTCTAGTTATTAGTGTAAATTTTAAATTGTAAATCTAATTTTAGCTATTAATATTACTATCATTATTATTATTTTTTATTATTATTCTTATTTTTTATTTTTATTAATTACTAATATTTTTAAATATAAATTTTAATCATATTTTCTATTATCGAAACAAGTACATCAGTACTTATCGATACTCTAACTTTATTTATATTTTGTATACACGTTTTTTTTTCTTTATTTTATTGTACTCCATTTATAAATAAAGTTTCTATTATTATTATTAGAAGACTTGGGAATTAGGGTTATTTCACATGACCTATTCAAAAATTATTTAATGACAAAAATTAAAAATAAGACATAATTACAGTAGTGAAAAATAAATTTCATGTGGAGTGCCTCAGGGGACAGTTTTGGGTACCATACTTTTTAATATATACAGTAGATGGGCGACAACAAAGGTCGTTTGAATTCATAACTAAAAGAAAACTTACTAAAATAGTAAATAATTCACTTTTGTAGTTAAATAATTAAGCAGATAAATAAAACTATTAATCCCAAATAGAGCCTTAAAGATACCATTTGGGAAGGCGAGACCGAGTAAAAGGACAACCGTAAAGCGACAGCGAACTCAGCGAAGGAGACTGAAAACGGTCTCTTCACGTCTGAACACATCTAATTATATAAAACACATTTGATATGGCGCGACCGACGACAGCAATTTTAATACAGTAGAATTTGCTGCTTGCTGCCTGTCGCTTGTCTCGCCTTCCCAAATAGTACCTTTAGAGTTCAATGAAGCTGAAATGGAGAAAGAAAAAAAAGTAAACATAAAAGTAGATTAAGAATAGATTTATTTAAACTTATTTCTTATAGCGAGAAATTTACAATAATGTTTATTTTGTTTATCACAACACATGTGTGGCCTTTTCTATGTCTTATTTCTAAGTTCCCATGAACGGGCTAAAGTATGATAACAGTACTACGGCATATTTGTTATCCCCTTATATTTTGCAACCTTACACACTGCTAATAGAATACCTGAATACGTATTGTCTGATATAGTGAAGAACAGCGATATCACGAAGAGAATGGCGCTAGTACTAGTATCCCAATGCCGTACTTCATGGATAACAATAATATGGACAGAACACCTCATATGCCCGTTAGGGCTGTTTTTGGGGTATCTCTAGTAGAGATCCATCCTGCTTCTATCAGGCTGTTTTCTGTCCAAAGACGTGGGGATAATACCATGTTTAGGCCTTACTATTGAGGTTTCGCATGTACTATGGATGGCTTTTAACTCTTTTCGGTGGCTCATGGCTCTTTTTCGGCGCTTTTTTATTCATTTACTTTAATAATCAACAAATCACGGCTATAGATGACAGCTTCAATACCATAAGCTGTAGTCTCACAACAATCTCATCTTATTTTTCTAAAAGGATAACAAATAACAACTATACTACGTCACTGTAACATCAGCGATATATTAAAACTATTAATGAATTTAAAGAAATGACAATTTTCATTTATTGTCCGATATTTTGAATCTCGTTGTAGATATCAAAGATTTCTTGGAACCATTTTAATGAGCACAAAATTGCGCAACTTTTGTCTAATTTAACCAAATTTCTATCTGTTACCGTTTAAAAAATAGCAGTACTGTCCCCATGAAATAGTAGGGATCTTATATAATAAACAATAGTTAAACAAAAATATTTCATCCGCTTTAAATGTAGGTTAAGGTCATGTTATGAAATTTGCGATATCTCGTTTATTTATGTTTTCGTTTAATATTTATTTTATACATAATATTTTCCTAGATATGTTGTTAATTATCATTATCTGAACTTTACCTTTTGATTATTTATAGCCTAGTAGTTTTAAACGGAAAAATGATCAAACTTCAACAATTTTCATTTATCAGTATTTTTACAAGATCGCTATTTTATTGTGCTCTAGAAAACACATCATTCACATTTCTATATTTTCCAGATTTAAAAAATTTCGTAACTTATTGTTTGCTAATTGAAAAAATGAAAAAACACAAAGAAAAGTACAAGAAGTTAGTAGAGAATTTGGGGGTCCAATTTGAAAATGAAATTAATGTAAGTGGAGAAAAGGTAAGACTTATCTCGGATACATTATGTATTATTTATTTACATTTGCTCTTCCTCTTTTTTGTTGATATACCGGGTGTTCTAAATATACAGCTTTTTATAAAAAAAAAACGTTTCAAGTAGCTGTTACTCAAAAAGTAAAAGTCCAATAAAAAAAATATTTCCCTCAAAAGTTTCTTATTTTTTTATGTTCTTTAAGAATATGTAAGAAAAAAATGGGATTCCCATTTAAAAAACAAAGTTCACCTCGATATAACCATATTATGGTCAGCTATAAAAAAATGAATTTAGCCAAAATGTTTCACCCAAAAAACTATAAAACTTTTGTCTGAAACTTTTTTTCTAAAATGCATATTTTCGGCGGTATTTAACTGTAACACTTTAATTTGAACACCCGATATTTGTTTAAAATTAACGAAAGTTATATTTTGCAGGATTCAGAATGCCATTATTTCTATGGATTAGATCAAAATGAAAATAGTCTAACGCTTAAATTCGATCTGAATAAGAATTCAATAGCAAATATTCATATTTTTCTGAGAATAAAAGAAAACGCCTATACTTTACCAGGTTCGTTATGATTTTATTGATATGGATTATAATATTATAACATCGAATTTTTAGGAAAAAATGCTTGCAATGCAATAAGTCTTTCTAAAAATCGGTGGAAAGCTGATGGATTAAATATAGAAGTTTTAGAACCATTTAAGAGATTGAGAATAACTTTTAACGGTTTATTACAAAATTCTAGTTTTGGTGGTAAGATTGAACACGTTCAATTTAATTTTATGTAAGTACTTAAATGCAAATTTATTTTATGTTCTTTAATATCCCAGGCAGCTAACTAACGTATTTTATACGCAATACTCGTTTAATTTTGGTATTGGTTGATTCCGTATACGTTTACAGTTTACGATTATTATACATACCGTGTTTTAAACGATGTATTATACATTTTTTATATACATCCTATGGTATATAATGGTAAATTTTTCTATGTTTAAAAATATACGACTATTTTTAGTTTGCGATGAACTATTTATATACAGTGGACCTAAATATACGTTTAGGTTTATTTAAATTAAATTCGTATAAATTTACATTATATTACAATATGTTTTCTTCGTTTATAATTCCCGTTTAAATTTCGTCTTGGTTGATTTTTTAAACGTCTACCATCTACCATCTTTATACTTAACGGTTTTTAACAGATAAATTAAACGCTTTTGTTTGTCGATACTAGTTAATATACCTATATTATTCTACGTTTAAATATAAGTCACCTTAATCGCATAATACCAGTTTACGATGAACTAGCAGACAGAAGTAAATAATATGTATATATTTAGGTTTATTTAAATTAAAAGCTTATAGATATATTTATTTACATTACATCCATATTTTTTTATTATATTACCTCTAATATTTATTACAAATTCCCCATACACATGGAACTATTTTTAGATGGCGGATGGAGGATGACGTACTAGTTGTACGGTTTTTTCTCATTCCTACTCATGCGTATGTGTTAGTGTTGTGAATATCCGTATCTTTTTAGTATTCGGATAATACGTATTCGGAACCAAGAGATATTCGGATTCATCATCCGGATACGTATCCATATGTGTGAAATCATAATACGCAACCGTAAATACACCGCGACCTTGGGAATCGGAATTGGGCAGTGTTGTCAACCCTAGCAGAATTTATGTTTGAGAGTGAAGTAACAGGAGCTTTTAATGTTTTAGAATAATAAACACAAGATAAATCTCAAATATTTTGTTTTTTATCATAATATCAGAAACAAAATTTCTCATTTATATTTATATAACTTCATGTTACCTTTAAAATATGCAGTGCATGCCGACTAACCGATTATGAAATTGCAACAACGCTAGACGATTCCGAATTCTGATTTCGTATCCATAGTTCGTATCGGCTGCCACCCGCAAAACCCGAATCGGCTCTGTCATAACAGAACTTGCAGCATTCGATTCGTGTATTACGATTTTGTTTCTGTTCTTTTTGATACCGAATTCGTATTCGAATTTACACTATTGATTCCGGAATATCCGGATCCTTTTAATATTCGGATTCAACGGATTTTTGGATACGTATTCTTACATCACTAGTATGTGTAGTATTATTGTTTAGTGTAGGGAATGGTTTGTGGGAGCAGGTTCATCGGTTGGTCCATTTTCATTTGTGTACACGTTTTGTTACATGTTGCTTTGGCGTCCTGGCTTTTACGATATTGATTAAAAGCATAGGTAAGTTTCTATTAATGTTTTAATTTAGCTACTCCTTTAATAATTGTTGCATTTTACAACAACTACTGTTTTATAGGTACGTACAGTGTGTTAAATGCTTATAGAAACTTCAAAACCTAACCTTACTTTTGTTTCTTTTATTTTTATACGTATTTTTTAGGATACCTAGTTATTCCAAGCATATTTATTTTCCTTTTTTTTGGTCAGTTGTTTTTTATTTAATAAAATGTCTAAAATAACCCTGTCTCTGCGTCATCTACGTAGAAAAATAGCGCAAAATGTTCAAGATGCTTTAAAGTCAAATCAATTTTTGTTTATTCCCAATGAAGATAACATTAATAAGGCTTCGGACATTAATAAATCATCTGATTCTATTATTTATAATAATTTCCAAGAAAATAATACAAATTTAACTTCGGAGCTTTTAGAAAATATTTCACCTGAAATTTAGTTACATTTTGGTTATAGGAATGCGGGTGAACCAAACGACTTAACCGACCGAACGATTAGGTGTGCCATGCAAAATTAGCTTAAGTTAGCTAAGGCCCGTCTAGGACACAACACATCCAAAGTGTTAAGCTAAGATTTTTATTTTCATATATATTTTTTGTTAGTTAAAGAAAAGTTTCGTTTAGTTTGTTATTCAGTATTTTAGTGTTTATTTTTTTGTATTTATTTATTTTTTAGTATTTTATTGTTTTTTTTTTTTTTAATTAAATATTGTTCTGTACATATAAAAAGTGATCAAAAAATTTTTCTAAATATTTAGGCCAATTACAACCAAAATAGAAACACGAGTAATGCCTATTTCTGGTGTATACACACCTGCTATGGATAAAATCCAAACTATCATTTAAGAAATATTAACATTTTTCCATGGCCTCTTTTAGAAATTTTGTTTTGATCACTTTATTTAATTTGTGTTTGAAATACATTTAAAACAATATCAGATAGACGCATTTTACACATTAGTAAAAATCATACAAATATATCTAATATAGACGTATAGTAAAACAGGATAATTAAAGGTAGATAAAGTAGTAATGTTAGACCTATAAAAAATAAAAAAATATACGTTTATAGGGCGGACATTTTCACGTATATATTGGGTAGCATATCAACAGTATCCATACGTATATTGTAGTACATAAAAAAACGTATTTTATACCAAAGTGAATTCGTATAAATATACTACAACTATAAATCTAATATAGACGTATAGTAAAAACGTTTAATTATAGGTGGATAAATTCTTAGTAATCGACGTTTATAAGGCGGACATTTTCACGAATATATTTGGTAGTACATCAACCGTATTCATACGTATGGTAGTACCTAAAAAAATACGTAATTTATACCAAAGTGTGCTGCCTGGGATTTTTAAAAAAATGTTGATTTACACTAAATTATTGCTAGAACAAAACATACAAGTTAACACATATTTTTATTCTAGATTTACTGCTGTATGTTCCCCGTATTATATTCCAAATGACATTGACGATTTATTATTAGCAAAATTTTTGTCTAAAACAAAATCAAGAATCTCTAAAGATGAAGTGTATGTATAATTATTATGTACTTACTTGTATATTTTAATTTTATCTTATTTAAAAAATATATTACAACAAATGATTCAAACAGCATAGGTTTTCAAACTTTTTGTTTCGTAGACCACAAGCCATGTTTTTCGGTTTTGGGATTGAGTTTTAGCATTTTTGAAACTTCATCAAATTTTAACCGATTCCTAATGCAGAGAGGTGTAAAATATGTACTTAGATTCTAAGCTGTTCTATTTCAGAAATCTGCAGTACGGATTCGAACAATTCGGTGTTTTGAAAGGTTTCGTCAAATTTAACAATTCTGACGAAGTAATCCTCAATTTACCAAGCAATAGATCAAGATACGGAGGAATAGATGATGCATTTACGAGTGAAAGAATTTTCAAGATTCTCTCTGTCGATGAATGTGGAAATTTGTTCAACATTGTCATCAAATGGTTAAAAGACGGAACTGTTCAGTAATATATTTTGTTGTTTTTAAAATATATATGTCCTGATATATTTTTAATTGTAGATTAAAATACGGTTTCGTTTACTTGAGCAATGAAAAGCGCTTTCCGATATCAAATATTCATCTACTACAATCTGATAATAACAATAATTCTCACATAGGCATTAAAATAAAAGCAAATAGAAAAATATATAGAATGTCCTTCAGTTTAAAGAAAGATTTAACGTTAAAATCCTTAAACGAGCACACATTTGGATACCAATTATCCAATATATCGGCAGACTGCAAGATTAACGATTTTTCTGGAAAAGCCATTGTAGAGTGTTGGTATGAATACAAAGGTAAAGACTTGGGTATAATAAAAAGAAAACTTCTGCATTTCAAGAGCATCATGGAAAACATTTTTTTTTCAAACATTTTTATTTAATGTTGTAGGCGTAGCTGATGTGATACCTGAATCTAAATTATGTGAAAAAATTATTAAATATGTACCTGAAACGTTTTTATGTGATTTAAAAGACGAGGAAAGCCAAATTTTAGCCCTTACTGGAGGAAAAGGATGTTCTTTAGGATTGCTTACATCTTTACGGTCATCATTGGTAAAGGACCACGTATTTTTCTTATGCAAACGGAAGTACCGTCAAAATGTCTGAATTTTTGATATGTCTGAATCAAAAGTCTCCATGGGCCTAATACTATCCTGCGACTAGATTTTTAGATACAGGATATTGAAGTTATAAATCCGTAATTTTTTAAAATGGGCACCAAAAATATTTAAGGGTGATTTTTGGTGTCCATTTTAAAGAATTAGAGATTTCTATATTTCTAACTTCTCGAAATCTAGACATAGGATAGAATTGGGCCTATAAAAACTTTTGATTGAGACATTAAGTAATTTAATACATTATTTTGATGGTAATTATAGACATATAATTTAATAAAAAATTCTTAATTACGATAATTTAAATTTTGATATTTAGTTTTCAGTGCCATATGGATTTGTGATCACTGTAAAAGCTTACGAACTCCATCTACAGGAAAATCCTTCTTTAGTACATTCTATATCTCTTATAAATGATATATGTTGTGGTAAAATAGATGACAACTTAGAGCAGGCCTGTGAAAAGTAAATAATAATTTTTAATAGAATACGATCAGTGATCTTTATCCCGTCTCAAAATTGATAATACGCTCATGATTTAATAGCCAATATATTAAATATTAACGGAAATATAAAAAAAAGAAAAAAATAACGTCTGATTTAAACACCTTGAACTCGTAATACGAATAGCAGATAACATTTCACCCAGATAACATTAATTAGAAAAATATAAATATTTTGAAGTTATAAAGTTACGCCTAATAAATATTTTAAGTAGGAACTTAATTTTTACTTTCCTATCTGTATAAAGATATAAGGAAAGTATAGGAATCATGATTTTTTTGGCTATCGATTGTAAATAAAAAAATAATTGATTGATTTGACAGATCACCTCATATTTTTAGAACAGTGCAATATTTTAAAACCAAAGATATCTCGCATAATTTGAAGAAAAAGATCATTATCCAATTAGATAAATATCCAAAAGAAGATTTCCAAGGTTGGGCAGTAAGATCGTCAGCAATCGGAGAAGACTCAGAGGACTTATCAGCTGCTGGCCAAAACGAAACTTTCTTAGGCTGTCAAACAGACGATCAAATTTTGCACTCCATTCAAGCTTGTTGGGCGTCACTGTATAGCTTCCAAAGTGTCCAATATAGATGGTAAGTAAATAGGAGAGTTGAGTCCTATAGAACCAGAAACCGATGAAAAAGTTTGGAACTTATTTTTGTAGTGAATTTTTAATATTTGGTTTAGTTATACATTAATTAATCTTGAAAATGAAGCTTTCTTTCATTTACTACATTTTTGGATCTAGAACTGAATGAAATTGTTTACTTAAATGTTTTTAGGCAGCATGGACTTCCTGTAATATCAGAAATGGCAGTAGTGGTCCAAAAAATGGTGAAAGTAGAATCTGCAGGTGTACTTTTCACCTGTCATCCGTCTACAAGCGATCCATCCCAAATGGTCATCACATCCACTTTTGGTCTTGGAGAGGTAACAATTCAAAAAAGTAATTTATTAATATGATTTTATGACTTCGAATTTGTTTCTAAGACAGTCGTTTCTGGAAAATGTGATCCAGATACATTCATATTACAAAGATCTTGGAACAAACAGATTAGCATTCAACAGAAAATGTTGGGAAGCAAAAACAACGTTCTAAAAATGACAGACGATGGCCTGATGGAATCATCGCATACTGAATACGCCGATATATCTAGTCTTACAGATAAACAAATCATTGAACTGGGCAACGTGGGAACTTTTCTGGAAGAGGCTTTTGGAAATCATAGAGATATCGAATGGGGTTTTTATAAGGTAAGTAGGAGCAGAATAATTCAAATCCTAACTAAATTATCTAATAAATAGTTTTTATCACTTTAGGAACAGCTCTACCTCTTCCAGTCGAGACCGATTACGACCCTGAACGCTTGGACTGACTTTGAACTAAGTCACGAGCTTGATTCCCCCATTTTGTCTGATAACTTCGTTTCGACCACCGCCAACATCAGAGAAGTAGTACCTAAAGCGGTCACTGTTTTAACCAGAACCACTTCGTTGAAATGTTTGGATTGGGCTTTGCAAAAATACACCCAAAAGAATTTTGATCCTGTAACTTTGAGAGGATTCGTGACGTATCAGCATAATATATTTTTGGATGTTTGTACAGTGGGTATTTTTTTTGGTTGTTGTTAATATAAAATCAATTCAAAATTATTGTTTGACTCAAAGAACATATCTACAGTCGTAGAAAATATAAAGCAAATCTTGACAAATAAATATTAAAACCAAAAGGTAACATTACAATAATAAAACACTGTAATGTGAGCCATTTCATTATTCAGTCATGCTCTAATCCTCCAATTCCCTCTCTGTCTTATTCGCCTTTGAGGCTCAACTTGTCCAAGGTATCATCGATTCGAGGAAGAGGATGACTGTCTTTCTTGGTAACATTGTTCAGCTGTCGGTAATCCACACAGAACCTCGTAGTTTCATCCTTTTTCTGGACCAGGACTACCGGAGAGACCCATGGGCTGGTAGGAGGTTCTATCACCCTGTCTTCCTTCATTTCCTCTTGGCATCTTGGCCTTTGGCAATCTTCTAGCTGATTGACGAATTGGCCTGGCGTCACCAGTGTCAATTTTGTGTTTTGCAACAGAAGTTCTTCCTGTTTTTCCTCCTTTTGGTACAAAAATGTCACGATATCGTCGGAGAAATTCCTTTATTTTCTTTTTCTCCAATTGATTTAGAGATTGACCAGCAACTGCAATCATTTACTCGAATTTGTCCTCGGAATTATCAGAAGTTGTTGTCTGACGAATTATGGAAGTTACTGATACACAAGTTCCGATTCTGGTCTCTTTCTTGATGGTAATTGGGTGATCATTAACGTTTATAAGACGAATTGGAATCTCTTTAGCAGTCGTGACCAACCCTTTTCCAATCAGAATTTCTCGTCCAAGCTCTTCATCGTGGTTCCAAGGTTCCATCATTACAGGTGTTCCTTCTTCCATTCTTTCTTGTAGCCGTACTACTATAACGGTTTCACTTCTGCCAGGTACCACCGTATCCTCCTGTACAGCAACTGGCACGCTACTGTCCCCATATGGATGTAGGAATACTTCTTGGGCATCAACTTTGATCACTCTGTTCTTAAAGTCTAACTGGAAACCATGTAAGTTCATTACATCCATTCCAAGTATAACATCTTCTTCGATATCAGCGACAATAACGGTATGAGTGAACTTTTTTGTACCGATTCCCAATTGAACCTGGATTTCCCCATGGATGTTGGCACTTTCACCTGTGGCAGCCCGCAGTCGCAATCTTGTTGGTAGAAGTTTCTTACGGTTATTTATGGTTGGTTGTTTAATAGTCCTATTTGCTCCAGTATCCACCAATACTGTATACTTTTTACCATTTACTTCGCCGTCTACTTATACACTATCATCGCGATATTTCAAAGAGGCTACCAGTATAAGAGAGTTTTTGAAGCGGTTTCGGGTCGAAGCTGTCCCCTCTAGACCGACCCGCTCTAGTTGTCTTGATTCGTTGTGACCCTAGGGCATTTGCACGAACTGCGTACATATCTCAGTTCACCGCAATTCCAGCCCCTGATCGTCTTTGTCTTCATCTTTCTGGCAGTAAGGCTCTTCATCATGTTTACCAGTTGGTCGAGTTTACGTTCCTCTTCTTCTTCTTCTTTTACAGTTCTTACTTTACAGTATCCACCAGAAGCCTGCGTAGCTGCCTCATATTCTAAAGCAGCGGACAAGACATCGACCAATGTTTTGTGGCGAGCTAAGCAGAGTCTTTTATGCATCTCGTGGTCACGGAGTCCATAAACAAATGTTTGGACTGCCAAACATTCCATCATGTTTTCCGGAGCTGATGAGTAAGCAAATCGCACCAACCTGGCAATATCTACTTCATATTCTTGAAGGGTCTCGTCTCGTTTCTGTTTGCGATTCTTTAACTGTGATTGATATAGATGCTCCAAATTTTTGTGTCCATATCGCATATTTAGTCTCTTTTTGAGTTGTTCAAAATCATCTGTCTCTTCCACAGGTATAGTCCAAACAACATCTAAAGCGTCTCCTCGAAGGGCGATTGTCAGATTCATTGCCTTTTCTCTCTCAGACCATTCTTTTGCTCTTGCAGCTGTCTCGAACTGTTTAAGGTAGTTGGTCCATGACATCTTTCCGTCGAAGGTTGGGGCTTTAACACGAGCAGAGTTTACAGCTCCTTCCAATTTTAACTTCGACTCCGCCTCATGACACTTTATTTCACCGTTCTTGCCGCGTCTGAATGTTCCAGTTCTTCTATCTTCTTTTACATCTGTTTTATTTTCTCCTCTACAGAAGACATCTTGTTTTCCACATCAGCAGAGATTTCATTTTTCAGAGAAGATATTTTGTTTTCCAAGTCTGAAGAAATTTCGGTTTTTAAAGAAGATATGTCAGACGATACCTTTTCTTCTAAGGAAATAACTTTACTATCTAAAGAAGAAATATCTGAAGAAACTTTACTTTTTAAGGAGGAACTGTCTGAGGAAACTTTACTTACTGAGGAGGAAATGTCTGAAGAAACTTTAGTTTATAATGAGGAAATGTATCAGTTTTTATAGAGGTCATATCAGAAGACATTTCGATTTTTAAGGAAGATATCTTACTTTCCATATCGGAAGAAACTAAAGAAATTATAATAGAAGATGAATCATCAGAAAAGAGATAATTTTCCGAATCCAAACCTTCATTTTCTAGTGCTTCTTTAAGTCGTTCTGCCAGTTCTGCTTTCTTCCCTGTCGTCTCCAACTCGCGATCTTCTAACTCCCGACGTAACTTGGTCACTTTTAAATCACACAGTTTATTTATTTATATTTCGAATGTCTTTGAATTGTTCACTATTTATATTCACAGTCCAATACTTTATTCTCAACTGTCTATATACAACTGACTGCTCCGTTGTTCCTCCACCAATATTTATATACAGATTTAAAGTTCTGGTAGATTCGAGAACGATCTCCGCCAAAACTAGAAACTTTATCACGCTTTACCTGGAAAGTCGTCACATATGTTTGACAAGTTGAGCCTCAAAGGCAAAATAAGACAGAGAGGGACTTGGGGGATTAGAGCATGACTGAATAATGAAATGGCTCACATTACAATACGTTTCAGACAATACACTGGCACGCCACCACCGAAATAAAACTCAGCGATATAACGCTCGATCTGGCGATATTCGGACACGCGGTGTTAGATAAAACAATTAACCAGATAATCAAGAAACGTTTAGGTCTTAGTTCTACTTTTAAAAAACTGAGTGAAGTGTATACAACGCTACCAACCGCTTGGAAATATAAGAAGCATTTGGAACAAGCCAGAAACGTTGTGAAAAATATGGATTTGGTAGCTGTATCGTCTGAAGAGCTGTATAAAAAAATTGACGCAGCGCTCGAAGATGTTGAAGAACTGTCGATACTACATAGTAAAACATCGAGAAGTTCCGTGTTCTATCAGATTTGTACCATGAATATTTTGCTCGAAAGGAATAAAGGTAATAAACATCGACGGTCTAGAATCTAGAGTAAATTGAGTATTGAAGGGTCTATGGACTCGAGATACTTTGGATGTTGAGAAATTTAGTCGTTTAAACAAGACTGTGAAATCACTCGTACATGCATACCTTCAACTTTAAATACCAATTTTTTCATTTTCAGAAATATTAACGGAACACATGTCTGATTTCGCTTTAATTCTTTCGTCTTGCGAAGACGTTATATCCGCAGAAGTTCCACATTATTTAGAACGAATATCGAATATTTTAAAACAGGCAGGATATTCTGACGAATTCCGCGGCTTAGAACCAGCTCATGGAGTCGATTGGTTGAAAAATAATTGCACGAAAGCGTATGAATTGTTTTCGGAATTCCTCGACAAGCACGGACATAGAAGTTTAGCTGAGGTAAGCACAAGATTAAATAAGAAAAATCTAATTTTGTTTAAATACATTTTCTTTATGTATATTTTAGTTTGAAATATTCGAAGAATCCTGGAACGATAATCCTTCGAGAATAATCGGCATGATTCAAGCGAATGTGGGAAACGAAAGAAAAGAAAAACGTAAAATGGACATCGACGAGGTTATTAGAAATTTGAAGTCGCCTAAAAGTTCTATCACAAGGTAAATTAATTTGAAGGAATTTGAATACAAAAATTAAATATCTTTTATTTATTTCAGAATTCTTGTAAAATTTCTAATGAAAAAAATCAGAGTGGCCGTGGGAGTCAGAGAACACACAAAATCTCTTCTAATTAAAGGTATCGACATGCTTCGAAAAGCTTTCCGAGAATTAGGCGACAAAATGGTCGCAACCGGCTTGATTCCTTCAAGAGATTTAATTTTTCATATGACTCATTACGAAATCGGACTCGTATTGAGAGAAAGAAATCCAAATTTAGTCACCAAGTGAGTAGATACGATCAAAAATAATAAAAACAAACAATTTTATTGAAGTATATTTTAGGGCGATCAGACGGCAAAAACTTTATTCAAATTGGAAAAAGATGACGTTTCCTGAAATAATGTTTGGAATTCCGGAGACCGATGATGATTCTTCATCTATTGCTTTGGTGAATCCAAAAGAAATATGTAAAGGAACGCCGGTTTGTAGAGGTGTAGCTCGAGCGAGAGCTTGCGTGATTAGAAATTTGGACGAGATCCATCAATTAAATTCAGGTAATCTATAAATAGGGTCATAGACATGGACGTACTGTTTAAAAAAATACAATGATTTGCGTGTATTTAGACCAGACAGGGAAATTACACAATGGTGTACTGTTTTTATAAATATATTCTAAAATTTTGAAGTTTATAAATCTATTAGTTTGAAAATATTGACGAAATAAAGGCTCCAATGTCAAATTTATAACAAGAAAGAATTCAACTTTGATACTCTCTAACTTCAACACCTGTTAAAATTTAAAAATGTTATTTGCAAAATTTCGTTTCTACACTCTTTATAAATATTTTCTGAAATTTTGAAGTTTATAAATCTATTAGTTTGGAAATAGTGATGAAATAAAGGCTCCAATGTCAAATTTATAACAAGTAAGAATTCAACTTTAATACTCTTTAACTTCAACAAGTGTTAAAATTTGAAAATGTTGTTTGAAAAATTATGTTTTTACATTTTTTATAAATATTTTATGAAATTATTATATTTTATAAAACAAGTTTTAAATTGTCAGGCTTATGTACTAGAAATACTAGAATGATCAATATATATTTTTGGGGTTACTTGGAAAAATCATACCGTGACTGTAGAGGAAAAGGTGCAAATATGGAATACCGTTTTGTTTGGTATATAAAAAAAAATTTGTTAGTGAGTAGATTTAAGCCAAATTTAAGGAAAATGTACTTTATACAATTAGACACCAAAATGTAAAAGCAAATGTGTAATTATCTTAAACACTTTTTTAAAAAATAAGTTATAAAAAAAATACAAAATTCCCACCTTAGAAAAGGTGGGGGAAATATGGAATACTTTATATATCTACATATTATTTGCACCAGTCACAAATATATTCGTCTTTTTCGGCGCATCCACACTCATTATGAGCCCATTTTAAGCACATTAAACATTGGACCCATAGCTCTCCTTTCTTATCAGCAAAAAACGAACTATCGCAAAACATGCAATGACCATCGTCCTCATTCGGTTTCAGTTGTCCCGGCATATCTTCCAAATCGTTGTCAGAATCGTCAATTTTTACATCTTCGCTTGAATCCTCAGATTCATCAGCAGAAACTGCATTCGTTTGACGTTTCATTTTGTATTTTGACTTCTCCTGTTTTTGAGAATCTTTTTTTTGTTTCAAGGATTTTCCTGAAGACAAGTTTCTTTTAACGCCACGCGATTTTGCCTCCTTTTCAGTTTTTTTTATTTATTGACTCATTTAGTTCGTCTTTGTAAGGTGACGAGGTAATCACAATAGATCCAATTGTCTTGTGTCCTCTGTTGGTTTTTTTGCGGATTGTGTTTGGGACTGGAGATATTTCGAACGGTGAAACAAACTTCTGGGATGAATCTATGTCTTCATCTTGGCCTTGGTCATCTTCATCTAGGTCTGGGTCATCTTCATCTTGATCTTGGTCAACAGCTTGAATTCGGCCAGGTGCATTGTCTTCGCATGACGTTTTAGAGCATGAAGGTTTATCGATAGGGGTAGTTGAAGCTTTTGTTGTTTTGACTTCTTGAATGTTAATGGTAATTCCTCTTTTCGCTGCTTCTTGTTCCGGAACCACTGGGTGAAAATACGGGACTGTACCCAACCGGATGGATGTGCAATTCCTGCGGACCCAGGAGCTCCCTTCATGAGCTGAATGTTCATATTTTTCCTAGGAAAAATAACCAAGGGAGGGACAAAGTTTCCAGCCGCACTCATACAAAAAATAACTGTAATCAGAGCCCCTCTCTCTGCTGATGTTAATGAAGCAACTTGACGTTTGCCTTTCAGCCCTATTACTGACGATACTTTACTTTGGACATTTGTTAACCCTGATTTGTCTACATCATAAACGTTGTTCGGGGAATAGGGAATTTGCTTTTCAAGGAGGTCAAAAAAGCCGGCAACTCTTTCTTTACAAAAACCTGCAGCTCTGGCAAATGATGTCCCCGTTGGCTTTCTTACTGACAATTTTGGATATCGCTTTAAAAACAAATCAATCCAGGCTCTGCCTGCTAATCCAGATGTAGAAAATGGGTGTTTCATTTTATTCCTTATGGCTAACTGATAAGCCATGCGCTTCAGATCTGTCATTGTGAGCCCGTAAAATTTGGCCTCCATTTTTAAAATGTAATCAACTGATAGCTTCTCTAGCTCTGGTCCCAAAACACATTTTCTTCCAAGCTTGGTTGCTGCAGCCTTATCTGGCGGAACTGTGTTAATTCGACTCAGACGAAAGAGCGTTGTACGAGGAACCCTATAGGTTTTGGATGCTTTGAGATATCCCATTGTTTTTTCTCTCACTGCCTGGATGGCTCTAGCCATGTCCTCTTCCTTGTATTGCTTTCTTTTATTATTGCAAGACGGACGTTCAATTTTTCGTGGCATCCTAAAAAAAATAAAATTAAATACTGGTATTCCATATTACCAACAACCCATATCACCAATATTTCAGGTTAGATCTAGGCTATCATAACAAAAAACTAAACAAATGCAACGTCATCTTAAACTTTAGTTTTAGTAACAAATATTTAAATAAAAACATGCAAATAAAAAAATTAGGCTTGCATATTCACTTACGTGTTAAACTTTTCAGGACGCGAAATTCACATGTGCACACCTCAAGAAGCAAAACCATACTAAAACGGCGCGGGGTAGATTGCCTACAATAAAGATGGTAAACAAGCATAGGTTTAGTCAGTTTTCGATAGGGGGCGGCATTTGGTTTAGTCAAAACCGAGGTATTCCATATTACATGCAAATTCCATATTTACACCTATATTTAAATGTAATTTTTTTAACTTATTTTACTCTTGCACCAAAGGACCCCGCACAAAAAGATAGGAAATGCACTCTCGGTCAAATTGTCTGAATTTTTAATATGTTATACATTTTGTCATCCTGAACAAAAGTCTCAATGGGCACTAAGCTCCAAAGTCCATGGTTTGGCTCCTATGGAGCTCCGAAGCTCCGTGACTCCACCATAGTATAGAAACCTCTAAAACGCATGTCACCTTTTTGAAAATCATATTTTAATTATTTTAATGTATGCCCTTAAGTTTTAGAGGATGCTGAATTTGAATATGATGTCAAATCGATAATATTAACAGTTGACAGCTGTCAAATAGCTGTCAAATAACTGTCAAATGCTTCAAAGAAAACAAATCTTATGTTAAAGAATGTTATCATATGTTTTTGAGGACGCTGAATTCAAATAAGATGTCAAATCGATAATATTGACAGTTGACAGCTGTCAAATAGCTGACAAACGCTTCAAAGAAAAACAAATCTTACATTAAAGAACGTTATCATGTTTATGAGGACGCTGAATTTAAATAAGATGTCAAATCGATAATATTGACAGTTGACAGCTGTCAAATGCTAAAAAATTTGAATTTTTGATGTTATACATTTTGTCATCCTGAACAAAAGTCTCAATGGGCACTAAGCTCCAAAGTCCATGGTTTGGCTCCTATGGAGCTCCGAAGCTCCGTGACTCCACCATAGTATAGAAACCTCTAAAACGCATGTCACCTTTTTGAAAATCATATTTTAATTATTTTAATGTATGCCCTTAAGTTTTTGAGAATGCTGAATTTGAATATGATGTCAAATCGATAATATTGACAGTTGACAGCTGTCAAATAGCTGTCAAATAACTGTCAAATGCTTCAAAGAAAAACAAATCTTATATTAAAGAATGTTATCATATGTTTCTGAGGACGCTGAATTCAAATAAGATGTCAAATCGATAATATTGACAGTTGACAGCTGTCAAATAGCTGTCAAACGCTTCAAAGAAAAACAAATCTTATATTAAAGAACGTTATCATGTTTATGAGGACGCTGAATTTAAATAAGATGTCAAATCGATAATATTGACAGTTGACAGCTGTCAAATGCTAAAAAATTTGAATTTTTGATGTTATACATTTTGTCATCCTAAACAAAAGTCTCAATGGGCACTAAGCTTCAAAGTCCATGGTTTGGCTCCTATGGAGCTCCGGAGCTCCGAATCTCCGTGACTCCACCATAGTATAGAAACCTCTAAAACGCATGTCACCTTTTTGAAAATCATATTTTAATTATTTTAATGTATGCCCTTAAGTTTTTGAGGATGCTGAATTGAAATATGATGTCAAATCCATAATATTGGCAATGGACAGCTGTCAAACAGCTGTCAAATGCTTTAAAACAAGAGAAATCTTATATTAATCTTAATAATAATAATAATAATAATAATAATAATAATAATAATAATAATAATAATAATAATAATAATAATAATAATAGACTTTATTTATATTTTTTTACAGTGAATAAATACATATAAAAAAGGTAAGTGAAGTGTTATCAAACACTTGTTTCGAAGAAAGAAAAATGTTAAAATGGTGAATAAATACATCTAACTAAAGACTAAAAAACTAGAACTAAAATAAAAATGAATACTTTTGATCATTGCAGTTTTTGGGTTCAGTCTGAGGATTGGATGCGACAGAAAAATATTAAAATACTTAAAATTGGTACTGTTATGTAAAGATAAGTAAAACTGGAGGAATAAGTAAAAATAGTAAATAAATGTAAATAGATTATTCCCTAGTTTCTATTAAATTAATAATAAATGTTCTATTAGTATTTCTTAAAAATTCCTTCAAATGTTTTTTAAAATTAATTTTATTATTTATTAATTTTATTTTTCTAGGAAGTGAGTTATACAAATTGGTTCCAATGTAAGAAAATGCTTTTTGTGATAATGACTTTTTTACAAATTGATAGGTATGAAGTTCTTATATTATCGATTTGACATCTTATTTGAATTCAGCGTCCTCAAAAACATATGATAACATCCTTTAATATAAGATTTTTTTAAGCATTTGACAGCTATCAATTGTCAATATTATCGATTTGACATCTTATTTGAATTCAGCGTCCTTAAAAACATGATAACATTTTCTTTAATATAAGATTTGTTTTTCTTTGAAGTGTTTGACAGCTATTTGACAGCTGTCAATTGTCAATATTATCGATTTGACATCTTATTTGAATTCAGCGTCCTTAAAAACATATGATAACATCCTTTAATATGAGATTTCTTTTTTTTAGCATTTGACAGCTGTCAACTGTCAATATTATCGATTTGACATCTTATTTGAATTCAGCGTCCTCAAAAACATATGATAACATTCTTTAACATAAGATTTGTTTTTCTTTGAAGCATTTGACAGCTGTCAACTGTCAATATTATCGATTTGACATCATATTCAAATTCTTTTTTTTTTTTTTTTTTTTGTGGGCTCAAAGTCAACACACCTTACACCACATATTCTCCTTTCCACTAGGCGAGCCTGAAGATGAAGTGATGTTACTTCGAAACCGGTCGCACTCAATGTTTGTGTTGAATAATTAAACATTGGACTTTCCTTGTGAGATATAAAGGACTTTTTCTCCCCCCTTCACCTAAAATTACTTCAACTCACACATGGCTACCCCCCTTGTCAATATTCAAATTCAGCATCCTCAAAAACTTAAGGGCATACATTAAAATAATTAAAATATGATTTTCAAAAAGGTGACATGCGTTTTAGAGGTTTCTATTATACTATGGTGGAGTCACGGAGCTTCGGAGCTCCATAGGAGCCAAACCATGGACTTTGGAGCTTAGTGCCCATTGAGACTTTTGTTCAGGATGACAAAATGTATAACATCAAAAACTCAGACAACTTGACCTAGAGTGCATTTCCTATCTTTTTGGCCTATCTTTCTATGACATACCCCGTATAAGATTGATACATTTTGATGTCTGATGATTTCATTATGGCTTTTAAACGATACAGAATTTTTTACTAAGAGAATTTGTTTTGTCGTAAAACTAACAAAAAAAATTTTACATATAGAGCTTACGTAAACACACTGTATATATATGTTTTTCAGGAGATATTTTAATCACGTACAGTACCGACATTGGCTGGTCTCCATATTTCCCAATGCTCTCTGGTGTCGTAACTGAACTAGGAGGTCTTGTATCGCATGGTAAATAATACAGTATCTTTACCTATTTACAACTTATTTATTATTTTACTATATTTTATATTTAGGTGCTGTGGTTGCACGTGAATACGGCCTACCGTGTATCGTTGGAGTCAAAAACGTGTTAAAACGTTTTAAGACTGGCGATATTGTCCAATTAAACGCAAACAATGGAGAACTTGGAATCATCTAACATATTTTTTAACAATTTATAATTATTAGTGATCTACTAAAAATGTTTCTTAAAAAAGACCAATATATGAGTCACGTATCCGTAATAACTACAAACAACTGTCATTTAAAAAAATATACATGATTTTTTGCCTGCTTTAGAAACATTTTTTTTGGACAACTCTATATTTGTTAACTAATTTAACCTAAAATAACTAAAAATAATGTGTATTTTAATTTTTGTTTTGTTGAATATATTTTTTTACGAACAGGCTTTTTTAATACCTACATTTGGAATGTAACGCGTGGCTGGAATTTGTACAGTGCCGTACAGAATTTATTTTTACAGGTAAAAATGCTTTGAATTTTTAACAAAAAGCTATTACTGCTTAATTTTGATTCAAATTACCGAATAACGAGTAAGTGAATATTCATCTAATTAATTTAATTGTACTATACCTTAAAAATCAAATACTTATCTTAATTTTTCATGAGATTGCAAGATCTATCACCAAACAAGTGCCGTCTGATGAATATAATTTTTTTTCATAAACCTCAACTAGATAGGGAAATTAAATTATGTTTTCACGGTATCAGCGCACTTAATTGTTTATTTGTTATCATTAAACAGAAACTGAACTGGAATCAGGTTGATGACATCATACACATAAAATTGATTTTGAAAGAATATTAGATAAGATAATCTCTTTATTTGATAATAGATGAAATCGTAAAATCTAAGAGTACCTATCTAGTCTCCTCGCATTCACTATGTTATTAAAAATACCAACAATGATAGTTTAACTAAAATAAAGTGAAAAATTAGTGTAATTATTCACAGATAGCGAATATGTCCAGCTATATGGCAAACATAAAGAAATTGCTAGTTTTCTTAACTTGCTTTTTATCTGGCTTAGGTGTGTTGTTCTCTATTGCTTCGATAACGACTGAACGATGGGTGTACGCGAACAACATGATATATTACCAGATACCAGATACGATGCAAAAAGTCAAATATGGCTTGTTTCACGGAACTTTGACGACAACAGTTGGCACCGTCATGGCATCAGTACCATTAACCAGTAAGTTACAATTTGTTATTTATATATATATATATATATATATATATATATATATATATATATATATATATATATGGATACAATACAAAATTCAATGCAAGTTGTTATCAATATTATTGCCTACCTTGACGAACATAAAATACTGGCCGAGAATACCGGGTGTGAACTTAGCGAACAATTTTTAGCAACTAATTTTCCGAAAATTGCCGAACTGTCAGTGACGTAATTATTTTAGGAGGTATTCAAAAAACTGCATGCATCTACCACTAAGATTTGCAAATAAAACAGTTAATTTAACAATATACCACATTTGGTATCAACGTTAATGGAATTATGATTGATAAATGAGGTTATTTTTAGAATATACGTTATTTGAGAACATTTTTAAATTTATGTATATTACCTGTACATATATTTCTTACATGTTAATGACAACTTATCTTTTATCTTCATCAACGAACTCAAAGAGTTAACATTAACGATAAGTACAGTGAAATATCCTGCATTAAATACGTTATGCCTCAGCGTACTATCCTAGGACCCCTACTGTTTACATTATACCTAAATTAGTTTAACATCATCTGTTGAAATTCTATGTTTTGCAAACAACTTGTTAACTGTATATCAAAAAAGCCTTATGGCAAACTAACTTTATATTCTTGATATCTTAAAAACATATAATAAAAAATTATCTCCATAAAATTCATTGAAGAAAATAATTTAAAATGTTCTTACTAGATAGTGAATTGTTTATTGTAGAATTTATAAATAATTAAATAATAAATATATAAAATTCCTTAAATAGAACATTTTTGTTAAAATCTTTAAATAATTGTTTTTAAAAATCATAGAATTTTTGTATCTACAGTGTTGTCTTATTTTCAGTGACATGCCTAGCCAAAGAAAATGTATGCGCATACCTATGTGCCGAGTCAGATGAGGCAAGATATACGCTCTTGAAGGATATCTACCATAATAAGAAAGAAATTGAGCAACCAAACTGTCCAAGAAGTTCTCAGGACCAGGAGCGTCGTACTCGAGTCTCGTCAACGTTTCAAACAAGTAATCATTTTTTTTTATTTATTTGAAATTTTGTGACTTGGAAGAAATAGAAAAAATCAAAGTTATACCTACTTACTAGTAAAAATCCTTAGATATCCGAATTATTGACGACATGGCAACGTAGGATTATAATACTTTACATGAGACATTTATGTTTGATCTCTGTTCATGGAGACATTCCAACGACCTGTCAAAATTGCTGTCTATGGGCTTTGAACACATACTTTTGCCGCGTTTGAGAATCCACGTCGGATGCATTTTTTACATCTCGAGCGTTTTTTTATCCACATCGGACACATCTGTCCCATTACATTTACGTAAACTGAATCACGTGATCAAAGATTCTTTACGTCTCAGATGCATCCGATGTGGATTCTCAAACGCAGCATTTGATTACTATACGAGGCAAGAGAGAGGTCCGACACGCCCAACATAGGGCGCGGCCATTTTGAACCCTATGACACAGTTTACAGCAAAAGAATCAGATCGCTCACTCTGCGTCGGCACTTTTGAATCAAAGTATGTGGCTTTGAAGCAATCAAATGCTGCGTTTGAGAATCCACATCGGATGCATTTTTTACATCTCGAGCGTTTTTTTTATCCACATCGGACACATCTGTCCCATTACATTTACGTATACTGAATCACGTGATCAAAGATTTTTTACATCTCAGATGCATCCGATGTGGATTCTCAAACGCGGCATATGTATGTAGCTTTGAAGGGTCAATGATATTATAGTTATATAGATTGCTTAAAGTGAGTCAAATTGCGAGCGGCCATATTGCCTAGCACGAACTCATTAATCAGAACCGGTTTAGCAAAAATATATTTTCAGCCTTGAAATATATTAAAAAAATAATTACTTACATTTTTACTTCAAGGCATAGCCTTTTGTTTATTTTGAAAAAACATGGATGATCAATCAATGAACTATCTATATCACTGACCCTGTCAAATTCAGCAGACTCACAGGGTTGTCATATCAATGCACATAGGCAACCATTTTGTCTGAAATACTAGACTTAATTAGTATAACAATGATTTTAAAAATATTGAATAAGGCAATCCAAATCACGTAACTTTAAATGGTGGACAGGGCCGACTAGAGGGGGGGTAGCCGGGACTAATTCCCGGGGCCCGGGCTTAAATGGGGCCCGGCAGCGCTGTAAGGGGGGCCCGGCAACAGGGTTCTTTTTTTTTTGTTCTGCATGAGAAATTCGACACAAGATGAAGTTAAGTTTAAATTAAAATACAAGTAAGAGGAAAAAAGGAAGTTTTTGGATGCGAGGCTTTTTTTTTAGAAGAAGAGGAACAGTTTTTGGTTAAGATTTTTTTTGCCACGGGGCCCGATCTAGAGAATTGTCCTGGGGCCCGGTCTGGCTCTCGGCGGCTCTGATGGTGGACCTTTAGCAAAAACAACAAAAGTACGTGCTTCCTTTGACAAAAACACTTCTAGTGAGGTTATTAGTCTAAGTTTGTATTATTTTTTGGAGTATTTAGAGTTATTTTCGGTATTTTTAGTTGAAAAATGGCATAAATAGATATTTATTTTGTAAATATATAGAATATTAATTGCATGATTTGCAGTAACAGTCAAATGCTAATAAAAAAGTCAGGTTAAGAAGCTTTGTTGTTTTTGCCAAACATCGGCCATTTTTGTCCATTCTAACAGGACATTGGATTGCCTAATTGTAAGTGCGATGAATGATATTTTAAAGGAGTTTCAACTACCTTTAAAATATAGCACTAAATTGTGCATATTCACCAGAAGTTGTCAAAAAAATGAGGTAAACATATCTTGCAGATATTAAAACACTGAACATAAATGCTTTATCTAGCTCTTATAACTGTCAAAGGGTACCTCACTTTTTAACGACCTCTGGTGAATTTTTTTGGAACTACGCTCTGTTTGGTGCCATATCGGCTTTGTTTTTATATGTGATTTGAGGCAAGTTGAAACACTAATAATAATGTCATTCATCGTGATTGTAAGGTTACAAGATAACCTCCTTGAGGTACTCCAAAAATGTAACTTTTTATTATTATTTCAGATACTACAGATACAAGCAATAAAAAGTATATAAACTGCGGCATATGGGTTACAACTATACTTTTTCTGGTTGTTTCGATGCTATTCGGTTTAATATCATCTGGTTTGTCGTTCTATAATACCAATATCAATCCCATTCAAGTATATTTAAGCATATACGGACTATTTTTATATAACGCTATAGCTTTGTTCAGTCTTATCATTGCCATGATGGTATGGGGAGTGTTTTATAACTTAAGTATTTATCACGATGTGGCTATTTTTGATACGTTGACTGGAGCAATGGAGTCTGATAAAACTGCCTACTTGGGCTACTCTTACTGGTGAGTCATTTCAAAGTTTACGGTGTTCTTAACAGTTGTAATTTAAATAAGTTATTTAGTTATCGAAAGAAATGTGATGTTTGACAACAGCGCAATGAGAATCTTCCGATTTTTGATTTAACTTCGAAATTTGTTTATTAAAGGTTACAAAAACGAATTTAAATTCCAAAAACGTATTTATAGTATATTATTTGTAGATTTAGGGTCAACAACTTACTTTAATAAGAATAGCTAGTACAAACAAGGTACATTTTTTAAAATTTTGTGGTATTAAATTATATACGAAGTAATATTTATTTTTTATTGGTTTAAATGTTCCCCAAGTTGGTATTAGAGTTAGAACAAAGGGTGGTTGGTAATGTGTAAATAACCCATCTGGTTTACTTTTAGGCTTTAGGTTTTATTCAAAGAGTTAATAATATTTCAATAGTACCTACTCATTTAAGTTATTAGGATCTGATAGCTGATTTTCATTATGTTTATTTCGATTTTCATTTAAAATTAAAATTAAAAAAAGTATTTCTTCTTACATTTGAATAATTGTCTAATTTGGATTTATAATAGATGTATTTTGTGATTCTGATATTTTTATATATGTTATAATAATTTGTAAAATCAATTTTATTTAAAACCATCGAAATAATATCTTTCCGAACTTCTACTTTTGGAATTTCACTAGTTTGATGATACCATTACTATTACAGCATTTGGTGGAAAATCAAACCATTTCTACTCGGACAAAGTAGATGTTATAGCTTGGAGATAATCAACTAAACAAAGTAAAATATTGTTACGCAGCACCCTGTAGCGTGCTGCAGTCGTCATAAGTAAAGGTACGAGTAAATGAAGAAGATAGAATATTCCAGAAATGTCATTCCTTCTCAAAGAAAAGTCTAGATTGTTCGAGAAGGTTCTAGAAGGTCGAGGCAAGCTATATAAGTCGACGACCTGACGTCAGAGTATAATTTTATGATAGACGTTAACCGTTAATGTTATCAGTTGGAGTTATTGTATCAGTTGAATTGTAGTTATTGTAAAAGTTGAGTTAAAAGAAATTGAGATACCAAAAACCAGAGTAACAATATTAATTTTTTAACAAATTCAAAAAACGAAGATTTATGTATGTTCAGCGATAATTCTTTACCACGTTGTCCGATTTTTATGATTCTTTCTTTGTTAGAAAGGAGGTACCTCATTTGATCAAGACCTGATGGTTGGAACAATGAGAAAATCAGCAAACTCAATTTGTAATAGAATCTGCACGATTTTGGAGTCGGTTTTTTTAAAATTACTTTTATAACTTGTTTCAGGTTAAACATCGCACCTCTTATCTTATACATGATGAGCATTGCGGTTCTGTTTCTGCGGCAGTATTTAATATCGAAGGATCCAGGCCATAAAATAGTACAAAGGCAGGATGATGGAGATCCAGTGATCTATTTGTACTGATAATAAATTATTTTAGATTATTGTGTTTTTATTTATTATTGTTTATGTTTAGGAGAAATAATAAATATTTTAAAAAAATTTTGTCGATCTCTAATTTGTTCAATTTTACATATTTTTTAAGAGTTTAGTAGGTATAGAATATTGAATAGATAGATATTTGTCAAATAAATAGTTTTACAAGAACATGGCTCGGGTTCATAATTGATTACACTTTTATCTAGCTCAGGCAGACCATTTTCTTTACACGTTATTCCTTGATGCAATTTAGTCGGTATCTGTTATTCTTTAATTAAAAAAAAAAGGATAATTTTAAAAGAAAAACGGAATTTTATAAATAGTCGACATTTCCATAGCAACGCAAAGTATCAATAAAATGGCAAAGATGACCAGAGGTGTCAACCCAGTGATTCACGCTACATCAAAAAGAATTTGATTTGGCTCCCCCACATTTTGCAAATTCTTTGCCAGAAAATGGACATTTTTCGCTGCCTTACATTCACACTCTGTATAACAAAGAGGGAATTAAAAAAAAAATAATCGACGCTACTGATGCAAACAGCAAGGATGGCGCTTTGCACCTTCGGCTAAAAATCCAACATCGGCAAAGAAATGTCGAAGTTATAGCTAGTCAAAACTAGACAATTTTTTGGCTGTCCCACTTCATCTGCGGCGGAACTTTTAAACACATCAAGAAACAAACTTATTTAAATGGTTATATTTTTGTTAGAATTATTTCCACTATAAATCCTGGTTATCTTTCTCTTCTACTTCTTCTTTACCAAATATCTATTAGAAATTATATACCTACTTTATAAACCTTTGCAGAATATACAGGGTGTCTGTAAAAGGTCTTTACAAAAACATACCACTAATTCCTTAGACCAAAATAAGTCGTTTTAAGTAAAATTACCTTAGTACAAAGTTGTTTCGTTTGGGTTCCAGAGGGCCTTGAAGTTACAATTTTTAAATCGTTTTTCCCATATAAATTTAAAACAGCATATGCGATTTTGCTGAAATTTGGTATATTGGTAGAGTTTTATGTGGCAAAAAAATGGTATTAAAATTTTGTCCGATAATAAAACATTGGCGTAGAACTTGATTTTTTAAATAATTGCACCTTTAAAAATTCTTCGCCAATGGAAGAAAAGGAGTTTGAGTATAAAATTTAGATTGCGCAACTCATTTACTTTAAAAAAAGGTACTCTTGATAAGACTCGATTACTCTCATGGTTTTGACGAAATTTGCATTTTAGTAATTTTAGAACATAAACAATAATTATTACAATACAAACTTTGTCAAAACCATGAGAGTAAATCGAGTGTTATCAAGGGAACTTTTTTGTAGTAAATGAGTACCCAATCCAAATTTCATACTCAAACCCCTTTTTTGCCATTGGCTAGAATTATTTAAAAAATTAAAAAACATAAAAATAGTTTTAATTTTCTTTATAGAAAATTATTTTTTAAAAAATTAAGAACTACTTTTAATATGTCTTTATTGATCAAAGTCAAGCTAAAGAATAATGTATATATTTACATTTAATCCACACCTATGTTTATCTCTAGGAAAATTTATAAAAGTATGATAAGATAAAAGTTATTTACAGGAAGTATTTATTGTCTATATAGCAGTTTTAGCAACACGTAACTAAATGTACTTTTTTCATATCTTCTTCAACACCTCTAATCAAGACTTTTAACAAAAATACTCGATTCTTGCCATGTACGATTTTTTGAGGAATATTAATTATTTGCCTGCAATACGTATACAAAAACATTTATTGTTGGTTTCCATAGTTTCATCTAAATAAAAATATTGTCAAGTTTTAACACCTAATCTCTTGTTAACGATTGAAAGTGTTCTATCTGACTCAATAATTAAAAAAACAAATGCGTGGTTTATTAATATGGCTGTACAATATACCAATGCAGAATATACCGATATGTTACTGACATTAGGATTTTGTGAAGGAAATGCTCGAGAGAGTGTCAGGGTGTACTCTGAAAGGTTTCCAAATCGTCGTGTACCTAGCCACCCAACTTTTGCTGCTGTTGAGAGACGTGTTCAGGAGACCGGTTCCTTTGCTACCAACACTGTTGATAATGGAAGAGAACGTTTTGTAAGGATTCCTGAAGTTGAAGAAGACATTTTAGAACGTGTCGAAGACATGGGCGAAGTTAGGGGAGGGCTTGGGGGGGCTATGCCCCCCCAAAAACCAAATTAGCCCCCCCAAAAATAATTCGAACATTTATCGCACATCCACCCATACATTTCAGATTTTAGAACAGAAATTAAAAAATAAAAAGAATCGTGCCATTTGATTGATTCTGCAATTTTACATTTAGCTCAGGAGGCAGTGAATTTTTTTCGTACCTACTCATTTTTCCAGTAGGTGTATATGAGTAACAAAAAACAAAATTCGAGTCTGACTCTTATTTTCCCAGTCATAAATATTATACATTTACTAAACTAGAACAAAAAGTTTATAAAAATAGCAGTTTGGATTATCTCAGATAGTGGAAAGTGAGTGTGGCAGAAAATTTAGCATATAAATTGATACAATCATGAAATGTTAATAATAATGTCTGGCTGATTTACGAAATTGGCAAATGAGTCTGGTTACATCTTCAAAATCGAAAAAATATAATATTTTTACCTGATGATGAAGTGACAGCTTCGAAACCGGTCGCCAATTAAATTGACTTGTGAGAAATAAAGGACCTTTTCTTTAACCCCTTACACTTAATCCCTACTACTCACATATGGCTACCCTCACTCCAAATAATATTTTTGGTTTTATTTTCCCGGGTTTGAAAATTTGTCACGTAATAGATTATATTGTAATTTTACACCTCTATTTTATACCCTAAACGAAATTATACTGAAAATTTTTTTGAAAGTTGAGAAGCCCTTCCATGCATAAAATATTACGACGCAACGCGATAGTGTGATTAAAAATTTGCCGTTTTAGTGGTTAATATTTTATTTAATACCAATTATAACTAGGTAGAAATACACTACATTTATTTTAAGTAAAATAATAATGAGGTTTTTCGCGTCAACTAAACGACTTCAAATATGACAAATGGTCATGGTATGGCCACAGCATTTAAAAATATATGTTTTATATGCTGTGGTATGGCCAGCTTTGAAAATTTGATTTTAGTCGTTTTAATGTATGTCTGTCAAGTTTTGAAATTTGGATATTTTGGTGTAAAATTTTCTTACCCAATACCACATGTGCTTAAATTATTATCAGTAAATTTTTGCTCACTCACGCATATTTTAAGAAACCTATCCATCGTCTTCGACTAAATTTCAAAATATTCTTAAGTTCGAAAAAATTTCCGGAAATAATTTAGTCACTAGTGGTATTCTAAGTGAAAATATACGTCTGGCTGACAATTACAATCACGAAGGCCTGCCAGACTCACAAGTAGTGTCCGACCGAAGGTTCGGTTACGGTTTCGGCCAACTTCAGCTTAAAATAAGAGTTTCGACTACAGTTTCGGTTTCGGCGGAAAAGTGGCCGAAACTGCAGCCGACAGCAAAACTACTTTCGAAAGTTTTCGTATCACTCTTGGTTGTGTCCTGCACAATGGCGACTGTGCCGGGTGCCATTCTTACATAGTGCACGTACACACAAACATGTCTGCTTTGTTTCAAGTGAACAGTCTTCAGTGCTCCTGGCCTAATTTATTCGGATCAAAGGAGCAATTTTTTAGGTGAAAACGTGGAAAAATATTTTTTTTACCCTACAACATTAGACTGTTTACTTATGAATATTAATTTAATTATAAGTAACAAACGTATTTAATCCACTGAATTTGTTAATTTTTTTTTTTTTTAAATAAAAATTATACATTATATATAATTCCCTTCATAATACTATTTTTTATTACAAAATATCTACTACAGATGCAGAAATGATTGATAATTTGTAATTCACTTACTTTATTTTTAATTTTAAAAGTAATAAAAAAAACAATGTCCATAAATTTATTAATGGCTACTTTTGATCATCAAAAATAAATAGGTAATAAGTAAATGTAGCTTAAATTTATAATACGAGTTAATTAGTCTAAAACAAGGATTACAATAAGATACTGCAAATTTCAATAAGAGATTGCCTTAAAACAAAGTTCTTGTTTCTGTTTCGGTTTCGGCCGAAACTAAGAAAGGAGCCGAAATTTAGTTTCTGTTTCGGTTATAAAACCATATTTCGGTCGGACCTGACAAGCCAGGTAGTTAAACGAGGAGAGGAATAGCAATCGAACGTGCCGAATTTAGCGCGCCTGGCGATCATTAGATGAGTCTGGCAAGGCTTTCGGGGTGTTCCACATTAGCCAGATTGTATTTGAAGCTGTTTTCATATTATACATTTTTCTAGTAGTGAGAACACTTGTAACAGGGATCCTTACCGGACAATGCCAACTAAAAGGACACCTTAGTAAACTGAGATTAGTAGAAGATAGTGACTGCAGATTCTGTGAGGAGGACGAAACCTTCGTTCACATTCTAACTGAATGTGTAGCACTCCAGAATCAAAGGGCACTATATCTAGGAGCATATAAAATAGAAGAGGGAAATTTACCTAACTTGAAGCCACTCCAAATCCTACACTTCCTTGAGAAAATATAATTGGAAGGATCGTTAGAGGCATTGAGACATTTCCGTGCTGCATAAGCGACAGAAGGGGACACAATAGATCTTTTAGGTCGCAGTGTATTAACACCCCATTCCCAACATAACATAGTGAGAAAACTGCAAAAAAATTAAATCCATCAATCACAGTTCATATTTTGGACACCCAACTACTATTATTTTTAAAATTTTAAATTCTGTCAGTATATTTTTTAGTCATTAAGATTACATACGTTAAAATTAGTTATTTTTGTTTAGAATCGATAAAAAATGGCATTTTTATTTTTATTTGGGCCACATTTAAAAAAAATTAATTTTAATCAAATTGTATGAAACTGATTTAATTACGAGTATTAAAACTAAAAACTTGGAGTGGAG